TTTCAAAATTGACTCCTGACAAATATTTTACAATTTGGAATATTATCAAATAATCAGTTTACTGTGGCCTTTATGGGAGTAAATATGACATCTGTTGCAGTTGTGCATAGTATTCTAGCAGCTGCAATAATCATGAGACCTGTAGCAGATGTGACATCTCCGAATGGATACAAGTCAGTAACACCAACCCTACTTCTTTGAGATGTGAAATCATCATTCAGACATTGGAAATTCAGAAATTTATAAAACCCAACACATCAACAATTTTTCAAAAGCTAAATAGCCTACATCTTCAGTTATCCAGGGTACTTTATATCCGTTCTATTTTGACACTCCCCTGGACCCACATGCAATAATAGTTTTGTTTTGAGCCTGATTTGTAAGGCAGACATTATGATGCTATTTTCAGTTAATAAAAACGTTACTTAGTCCTGGCATGGCATTATTTTCAAACAGTCAAGATGCTTCCAGACAACGAACAATCAACTTACGGGAAAACAACCTGTAGACGTGAATTCTCAAAAACACCTGAATTAGCAGTAGGCGGCAGAAAATATCCACCACTCTTCAGTACAATGCACACTTTGAACAAAACTACTGTTTAAAAGGCCTTTTATTTTTTAGTTGCTTTACGGATCCCCCCAAAATGAGTTTGGTTGGGAAAAATATACGTATATACATAAATTTCTGACATGACATTGCAAGGTACGCGGACAGGGCTGGCATGACTACCCCTGACTGTCGACACTGCATTGTCCAGCAAATCATTGCAAAGTGAGTGAGTGAGTATGGTTTTATGCCACTTTTAGCAATATTCCAGCAATATCACGGCGGGGGACACCAGAAATGGGCTTCACACATTGTACCCATGTCAGGAATCAAACCCGGGTCTTCGGCGTGACGAGCGAACGCTTTAACCACTAGGCTACCCGACTGTCCCCAAATCATTGCAGAAGCAATTCCTTCCAGTTTTGATGTCAGAGTCATCTCAATAGTGCATTACAAGACTTCAGAAATATGTTTTTTTATTCTAAATTCTGAAAGGCGGCAATGATGAAAAAGATCTTTTTCAATTTATGATTATTATTTGTTTCACATTTTTTTTCAGTATTTTGGGTCGGAGGATCCATATGCCAAAAAAAAAAGAGAAAAAAAGAGGCCTGATCACTTGTTTTTTGACAATGCAATGCAAGCTCTGCTATAACAAATATGGGTTTCTTTTGTAAAATACATTGTAACAAGAGTGCTTAGTGTTACTTAACTGGTGTCTAGGAAGGGACTGTGAGAAAAGTCATATGACATGTAAAGGTTTTCTGTGGTTTGGGTGAACCTCGAAAACCATCTCTACTGTGCCCATCAACAACATATTGATCACTTACAAATCATGACTGATTGGCACAATAAGGAAGCGAGTAATGACCGACTAATGGCCAACTATAGTGTTAGCTTTGTTGATATGTTATCATCTCAAATGATAGTCAAGATGGCAACAACAAATAAAAAAAAGAAGCTTTCAATCTCATTCATGTGAGACAAGACTTGTTATTGGCAGACAAGCATCGGAAATGGTATCTTAAACAGTGTCTATATACAATGGTAACACAATGGCCTTAGTGTCCTACACTGCAACACTGTGTCACAGAACACTTTGTTGTACAGTCCAAGGAATTATGCCCACAGTTAAAAGAAAAATTAAAAAACCTGTGCTAAAGAAACACTGACAACTTTAAGGAAGAGAATTTATGGATGTCAACTTCTAACAAAGAAGTTGACATCCATAAATTCTCTTCCTTATGTGTATCACTTCTAAATGCCTTTCAAAGACTTCATTGACAACTTTGCAACAGTTACATTCAGCATTGTGACATTGACCTGTAGTTTAAAAACAGTCTATCGCTGTAACAAAACATGTGAAATAAACAAGCAAACAAAGCAGGTTTCTATTTACTTCATATCATTACTAAACACAGAATGCTTATAAAAATAAGGTCCCAAACTAAGTAACTTATATTTCTTTCAGCTTCATCCATGTTTTGAAAAGCACAAAATCTAATGCTCCATTAGACTGTTTACCGTATGCTTGTCGTAAGAGGCGACTAACGGGTTGGGGTGGTCAGGCTCGCGGACTTGGTTGATGCATGTCATCGATCCCAATTGCGTGGATCGATGCTCATGATGTCAATCACTGGATTGTCTGGTCCAGACTCGCTTATTTACAGACCGCCGTCATATAGCTGGAATATTGCTGAGTGGGGCGTTAAACAACAAACCAACCACCGCTATTGTGGGCTTTGTTATATTATCTATGTCATTGTTTCCACCCACACGCAGTGAACCTGACACGAGAATATGCTCCAATATGTCCAGAAGAAATGTGTCACTTCATTATTGCAAGAAATGGAAACTTTTCGTATTAATTTCATGCTCACAATAATTGCATGATTTTCAGTATACAACAGTATATACGAGTAAAGTAGGTGTATTTTTCTAAGAGGAAACTTTAGTTCTTCAAAAAGACAAGTATCTGATTGAGGGGTTTGTGAAAGAATGTGTTCAGTATATGTCTAAGAAAAGTTATTATTTTAGACAGAACTGACAATGCTTAGTATTCTGCTCTTCCTGTTTTAGATTCAGATAGAGACTTTCAAAACATAAAAACTTTCCAAATTTACCATAACTTTGATAATCACCAGTATCTGAAGAAATGAAGTTCTGGTTTGTAACAATGAAGGAGAGATTATACAGCCTATTTCCAGAGCAGAACTCGATGTCATACAAAGTGCCATGAATGAAGCATCCTCTGTGTTATTAGGTAGGCATCCAAGGTGGACTATGCCCGACAATCTTTTACCCATTTTCAGCCTAACTATTGATGTTGAGGTTCACTACATGAATAAATAAATTTGATGTAATTTCCAGCATTTGGATTGACAAATGAGGCAAAAATCTTTGTGTTCATAACTCGATGGATTAAAAAGAAAAATAGGCCATGCCCACTGAACTACTTTCAGCAATCTGAACGAACATAGATACACAGATTCATACAGTTTGCACTTGGTGTTTGTTATGCATAACTCAAAGAACAAAAAAATATTTAAAGAAAATCTTTAATTGAAACTGAGACACTGTCTGTTTTGGGTGGGAAACTTGAACTGTTAGACTGAAATACATCACAAAATGGTGGTGGTTAAACAACGTAAGTCCAGTTTGTCAGTTCTAAGACTAGTACTACTTTCATTTTAGTATACACCATAAAACTTGTTGTAAGGCTTATAAAAATAGAAGAATTGGTTCTCAGGCAATGACTTTTGAAAATATAGTCCAGGTGGGCAGTGTTTTTGTTGTTGTTGCTTGTTCAAACTGGTATGTGACTAAATAAACAATGTACCATCAACCAGGGAAAGGGCCTCCCAACATAAACAAGTATACAAACTGCTATTGCCACCATGACCATAACACGAGATGTGCAGTAAAGCAGTACGCCAAGCTCCTCACAGCGATAGTACGTTCCCGGAGCTCTCTATACTATCGCTGCCACCAGTCAAAACTCCCCACTGTGAATAGGTGGCCACAACCATGCTTGGAGTTGAACTCGCAACCGAATAACCGTTATGTTTACAAACAAGTGACGACTGTCGTGACGCCGAATACACTTGTCGCTGCTAAATTACTTTCTTCGTTTGTCACTTTGAATCTCTGTTTCATTAAAACTATCGTGTTATTGACATAGTAAGAATGTAAGGGAGAAGTTGGTTGATTTTCCGTTAGTCTGCAATCTCGAACCAATCTGATTATCAAAACAACAAAGTAAATTCATCTCGAAAACATGGTCAGTCGTAAACCTTTTCAAATTGAAATATGATGGCATTCCCAAAGACATAAACAAAAGTATAAACGTTACTACATATGGGGTTGGAGGGCAAATTTCAAGATTCTTGTAATGGCCGCGCCCACACTGGTGGCAGCGATGTTACCGAGAGTGTAACGAAGGTGTCACGCGCTGGGAAGGAGCTTGGCAGTACGCATGTAAAGGGAAGTAACTGCATGCTATAATGGATTGCATTGTTTTGAGTGAGTTGGGTTTAATGCCACCTTTAACAATGTTCCAGTTATATCACGGCGTGTCAGCTTAATGTGGGAGGAAAGCCCGAAGTGATCACGACAAACCAAGAAACATAACCAGGGCGAACTAGAATTCAAAACCACAATCATAGATTTCTGGCCTGCCCAAGGGACACAACTCTGCACAGTGAATTGCTGCGCCTTAGACGACTGGGCCACCCATGCCCTCACATTGTTTTGAAGTATTAGGATTTCAAAAAAGAATTAAATTAAAAACGAAACATCCCCCCAGCAGACCTAATGATGATGCGAGCAGTGCCTGAGAAGTGAGACTATTATTTTTTGATAGCCTAACAGACACACAAAGTGGTGTATGAACAATTGAAATAAACTTCCTAAGACAGCCATTTTGTCTAACCCTAGTTCCCTTTAAGGGACATAACAGAAGGTGTTAGACAAAACAGAGAGTGTTACACAACAACATTATGGCAAATCATTCATTACTCACTGAATGACTTGTACTTCCCCACACAATGCAACTGTCACTATGGTTCCACCAATTGAAACAGTCACTAAAACAACACTTAACACATGTTATCACATTCTGAATGGATGCAGCTCATAACAACACACCATGCAACTATCCTGATGGAAACAAGGGAACAATGTGTGTGTGTGTGAGTTGGGTTTAACGCCGCTTTTAACAGTATTCCAGTTATATCACAGCTTGTCAGCTTAATGTGGGAGGAAAGCCCGAAGTGATGCAGGTCTCAGACGTTTACCACTTCGGTGAAACCCACGAGCACAGATATGGTGCTGACAAACCTAGAAACATAATCGGGGCGAACCGGGATTCGAACCCACAATCATAGGTTTCTGGCGTGCCCAAGGGACGCAACTCTGCACAGCGAATCGCGGCGCCTTAGACGACTGGGCCATCCGCACCCCCTACGGGAACAATGAAACAGTGAGTGAGTGAGTGAGTTGGGTTTAACGCTGCTTTTAACAGTATTCCAGTTATATCATATTGTGTCAGCTTAATGTTGGAGGAAAACCCGAAGACGTTTCGAACTTCGGTGAAAGAACAATGAAACAAATTTGAAAATAAGCCTTACTGACAGTAAATTTGAAATAGCGTGCATACAAATTCATCACATCACAATCAAATATTGAGATGTGTTTGTGTGCATTGTTAAACGCGTATTTGGTAGACAAGATTGGGAATCCTTGATAGCATATAATTTTACAGTGTCTAAAACTTAGTGTTCCCTTATGAATTTCCATCAGTATATTCACATGAACAACACAGTAACGCCAACACACACAGATGAGCAGACTCACATGGACACATCACAGGGTTATATCAATATTTGATCCTCCAAATCCTGGGAATGTTATCACTAGTAGACAACATCATAGTGATATGGCCATAAGAAATAAACGGTTCCTCATCTGTTAATTCTTCAATATTATAGGTCACCAGGCATTTTTCTCCTCTATTTTTCAATAGGTAGAAAACTAATTCAAACTTGTTAGCTTAGGCAATAAAAGACAACTCTTCCACTGAAGTGAGACAATATTGACATTAATGGAACCATTAAATAACACAGACATAGCCTGTTCGCTGTTATAAATAAGTGGGTTACGGATGTCATAATATATGGTACGCTATATTATCGGGTAGTTACCGGTAATTAAAAAATAGATCGTAATGGCGCACACTTACTAACCTACTAAATATGTCATAAAAAAACAACGTTTCTTCTTATTTGTTCAACTTTTATGGCACATCAATGAGGATTGATTTTGATATTGAGTTTGGTTAACAAAGTACCTGTCATTGGTGATTCAAGGGTGGGCAACTCTATTATCGTAGTATGGCTACATGTGGAATATGTGCTTTACATCACTTCCTGTTTTGGATTATGCATAATAAGTATGCATACGATCTAGGTTGGGTCAAGGGACTTCGTCCAAACAAATGGATCCTGTATTCAATAAAGCTATGAAATATCATGCTTAGGTTTGGTAAAGTAAACATTCGACAGGGTGTGTGGATTACGAGATTTACCAATACCGTGATAAAATAGAAAGCACAATAATATAGAGTCACTCTTTACATATACTATTATGTTGAAACCCATGACCACGAGTATGGTGTTGACAAACCAAGAATAATAAGCAGGCTAACATTGAATTTGAACCCACAGTCATCGGATACTGGAAGGGTGAAGGGACACAACTCTGCACATCAAATCACAGTTCCTTAGATCACTGGGTCATCCACACCCTTTCTTCAATGAAGATAAGAAACATTTTTTTCACATTTCATGGCATCACATGATAAATGGTACATTTATATAAGATTTTCCAATCTGAAGGATATCACCATTGGTAGAGTAAGGACAACACACGATTGGAGGTGTGTTTCAAATGATTGTATTTTCATGATATTTGGGAATTCATTCAGTATATTATATGTCTCCCCGACACCTCTAAACTGAGGGTTCCAATCTACATTTAAAAACAACAACCAATCAAATCTCATTTACTAAGTCTTCACCATTGTGTTCACTGAATTTCAATTTTAAATCCATCACAAAAAAAACCAACATGGCTTAACAGACTGAACAAAATTCTTGAGATGCAAAATTTTGTAGTACTGGTAATTGATTTCAGTATTTTAATCAGATTTATATTTCAGTGAAGAACAATCATAAAACTAATCATTCTTTACATCACACCAGATGACATCAATATATTTTTTAAATTCTAAAATGATTTCTGTGTTGGTGCTCATGGAATCAAATTAGACGCTATTGCAGGATGATCCATTCAATAAATGAAAAACAATTACTGAAATTAAGCGCCTCTGACCAACTTCCAGACCAATCTGTAAGTAATCTTTATACTTTCACCCTAGTCACACTGACAATTTACATATCAGTCTGTATTTTAGTGTGTATATTGCAAATATGAAAACAACAGCCTAAATTTTGCCCTGTGACTATTATCGAAATGGATCTACAGGAGGTCTAATGCAGTTTCATTACAAATTACAAATGTGTGCATTGTTTGAATATGCCCCCCCCCCCCCCCCCAATATTGTAAGCGCCTGGGACTCTTATTACAGCGAATACAGTTCACATAACTGTTTTTTTACATAGATGAATTTATGTTATCATATATGTTCTCTTCATTATAATTCTGATTAATTCATGGACATGATTTGTTCTTTGCCATCACAGATGCAACATCTTCCAAAATGTTTCGGAACTCAACAACAAAATGAAAGCACTAAAACTGTAAAACATATTCAACAATCTATACACTAATACATTCTGAAAAATGATGAGTATTGGCACAAACTGTCATATTTTATATCTTTCTTCTGATTGGCTGATCACAACCAAGCTGCCATCTCATTGGCTGATCACAACTACAGCATGACACCTGACTGGATGATCACAATTGACACTGCTGATTGGCCAATCACAATCTAGGTTTGCTTTTGTCTGAGGTTTTCGTCTTCTTCAACCCACCCTTGCTGAAGCCAGAGATGGAGCTGAGTAGCGCGCCACGCCCTCCTGATGCCGCTGGTGGCGGGGCACTGGAGGGGGGTGGGGGAGCAGGAGCTGGGGGTGGGGGAGGGGGAGGAGCACCAGAAGATGGTGGAGGGGGAGGAGGTGGAGGAGGAGGTGCTGAAAAGAGAAACAGAAATAAGTTAGCAAGCACTTGTCAAAATAGTTCCTTTTTCTTGAACAGTTTGTTTGTTTGTTTAACGCCCCACTCAGCAATATTCCAGCTATATGACGGCGGCCTGTAAAATAATCGAGTCTGGACCAGACAATCCAGTGATTGACATCATGAGCATCGATCCACGCAACTGGGATCGATGACATGTATCAACCAAGTCAGCGAGCCTGACCACCCGATCCCGTTAGTCGCCTTTTACGACAAGCATAGTCACCCTTTACTCTTGAACAGTTGTAGACTTATTAGGGAGCAGCCAAGAGATATTCGGGAGGGGGGGGGGGGGGGGGGAGGCCTGGGATTTTGTATAAAAATTAGATATTTTCTTATTTAAAACTATGAGCTTGAATATTTCTATTCAGAAAAACACCTTGCCACAATGTTATTTTGGAGGCAGGCAATTCTGTTTTTCAAATGTCTAAAGCAAAATTGTAGTTTCAATCTTCAGTTTGTAGTTTAGTTTGCAATTTAGGGACAATTTTTTGTTTTTTTCAATAAAAACCCAATACCCCTCCCCCCACTACCTCCCAAAGTATATCGGCCAATACACCAAGTAGGATTTCTTGTTTAGAAATGGGTCCAAGCAGTAAAAGTAAAAAGTAAAACGTGTTCTTTGATGCTATGAGACCGACAACAACATTGTTTATCAAGCAATCATCCTTCCCTGTAGAAGTGACATCAGAAACAAAAATCAATTAAAGTATTTTCAACTGGAGGTGATGGAAATGTGCAACTGACTGCAACATTGTTGCAGCATGGAGACTGTCAGACACAACACAATCAAATTGCTGCATATGTTCAAGAACGGGGCAAAAAAAGGGCATTCGATCATCATCTCAACAGGTATCAAGTAAACAAAAGCTAAATAATGGGTTCCACACATTGTAACTATGTGGGGAAATGAACCTGATCCTTCAGTGTGATGAGTGAAAGCTTAATCCACTCCACTACCCCACCACCCCCATTGTTTAAAGACTATGAAGTATGTGTGCACAAGTATCGTCATAATGAAACAACTCAGTAGGACACTTGAGATAATTACATAATGCCTGAAACATGTAATCATTTACAGTGAGTGAGTTGGGTTTAACGCCATTCTTAACAGTATTCCAGTTATATTGCGTCGTGTCAGCTTAATGTGGGAGGAAAACCCGAAGTGATGCAGGTCTGAGACGTTTACCACTTCGGTGAAACCCATGAGCACAGGTATGGTGCTGACAAACCTAGAAACATAATCGGGGCGAACCGGGATTCGAACCTACAATCATAGGTTTCTGGCATGCCCAAGGGATGCAACTCTGCACAGCGAATTGCGGCGCCTTAGACGACTGGGCCACCTGATCATTTACAGAACGTAGAAACCTTAATATACATTGTTTATACAGGGTGGTATAACCAGCTATATAACCACTTTTATGTAGTATACTATTGTTATATGAGGTGTTAAATATTTAAATTATGTACACCATGTATACATAATTGATTTAAATAGTTTAGTTGCATTGGGTTATTTTGATAATTTTTGCAGAAATTCTTTTGAAAGTCACATATATATATATATATATATATAATTAGTTGTTAGTAAAGTTGACCATTTGATAGGAAGATAGTATTGGAATATTGAAGAAGTTAATTGACAGTATGCAGATGGCCAGAGATTGTGAGAATCTGTACATACACATGTAAACAGGACTTTTCATTTCACATTCAAGACTAAGATCTTTGTTTGCTAATTTCTTAGATAATACACAAGACAGTTTAATTACAATTGTTAAATTATCAAGATCATACCGTCTTCACTTTCTGTTTATTGGTTTTTTTTATTAACTAATAACAAATAGCAGCAAAAGGCTGACAACTGAGGTTAGCAGCATTATTGCTATATGCCATTCTTAGCCATAGCATGTGTGGTGATTAAAATGGCTACTGCTCAAAGTTAACACCAATGAGAGCCTGACACTATATGTGAAACTCATCTCCCAACAAACGGTTTATATGCCAACAACAATGTGCTGAAACAAAACAAAAGTGAAGAGAGAAAAGATTCATCCAAAGCAGGTCTGTTGGCAACATGGTCAAATATTCTTTGACATCAAAACATTAATGTATACATGTGAAAGAATATAAATGTCTGACAATTTACACAAAAGGCCACACATTCATCAGAGCAACATACAATATATGTGAGTGAGTGAGTATGGTTTTACGCCGCTTTTAGCAATATTCCAGCAATATCATGGAGGGGGACACCAGAAATGGGCTTCACACATTGTACCCATGTCGGGAATCGAACCCGGGTCTTCGGCGTGACGAGCGAACGCTTTAACCACAAGGCTACCCGACCGCCCCTACAATATATGTACATGACCAAGACAACAAAGCATTTACATGCACAATGCAGCACAATTTTACATAATTAATATGCTTGCATGTTACAGAGAAATTAGTGTTTAATATCACTTTTATTCATTTTCTGCGTGTCTAGGTCTAAAATATTAATTGACCCACATAACCCAGTCTGAAAACATTTGCGTTACAACACAGAATCTGCAGCAGAAACACATACCTAACTAGGACTGTATACAATGATTAACAATAACACAGGCGATTATTGGTACGCATGAAACAGATGCACAACATCTACCAACAGACAGACTACGATGCAATGAAGCGTGGATTGCCATAGCCAACAGAAGTTGCAAAAGAAGCAAAAGCTGAAATAGATAGTTGTAGAGACAGTAGTACTAGACATTCAGCATGCACCCATATGAGACAGGCAGTTTATACCTAACACTGTGAATTACGATCTCTGTGAGGTCTCTGCTAGTTGTCGCCTGTAGGGGAAAGAAACAGCGGTCAAGGATTGGACACTGAATAAGAGTTATCTGCCCCATTCATATGCAAGGTTGGAGAGATGGGTGAAGGACTGAGGCTACTTTTATTAATTGCTGCTCAAACTGTCTTACAAATGTATTTGTGAAAGTCAGAGCCTGTCTTGGATTTTTTTTAAGTCTTGAAGATTATCTAATGACAGGCAAAGGAAATTGGGGACCTCAACATACTCCAAATAGTTACTAATTTAGGATATAATAGGATTAAAAGTCCCCCCTTTCTTTTTCACCACTTACAAATCTACCTAAGGCTACAAAAAGTATTAGTCTTGGTTCTCAGGGACTGCCCACATCATCATAAAGTCCGCCGCACATTTCGTTTTTTATTTCCATTTGCAAAAGAATTAAAAAATCTTTACATATTCCACGTCTCGAATACAAGACCCTGGCAGTGATATGCTACAATACGTAAGCACACTACAGCGTGTACAGAAGAGTACATTTATAATGCCTTTTACTGTATTGTGTCTGTACTGTCAGTAGAGGATTTTGAAAGCATTAATGAAGGATTGCAACACATTTTATCATCCAAATCTGGCTCCCACAGGAGATATCGCTTGGATGAGATCAAGTGATATCTACACTGTAGATATCGCTACAGTGAAATTACATCAAAATGCTTTGCAGACCATTGTGACGTCACTGGTTACCATGACAATCACAATCAAATGACATCACTAATGGCTCTGCTACTGAAGCTGTTAGCAGTACTTTGTACACTGAAGACACTGCTAATTACTGTCTACAAATTAAAAAGGTGGGAAGAATGATGTTGGATGATAAAAAAAATCTCACCCTCGTGTCTTTTTATATCAAATATATCAACACTTGTTGATAAAAATTGCAAAAATCCTCGGCAAGCCTCAGAAATTTTCCACTTTTATCAACTTGTGTTGATATAATTGATATCAAAAGACAGTCGGCCGAGATTCTCTATATAAAAGATGAAATACAGAAATTTTAGACAAGGCCTTTGTAGCAGCTGATTAATTGGATGGATAAAGATATCGGAACTCAACCCTGTCTAGTCATGGTGATGTCGGGAGAATTTATCGAAAAGGGGGCTCAAAAAGATATACCTGTGATACGATTGGTGTGTGTGTGGTGACTTGTTAGACGTGGTGATGGTGTAACTGGTGACGGTGTAACAGCAGACGATGCAGCAAGCAACTACTACAACGCCACACTACCTGTTTCGAATGCAACACTATGTCCCCCTATTTTCATGTCAACAGTCTTTTTCTACCAAGTCTTGCTACCTTACTCCTGGAGTAGCAACTCATTTGCAAACTATGTGCGCCCTGAACAAACACAAAACATTAAATGCACCTACGGTTATACCAAACTATTTATTAGATTTTCACCCCTACCCCACTACCAAACACCTTTTGTCATTTCAATGTCCACCTTTGCCAACAAAGAAAATGACAAGCGTTGTCTTACTACTTGATGAAACACACCACACTGTATTCAAACCAAACATTCATGCTTCATGTAAATCACACCTTTCCAAAGTTAACCACAGATGCCGGGATGAGTTTGTATAAACATAAGGCTAAACAAATAATAGTCTTGGTTCTCAGGCACTATCCGCATCATTATAAAGTCCGCCGCACGTTTTGTTTTTATTTCCATTTTCAAAAGAAATAAGAAATCTTTAAATATTCCATGTCTCGAACACACGACCCTGGCAGTGAAATGCAACGATACTTAAGAACAACATGATTTTGCCGAAATCATTGTCAACTAAATTTGGTTACACACTAGCTTAAACAACAAAATCTTTTAAAACGAACAACATCCACCCGCACTATATTTTCAAAAGCCAATGCCAGAGAATCAATTCTTTTATTTTTATAAACCTAACAAAATGCAACAATTAAATCTCCAAATCCTCAGTTTTTTAAATAAATGTGGATGAAAATCAACTAACTAATTTATTGTGGGCTAATTATGGGAATTTGTTTCAGGTAAATAACAACTGGAAGATATAATTTCTTCATCACGTTCATTTTCTAAATTTGTTCTGTGATAAAAACTATCCTCCAAAATAAACAGGCAAAATGTTATTCTTCAAGTGAACTTGTTCTCTTTAAAAGAAAAGAAATCTGGCACCTGTGTTGCCAAATTTTGGATATGTAATAAAAAATATTACACCTACTGCTCCAATGTTTTATTAATTTTGCCTGAGGGCTCCTCTTTTTACAGCTAATAGTCATCATGCTCACAAAGCATGACACAATTAATCAAACTCCATCTTGATAATTACGTGGAATATTATTCAATAACATTTCCTTAACCACACAAATGAAACATGTTAAGAAAGCAGTAAGAGTAAAGGCATGATACAGTTTTGCTACAAGAAAGAATTAATCCCCGGAGCCTACAGAAATCAGACAGGAACAAGAATAGAAGGCAAATCACAGAGTCAGTGTAAGGGGAGACAACTGTGTACCCACCTGCCCCTGTGGTGGACATTGGACTAGCTGCAGAAGGTGATGTGGGAGCCGGGAATGACGACGATGTTGGAGAAGTTGGTGATGTTGGTGATGTTGGAGATGTTGGTTCTGCATCACCATTCTCTAGAGCTTTCTGTTAAAATGAAAATTATCAAGAATGATAATTTGTTTTATTTGTTTGTTGTTTCACACCACACTCATCCATATTCCAGTTATTGGTGGCATGCAAATAACGGAGTCTGGGCCAGACAATCCTGTGATTCATATTGGGAGCAAGCAATCCATGCCCTTGATCCATCTGTACGTCTCTGCTAATAATGAATCCTCTTTAGCAATCTTAGCACCACGACTGTTAATTCCCTTACTTATATGAGAAGATCTGGGGTAGAATAGGTCTTCAGCAATCCGTGCTTGCTGTAAAAGGTGACTATGCTTGTCATAAGAGGCGACTAACAGGATCGGGTGGTCACGCTCGCTGACTTGGTTGAAACATGTCATCGATCCCAATTACGTGGACCGATGCTCATGATATTAATCACTGGATTGTCTGGTCCAGACTCGATTATTTACCCACTGCCGTCATATAGCTGGAATATTGCTGAGTGCGGCGTTAAACAACAAACGAACCAACCAGCCTGATCCATGTGCTTGCCTCTTACAACCAGCATACAATTGTGGGGACCTATTCAAACCTGGACTTTTGAAAGGGTTATAATTTTCTGAAACTTTTTGTTTTCAGATAATGACTTTTAAAAAAGGAATTATTATCAAATGTTGTCAGAAATAATTTTATCTTTATGGTTGGTTCACTAACAAGATTTAAAATCCATCTTTTCAAAATTGGAAATTTTAGTATAAATTGTATGTTTATATACTTATCCTATCTCACACTTTGCATTTTTCCCTTCTTCTTCGATCCTATGTGGGAACATGCTTGAATCATGTTTCCAGCTTCTGAAAATAAGAATAGCCACCCAAGCCCCCCGGCATCTCCATGGTCACGTCCAAATGCTACGTCAATTACGTGCCTCTCACATGTAATCCACCCTCCAAAAGGGACTCGATATGGGAAAAAATCGAACATAAAAAAACAACATGTAATACCACATAAATGTTCAATGATTTATTCAATATATACAATTGGATGATGGTTGAAAGGGTGCAGTTACTCTGGAGGGCCATGGAAGATGCATCCGCACAAGTCTCGTGAGGATTGGACGTTGTAGGTGGAGGCAGACTGGCGAAAGTATACGCTTGCAGAATGATGGAGCTGAGCCAGAAGGATAGTGTCGTACGAGAAATTTCCGATGTAGACTCAGTCGACAATGGGATGAAAAGTCTCTCCCGGGAACGTCTGTGGAGGCGAGACGCATCGAGATATATTTGAAGCGCCCGAACCGGGCACAAGGACAGGTCTTTGTGGTCGTTCGATCCCAAAACAGCCGAGAGCGGGAGAATCATAAATAACTGGTCCGGTTGTCCAGGAAGTTGGTTCTTCGTCTTGAAATCCCAACGAAGCCCCAGGAACACTTTGCCACTTCCTGATCTGTCAAATTGAACCCTAGTGACATCCAAAGCATGAATTTCGCTAACCCGTGCAGCGGTGGCCAAAGCCAACAAAAAAAACGGTCTTCACCGTAACTGTCTTGAAATCCTTCTCAGTCAGTGGTTCGTAATCGCCAGAAACCAGGTGTTGGAAGAATAACGTTTAGGTCCCACAAAGGAGGCCGAAAACGAGCAGCTTGGTCGGCTAATTTGTAGGAACGGATGAGTGATTGTAGCTCCGTAACCATGGAAACCTTTGCACTGGAAGTGGTTGAGATGACGGAGCTAATGGCTGCGAGGTGGACCCCCAAAGTTTCCGAGTCGAAACGCAGGTAAGTATTCGGCATTCTGTTGAGATGAAGCTGAGGTAGGAGTGGAAATATCACGAGCGTGACAATAAGTCTCAAAAGCCATCCACTTGTGGTCATAAAGGCGCTTGGTGGAAGCACGGTGGGCAGCAGAGATGGTCTTCACTACCCGCTGGGAGAAACCTTTTGCTACGAGGGACTTCTGCAGATGCGCCAAACGCAAAGATGGAGCATTGCAAGAGGTCTACTTCCGGGGCCCGATAAAGTTGGTAAATCCATTGGAACGATTGTGGATGAGGAGACCACTCGGTTGGTGATGGTCTGTCTGGTCGGGACAGGGAGTCTGCTATGACGTTGGATATCCCAGGAATGTGCCGAGCGCAGACATGTATGTTGAGGGAGTAGATGAGATGAAAGAACTTGAGAGCAAGTGAGAGTATGGACTTCGACTTCGTGGATCCCATCCTACTGGATCCTACTGGATCCCATCCCACCACCGCCGCGGACTGGGTCATGAGGGAGGAGGGAGGAGGACCAGAGGAGGTCCGACCAATGCGAAATTGCGAGAATTGCTGCCTTGAACTCAAGATTGTTGATGTGAAGGCAACGTTCTATGTTGGACCACCGCCCTGCTACTTGCCGATCTTGAAAATGTGCTCCCCAACCGACGGTTGAAGCGTCGATGAACAGATGGAGGGACGGGAAGAATGGCGTCAAGGAGACCCCGTCGCCAACGTTCGACGTGACCAGTCACCATTGAAGATGAGGGTGGAGATTGAGCGGTAGAGAGATCGGCGTGTGACAATCATTGATCCTGATAAAGGGCGCGAGAAAACATTGAAGAGGTTGCAAATGAAGTCGACCCCGTACATGAGCGCCTGCGCCGAAGTTAGGAGGCCCGGGAGTTGTTGCCATTGGCGCAGTCGAAGCGGCTGTTTGAGTGCTAATGGTACGAAACGTTGAATCTTCACCCACCAGTCGTGGGGAACGAACATCAGACCTTGCCGAGTGTCGAACAGGGCTCCTATGAATTGGAGATGTTGGGTAGGAATGTCAATGTTGGTAGCTGCCTGGCCAGATACGTTCTCTGAGGGGGATGGAATGTCGTAGATGGCGGTGGGATCATCGGTAAGCGATACCCTTGTTGAAGCAGCTCCATCATGAAGGGGTCTGGGAGCATGGTCTAATTTCTTGCAAAGATCTTGAGTCTTCCGCCTATGGATGTCGCTGTAACGGGAACGGCTGGAGGCGGAAGTTCTCAGTCGTGCCTATTTGAATAGGAGTCAAGTTCCTGCCGAAACCTCACCCTTGGGAAGGTTTGCCGGCGCCCTTTGGTCTGGTAAAGGAGACCGATTGACCCGAGGAGGGCTTCGAGCCCCGTTGACCTCTTCGACCTCTGCCACGCCTTCAAAAGGGATTAGGCCGGGAAGAAATAAGCTCTCGTAAATCGTGCTGGGCAGGAACAAATTGGGGATATTGGCGATTCTTTTTCTGTTGATCCTCCAATTGTCTTTTCTGGAGACGTAGAAGGTCCACCGTCTCTCTGTACATCCCATGAGACCTGTTGTATCGTGTCAGCAAATAAGGAGCGGGAACACCTGGGTTGCTGATACAGTTTGGCCTTAAATAGGTCATCCCAGGAAGAATGTACGTTGCAGCACACCACAGCGACGAAGAGCTGTCATGGAGCCGGTGTGGTGAGTGAGGAGGTTCAAAATCAGCGTAAGCTTGTCTTGTGTAAGGTTGATTAATCCCCGAGTAAAGGCCTCTTTTTGGGAATGAGTGGAGAGAGAGACAGAGAGTGCGTCCATGGCTGCCAAAATAGTAGACACGAGTGGGAGGGTATGGCGGACTGTGGCATATTATTTAGGATACTCGAACAACTTGGTGAAGGACAACAATTCTGTGATGAGAGAGGCATGTAATTGACCTAGCTTTTGGATGTAACCATGGAGATGCAGGGGTGGTTTGTTTTTTTATTTTCAGAAGCTGGTAACATGATTCAAGCACGTTCCCACATAGGATCGAAGAAGAAGGGAGAAATGCAAAGTGTGGGATAGGATAAGTTTTAAAAAATTCCATTTTTACCTAAACACACCCATCAGAACTGCAACCCATTTCCAAAATGCAGCACAAAAAAGAAATCAAAGAACACCCGATTCTTTCATATTACTTATCAGTTAATCTGTCCTAAATGGATGCTGCCCCTACTTCATCAGTTTGTACAAACAAGTCGTTCCTCCATCACTCATGAATACACCAGCGCATCAAGTCACAGCACTATTACTCATGCACCTTGTGTGAGTCTGTGCACAGACCTAATGTCACCACCTGAGTGAGTGAGTGAGTGAGTGAGTTGGGTTTAACGCTGCTTTTAACATTATTCCAGTTATATCATGGCGTGTCAGCTTAATGTGGGAGGAAAGCCTGAAGTGATGCAGGTCTCAGACGTTTACCACTTCGGTGAAACCCACGAGCATGGGTATGGTGCTGACAAAACTAGAAACATAATCAGGGCGAACCGGGATTCGAACCAACAATTATAGGTTTCTGGCGTGTCCAAGGGATGCAACTCTGCACAGCGAATCACAGCGCCTTAGACAACTGGGCTACCCGTGCCCCCGTCACCACCTGACTACAAACAGTCATATATCAATATTACACTTCATAGCATGCATATGTATTCATGGCTGATGGAGAGAGATACTGCTTACAAACCCATGAAGCATCGACAATGTAAATCTTGAAATCTTTGACAATTACAGAATTGTCCTTCCATTCGTCTCGGGCAGATGGCCTGGATAAATTGAATATGCAAAATCTTTAGCATGGCTACATCCCATTCATTACACAGAAATATCAATGAAGCAAGTGAGTCAAGCCCTGGTTTGGTCTTTGCAGTGTTCATGTACACACAACAGCCATTGTGGACATCTAATATCCATTCCAGACAAAACAAAATTGCATCACTGTCTCACCTTCCTTGATTTCCGCCTCTTCTTCTTCTCATCCTCTGACATGTGGAATTCTTTTGCCTTCGAGATGCGCTTCACTTTGGAAATCTGCAAGCAAAATATAAAGAAGATATCTGTACTTAACTGTATGTTAATTTATCATCCCAAACTTCCACAGGAGATATCTCTGGGGTGAAATCAAGTGATATGTTCAATGAAATTGCATCACAATGCTTTGCAGACCAGTGTGATGTCATTTGTTACATGATGTCATAATCAAATGAAATCACTAAGCTCTCTGCCAATGAAGCTGGTTAGCTGTACTCCAGACACTGCTTAGAAAGAAATAAAGTTTGCAAGGGTCTTCGCGCTTTTTAAAGACTAAACCCTGTGTTTTATAAGAGATGGGTTAAAAAAGAACTTGAAATTAGCAGTGCCTTAAATTGAGAATCCTTGATAAGAAGTGTTGTGCTAAAACCCAAGAGTAATGTCAGGTTTTAGTGACTAGTTTCAGGTGGCTGGCTCTCATCGGAACAGGGCTAACTGACAGGCTGTACCCTTACGTTAAACGACAAAGTATTTTTAAACATAACAAAACGTCGGTTAAATGGGTCGTTTATAGTTTAACAAAGCAATATTTTATTATCCTTTCAGTGTGTGATTATCCATAATCCTAACTACAAGTCATGAAGTATTGCGCTTACAAGCTGGTGGCATCTTCGTACGGACAGCGGCCTGGGGAATGACATGGGGTCATTGTGGGACGAACATGGCAGAGGAAGAGCAACATTGGTCGATTTGTTTGACTGAAGTAAGTTGTCAAACGCCACTGAGCAACAGGTGTACACGTAGGTATGAAACTCATCATGGATTGCTCATGCCTGTGTCCAGAGACAGTCATAATACCTAGAGCACCAACACCCGCCTCAGACAACTTTGTGGCTGCTGTACCATGGACATAGTTGTTGGAATCTGCTTGGGAAACCCCTACTGCATGAGGGATGGCTGACGTCATATATGCTATATTTCTCCCAGGTAATAATTTGTTTGTTTGTTTGTTTGTTTGTTTGTTTGTTTGTTGTTTAACGCAACACTCAGCAATATTCGGGTTATATGACGGCGGTGTGTAAATAATCGAGTCTGGACCCGACAATCCAGTGATTGACATCATGAGCATCGATCTACGTAATTGGGATACAATGAATGCATCAACCAAGTCAGCAAGCCTGACCACCCAATCCCATAAGTTGCCATTCACGACAAGCATAGTTGCCTCTTACGTCAAGGACAGATGCCTCATATGTCAAGCATGGGTTGCTGAAGACCTGTTCTACTCCGGATCTTCACAGGTATCGCATTCAATTATTCAACAAAGGGTTATAACATTCAATTATTCAACAAGTATAAAGAAACTATTTCGCCGATCAATAATTGATGTAGATGGTAGAGGGATCGCAATTTTTTACTTCTCAATACAAGTATTGATGACCATTGCACACTAAGTAAAAGTATCAATTTTTACATAAATGTATGCTTTAATAAATGTCACACCAAACACTAATTACTTGTGAAAATGAGCAGTGAAAACTAAATGTTTTCATCCACTGCGCCATACTTGACAGTGCCAACTGTAAATCATCAGTGTGCCAGGTATTTGGCCATCCTTTCTATGAAAAAGATGGCTTAGGGACCACAGATAAGAGCATATGCAATTATCGTGATACGTATCGGATCGTGAGCAAGGTATCGTGATGTGTATCAGATTGCACAGTTGGTGTCTCGTCCAAGCCCTAGTAGATGTGTCATCCTGCTTGACAGTTTTTAGAGAACAATTTCACCAAGGATATGATAGTTCATAGGGGAGGTAACCTGAACAGCATCATGACATCAGGCCATTACGATGTAACTCAAAAAGTGAACTTTATCGCAGGATAAACTAGTCAGTGCTTTCGATCTTTTTGCGAAGCTTCTTAGAATACTGTTTACCAACTGAACAATTTGGACAAATTATGTTGGATGATAAATAGAATCTCGTCTCAGTGTCTTTATCAACACATGTCCATAGAAGTTTAAAATTCCTCAGCAAGCCTACAAGTTTTATCGACTTTAAACTACAGTAATAACGAACTCAAAGGGACCACTAATTTTAGTTCGTTTTAACCATAGTTTGTAATAAGCATGTTCGTAAGGAACGTATTTTACTGTACACACGGTCGAGATTCTCCATCCTTACCAGCTTTTGTTCCTCTTTGAGCCTTTGTTCAAACTGGTCTCGAGCTGTACGCACAAACTCCTTCAGTTTGCTGGGAACCTTCAGCTGTGGTTTCTCCATAACACCCAGAGCTACATCAGCAAACAGCCTGAAATTACACCATCAGTTTACTGGCTGTCCTTCGTACAAGATCCACAAAAGCATGGGTGGAAGTTAAGACACTGAGTCACTTATTCTGAACTGTATCTTTGACACTAAAGCCACACTGACTCATCTTCTTCACTGACATATAATCCTGCCCGTAGGAAATATTAACATCAAAAGTTTATAGTATTATATAACCAACCCCCAAGAAGGAGACCTGCGTTTCTGTGTTAAAGGGGCTACACAGAACGCTCCCTGTGTTCCTGTGTCAAAGGGCCTACACAGAACACTCCCTGTGTTCCTGTGTTAAAGGGCCTATACAGAATGCTCCCTGTGTTCCTGTGTTAAAGGGACTACACAGAACGCTCCCTGTGTTCCTGTGTTAAAGGGCCTATACAGAATGTTCCCTATGTTTCTGTGTCAAAGGGGCTACACAGAATGCTTCCTGTGTTCCTGTGTTAAAGGGCCTACATAGAATAGTTCTTGTGTCAAAGGGGCTACACAGAATGCTCCCTGTCTTTCTGTGTCAAAGGTGCTACACAGAATGCTCCCTACACAGAATAGTTCCTGTGTCAAAGGTGCTACTCACGGATGAGACATGAGGTCAGATACACTGGGCAGCCCATTCTTGCAGGCCTCAGTCGTCAGTATTGATTCTAGCACAGATCCTGAAAGAAGGAACAAATTGTGAGGGATTCTCACTTAAGAAAAATAATTTTGCAGATAACTTTTGTATCAATGTGAAATCTCTCAAATAGTGCAACAGCAAAATGAAAGTGAGTGAGTATGGTTTTATGCAGCTTTTAGCAATATTCCAGCAATATCACGGCGGGGGACACCAGAAATGGGCTTCACACTTTGTACCCATGTCAGGAATCGAACCTGGGTCTTCGGCGTGACGAGCGAAAGCTTTAACCACTAGGCTACCCAACGAGCCCTCAAAATGAAAGTATGCACCTAAATACTTAAAGTGGGAGAAAGATGCACTGTGCAACAAAAGGGTAAGCCAGGAAAGGAGCTGCCAAAAACAGCTACCCTTGAAAACATCATGACAAATTTGTTTTCTTGTTGCTAAATAGGTGCATAGTCCACAATAGGTGCATCTTTTAATGTCTTTTGGAATGTCGTGGCCGGGGATTGAACCCTGGACCTTCCACTCTCCAGACCACTAGACCACGGAGGAGGTCAGGTTATGAGTCCATGAGAACAGGTTTGTCCAGACTCACGTATCTGTGCCGGGCAGTCTGGAGGGAAGCTGTCACAAGACGCTGTGTTGAGTTGTCTACCGAATGCCATCTCGTACAGTAGATGTCCGAAGCTGTACACATCTATTGCTTCTGTAGTCTGTAAGTACAACAAATATAGGTAAAGGCAATGGCACTACCTGAGTGCAAAACCAGCAATAACAGAAGCACTCTTCAAATCTCAAAATCTTTCCCTCCCTCCTTGCTGGAGTTTGTGATGGAGTTGATATATGAACAGTATTTCTGCCATGGCATTGTGTCCCCTTAATGTGGGCTGAATGACTAAAGCTCTTAGATATTTACCACTTTGTTGAAACCCTAGAGCAAGGTAGGTATGGTGCTGACAAACTAGGGATAATATATAATCACAATCTGTCTGAATGTAGGATTAGATCTCCTAATCATAGAATCCTGATACATCTAAGGGACACAACTCTGCACAGTAAATTGCAGTGCTATAAACAACTGGGCCACTCGTACCACCTAGGAATATTTCCACAAATGCAATGGCCATGATGCCGTCCACACAGCATTAGAATACCTGCACATAATCAGCAAATATTTCGTAGATAATTTTCTCCAATGGATTAGTTCTTTGTGCAAAGGTACATCGCTGTATTGTAAAGTACCTCTATGTTTTTTTCTCCATTTTATGTGTACAGTTTGCATCCTAGCAACAGCTAATTTTTGGACTGGTTTGTACAAGCATCCTCAGTCTGCAAGGTAGGTTGGTTAGCAATATTGCCGCTATATGTTTGTTTGTTATTGCTTGTTGTTTAATGCCGCACTCAGCAATATTCCAGCTATATGACGGCGGTCTGTAAATAATTGAATCTGGACCTGACAATCCAGTGATTAACATCATGATCATCGACCTATACCATGTACACAATTAAGATTCCATGACGTGCATTAACCAAGTCAGCAAGCCTGACCACCTGATCCCGTTAGTCGCCTCTTACAAGAAGCATAGTTGCCTTTTACGGCAAGCATGGGTTGCTGACCAAGTCTAAGCCGGGAAACTTCACGGGGAGGAACAGTTAGGTGACATACTTGGATCTTCTTGAACTGAGTGAAGAAGGGTCGATGATACGAGGGCAGACCAAGCAGCCAGTTCTCCAGCTCCAGCAGCTGGCACGTGCTGCCATTGATGATGATGTTGCCTGCATGGAGGTGGCCTGCAATACACACATCATCTCACTCTACACACACATTTGTCCCGCGCCATGAGAGTCGAATTCATATATAGAGAGATATTTGTTTTACGTAAAGCCTTGGCAAGTATCCTTGATTCTACAAACATGAAAACAGCAGAAGCGGAAGTGGTTCTTTTGAAGATAAAAAGAAAGAATTATTTTAAAGAAATGTTTTCATTGACTAAGTGTTAGTCTACACAAACATCTGAGGACATCCCATTACAGGTCACGTCAGAACAACTATTTGCGAGCTTTGACCCGACAAATGAAAGGACTAACAGGAAGTCAACATTAGCCAATTAGAAAGCAGCTTTCTTCAGCTTTATGACTCAACTTTCAAACTGGTGACTTCCATTTGAAGAATATCTATCAAAATTAGATGATTGAACAAAATAAAATTCTGGAATGTCTAACAGATGTTACTTCCTACTGGCCATGGAAAGTCTCTTATGCTTCAAATGTTTATCCCATTGAAGCGAGAGAGATAGATGATGATTTTGACGGATTCAATCGTACAGCCCGAAACTGTCATTCGGAAAACCCAGTGTAAACCTTTTTTGTTGGTTGGTTTGTTGTTTAACGGTGGACTCAGCAATATTCCAGCTATATGACAGCGGTCTGTAAATAATCGAGTCTGGGCCAGAAATCCAGTGATTGACATCATGAGCATCGATCCACACAACTGAGATTGATGACATGCATCAACCAAGTCAGTGAGCCTGATCACCCGACCCTGTTAGTCGCTTCTTACAACAAGCATAGTCAACCATTTACGGGTTGCTGAAGACCTATTCTACTTCGGATCTTCATGGGTCGTTAACCTTTTTGAGGTTACATGACTGGAAAACACATTCAGGCCGTCACTTTCCCTATCTGGTAAGCAATGCACTGTTTGGTTGGATGACAAGTTGTAACATGATCTGTAAGGGGACGTTCTCAGATCTTTATCTCGTGGAGGCGAGAACTAGAATCGGAGTTCAATGAGATTGAGTAAGGTCATAGTGTTGACAAGGATTCTGCCAGAACCATACGTTACTTTGTCTCCAGCAACACATCAAGAAAGAAGTTGAGGAGCTGAAGAGTGTTTTCATTAGGGCTGGGATGAGTCCAAATTTACTCCCCAGGTACCCATCCCCCTATTACCCGACCCTACCCGGGTACCCGCTGTAGGTTTCAAGAGATAGGTACAAAATGTCCGAATGGGAATAGTTTGACCATAGCCCTGGACAAAATGTATTTAGATACACGTATAAAACGATCTGGTCATGCATACACTGAAGTAGATTGAAGTTTTATTTTTATTCAAACATATGAAAGTCAGAAGGAATGGTTGCATAGTCAGAAAGAAATGCGAACATTTGTGGCTTGTAATGTAACCACATAGTTCTAGATCATTTTTGTCACTAAACAATTTATCACATGACTAACCACGGGTCCGGGTAGCCCTGTGGGTACCCGGGTCCTTCTCAGTACCCACATGACCAAAGTACCCGAGTTACCCGTTCCAGGGTGTTTTCAAGACAAAATCAAATGTCCTTTTGATGAGGAACGGTATGTTAACCTTGACAACATGCCAAACATTTACTCCAGAAATACAAAATATCAAGAAACCTACTTACCATAAGGAAATCCCTTGTCATGTAAAAATTTTAAAGCCTCCAATATCTGTTTTCCAAATGTTCTTATCGTCCCCATGTTAAGAGCCAATAAGTTCTTGGGATTTCCATATTTTTTTAAAAAGTGTCCTTTAGGCTTGCACTTGCAAATCATATCTCTTAGACTGCCATTTTCACTGAATTGACGAATCAGCATTCCTCCATTTTCATTGGCTGTTGCAAATATTGTCGGATGTATGTAAGGGTGCTGTAAAAGTTAAAAGGTTAAAATACAGTAAGCTACGCTTATAACAAATAACGGATAGAGCGAACTTACTACAATCTATCAATGTTTATGTTTATAATGAACTGTTAATCCCTGGGCTGCACACACCGCCTCCGTGGTCAAGTGGTAAAGTGTCTGCCTGGAATCCCTGGGCTCGAGACACTAGAGGCTATTACGAGTTATGTCCCTTCAATGCCTCTCCTGTGGACCAATCAGATTCCATCCTCTCGTAACTTGCATTTGCTTCAAACAAAATGGCAGTGCCCAGTCAAGACGATCTGATTGATAATCAAGATCTATATTTTGATAAAGTGGGTCTTACATCGCGAAGTGCATCAAATCACGTGAGCACCTTGATTAAAAACATGAAAAGATTTGGAAAATATCTGTTGACAAATAGTTGGCGGTGCACATGCTTTGCAAATCCTGCAATCAACCGAAATCTGCATGACAGTTTACAAACCGGATTTTGATTTTGGTGTGCAATTGTGATTTGACTATGCATAGACTCATTTGTCCAGCCAAAATGTAACTCCATAATAGCCTAGTTCAGCAAGGGTGGAACCTGGACTTTTATAGTCAGTTAACTCTCTTGCCTCAGGAAGATGCGGAAGACCACATTGTCAACAAAGTGAAACAAACTGAAAACACGGCCCTCCTCTCCTCACCCTTCCCCGACTCTGATGCTGAATTTGAGATTGAACTACAACATGTACAAGTGACTTGATCTCAGATCTCAGACAGTCAGAATGCTTATAACGAACTCAGGTCTTAACAAACTAATATTAGTGGTCCTTTTGAATTCATTATAACTGTAGTTTACAGTACATGCTAAATGTGTGCTTGATCAACACTATAAACTCTGACGTTAGAATCACTTAAATAAGATCAGATTAAATCAGAGTACAGCAGATCTTGAAGGACAATAATGAAATACTTTTCTAATATTTTCAAGAAAAATATTCCATGGTAAAAAAAGCTGTGACAGGGGACCGCAGTGACCTGGCTGGATGAAACCAAGGATTGCTAAAGGGCTCTACTTATAATCATTTACCAGGTTTGAAAATGTTCATCTGAAACCCACCTACATAATCAAATTTCCGTAGGTTTACAATTTCTTGTGAATGTTTTTAGGAAACTTTCCTTAATTTGATGAGTGTATTCTTTCCTTGACATTCATCTTATTTTGGCTAAAAAAAAATAATAGTCTCGGTTCTCAGGCACCGCCCACATCATCATAAAGTGCACTACACATTTCGTTTTCATTTTAATTTAAAATTACTTTAAAATCTTTAAATATTCCACTTCTTGAACACACTGCCCTGGCAGTGAAATGCTACAATACTTAAGAACAACATGACTTCACCAAAATTATTGTAAACAAAATTTGGTTATATACAGCCCGCCCTCACTATATTTTCAAAAACCATTGCCTGAGAACCAATTCTTTTATTATTTTAAGCCATACAAAATGAACAAGTCTTTTGAAGCATTTTACCTTCCAAATTTATAATTAATCACTTACTATCGAATTATTTTACCTGTAAAAGGATTTGGAAGTTGGCTGGCCAGGAACGCTTTTCTCAGCAAAATACATCCTATAATGGCCATTTTCTTGGAATCTTAAGCAAATGTTAGTTTTTTAGGGATTTTCAGGAAGTTTTGGGACCATTTGCAAATAATTAACGTTTTGTGTTGTTCAGATGAAATTATTGTCATGGAATATTGTTGGTGACGTTTGACTTGAGGGAAATCGGTCACTGTTTCAATAATATCCCAGCAGTCAACACTAACCGAGGGAAGCAAGCCATATATTCCTGATGAACACCAGGTGTCGGGGACCTCTCCTTTCCCAGGATCCAAACAATGTGATTTACATTCAATATCAGCCTCACCTGAACGGAAGTTAACACTTTCATCAATGCTGCCAGTTCCTTCTCTCCTATTGTGCTGTCTGGGCCATAGTCACTCTGCAGAGTACAGGTATAAAACAAATGTACATCCAGTAGGGCTGTAACGATTCACCGATACCTACGATATCATAGATACTGAGGCACACACCAGGCGATACTCAGCTCTCACATCCAGTAGTCAACAGATTAATACTGCAAGGACAGGCCTGCCTGGCTCAGACAAGAGCAGCATGGCACAAGTGGGTTTTGTTTCGCGATTTTCAAAATATCCCGTTGCAAAATAGTGGTGGCTTGGACATTAATGTTGCTTTGGCATAATTTCCATGATCAAATGGCCCCTTGACTTGTTGATTGGTCATCTTGGTCTGTGAAACATTTTTTTATACATTTGAATATTTTTCAGGATGACATCCCAATATATATAGACTAATTTTTAAAATAAGAATTACAATGTATTACTTTTATATAGGGATGTATCTCTCCTCACTAATAAACATGAATAAACATGAGGCCTGTAACAAATGTTATATTTGGGATAACACTTTCTTGGTAAAGTACAGATTCTCGTACTTTGGGGGGGTTGAGTCCCGTCTGGGAATCGAAGCCCCCCTCCGCCAGAGCGAGGCACCTAATCACCAGCACACAAAGTCAGCGGTCTAACCCACTCAGCCACCAAGGCTTCCACAAAAATGAAAGTCTGACAACTGGTAGTCTAGATCACGTACCAATTTTTCAGTCAGTGAATTTGCTTTGAAAACAATTTGGACTATATTCTAGTTGTTTCAACCATGTCAGCTTAATGTAGGAGAAAAGTCTAATCTAAGACAGGCAATAGGTGCTTACAACTTTTGTAAAACCAATGTTTTGAGATCTGAGGATCTGGCAGGCAAGGGAAGTAACTCTGCAATCTGTGGTTACTTAGACCACTATGACAGCCATGGCCCTATGTTGAAGTGATAGTGACCATCTTTGTACTGTAGAACTTAATGTCTCCAGACTTACCCATGTGAGCATCTGCCTCTGTTTGGGACGACTGAGTGGTTTCACCAGGATGTAGTTCTTCCGAATCCTCCACCCTGGAACAAGGTGAAGCAAATGTCAGTGTTTGTTTGTTTGTGTGTTGTTTAACGATACACTTCGCAATATTCCGGATATATGATCGCGGTCTGTAAATAATCAAGTCTGGACAAGACAATTTACTGATTGATTGATGATACAATGATATATTTCAACAAAGTCAGCTATACTGACCACCTGATCCAGTTAGTCGCCTCTTACGACAAGCACAGTCGCCTTTTACGACAAGCATGGTTGCTGAAGGCCTATTCTACCCCGCATCTTCATGGGGCCAAACATCAGTGATGTATATCTGATATCATCATGATCATAATTACCCACATGGCTACAATGTGTGAAGCCAATTTCTGGTGTCCACCACCGTGATATTGCTGAGATATTGCTAAAAGCTGTGTAAAACCAAACTGACTCACGCATGATCATGAAAAAGAGAGGGGTGGTGAAATGAGGTTTTATGTCACATTCAAGGTGATTTCACGATTGCAGTGACGAGTATGCATGTGTGTTATTTTGTGTCTGTTTGTACTTGTCAAGGCTAATGTTGGTCTTATAGTGCTAGCTAACTGAGATACCATGCCGCAGTCAAACATGGATGCCCTACTCAGACACAGTATACCAACTCTGGGGTGACCAGTCCTTGTTTCAGCCCCTTAATCTTGACCTTTAATCATACCTTCAACCGCAAATGGACATGATTGCCTTATTGTTGCCAAAGTCAGCGCCATGTCACTACACCCAGCACCATAACGACACTTTCACTGTACTTACCGTAATCGACGTAATAAGCACCCCGCTCTAATAAGCGCCCACAGCGACATTTGCTAAGATATTGGCTAGTGAACAATCCCAATTAGCACCCCTTCCGATTGATCAACGTACACAAGACATGTATTTGCGCATAATATGCACTCGTGTGTTATATGCATCCTTAATTATGGGCAATTAAATTCTGGAAAAATATATCTGTCATAAATAAATATTTCAGGCTGTCTGCATAAACCACGAAATTTATCTTTCAATTCTGTTTTTTTCCCACCAAAATAATATTCTAATCAGAGCCCCCTATTTCTAATTTTGAGAGCGCCATGGGCGCTTATTAAGTCGAATACGGTATTTGGCTTCTCTCCTGTTAATCTCATTGGTTTATATTGTTATCTTTGTACCTTAGTGAGCGAGTGATATGGTTTTACGCTGCTTTTAGCAATATTTCAGTAATATCACGACAGGGGACAGCAGAAATGGGCTTCACACATGTCGGGAATCGAACCTTTGTCTTCAGTGTGACGAGCGAACACTTTTAACCACTAGTCTACCTGACCACCTCTTTCTACATTAATCCCACCTTGTGTAACCATATCATCAAGAACATATATATTAACTGAATAGGCTTAGTATTCTTTCACCTGATGAATAAGGCAAGAAGTAGCTCTGAAACGTCATTACAAAGAATAAAAAAAGTTGTTATCCACAAAAAAGTGTCTTGTATTTATGCCTTAATGTGAAATAAGATAAATACACCATGTACACAAAATATAAGATAATGTCTTTGCTGTCTATGATGATTGTGATAATTATTTACCTGCATCAGGAAATGGTTCTACAACATCCCAGTTGGGTTCAGAGCGGAAGATCATCGAGACATGTTGAAGGGCAACCTCTGAAACAGACAGAGAAAGGTCATACACAAGATATTTAGAAGCAAATGGCTAGATCGGTCTGTGGAATTGAATCTTAAGTACAGCTCAAATGTTTCAGTGACTGAGTAAATTTTAACCCCACTTTTAGAAATATAGGTAGGCGACACAATCATGGGCCAAACACATTATACCAATGTTGGGAACTAAAACACAAATATTCATCATTTCAAACAAACGTTTTCATCATTAGACTACCCAACCAACCACTCAAATTACACAACCAGTTTGTAATTGTTCCAATTACTTTAAGTTATATTCAAAAGGCTGTGATCATGATGATTGACATCATGAATAAAGAAAAATGATCAATAAATCATTTTCATCATGATTATTTTGAGGATGTAATTATGTTTGTTTGGGTTTTTTTTAACATTGAACACCGCAATATTTCAGCTATATGACAGCAGTCTGTAAATAATCGAGTCTGGACCAGACAATCCAGTGATTGACATCATGAGCATCGATCCACACAATTGGGATATGATGACCACCCGATCCCGTTAGTCGCCTCTTACGACAAGCATTGTCATCTTTTACAGCAAACATAGGTTGCTGAAGACCTATTCTACCCCAGATCTTCACAGGCATAATGATGTAGATAATAGTGAAGATGTTACCAAGGTGATTGGCCTGGTAGTTGTTGGGGTCGAGGAATCTCTTCACCGTGATGCTGCTTGACAGGAGGTGGCTCCCCAACAATATCGCCAGTAATTGCTGCAATCAGATATAACAATTGCAAACACGGTCGAGTTGAAAGGGCTTCAATATTTCTGCTGTATAATGCCGAACAATATACATATGTGTTTGTTTCTGATTTCCCGAACAACCCTGTTCTCGAGCACCTTACTTTGTTCAAAAGCTATCATAATGTTTTCTTACCTCAGATTTACAAACCCACTCAAAACATGCCACTTCACTCAACATTTTGTACATAAATGTGCAATCTCATTCAAATCAGACAATAGTTTTCACTACCGCTAAACAAAGATCTGAAGACATCCCATTAGGGGTCACGTCAGAATGACCTTTCATCCGACCAATCAGAGCATCGCTTACCAGATTATGAAAGTGTTCAGACAAGTTGTCAAAAACCATAGCTAGCCGTGGTCTTGTCGGGGAATTTGAACTAAACCTCACTCATAATTTGGGTTTTGTGGACACACGGTGGATAAAAGAGTTCTCTGTTCCTGATCCTGCTAATATTGACTGTATGTTGTGTGTACTCAAATACTACAGTGAGGTGTGAATCACAAACAACTGCTTTTAATAAGTATAACTTAATTATCGCAGATATTAATGTCACTCAACATGCTCAGACGGTTTCTGTCAGATTGAACCAGCCAGTACAGCTTGTGGTCTTTGACCAAGGCCCTGTTCCATAAAACAATTGCAGCACTACGACTGTCGTAAGACTGTGTTAAAGTATGGGAGTTACGTTCATCTGAGCACTGCGGTTGCCTTTCGGAACTGGGCCCAGCCATATAAGAATTTTACAAGCCAGAGATTAGTGTTATCTTCTAACACTGTCTATGTCAGTAATACATCTGCTGAACACACCTCTAGCCCTCTCTGCCGGACAGCGATGAACTCCCTATCAAAGTTCCCAAACACTTTCTTTGGTGGCAGAGGAAGTTCTATGTTGGACTGACGAAGTTGAGACTCAAGATTATCAAAGTCACTGTAGCGTTTCATCACCTGCCAGGAGTTCTCCTTCAATGGCCCCCTCTGAACTCGGAGAATGTACTCCTGGAAAACAACAAAATAAGTCCAAAGCTATTTTGATCATTTGAACATTTTTTGAAAATTGACGTATGGCATGACATTTCCAATACAACAGAATTTCACATCAAAACTATGACATGCACATAAAATTGCTTCAAGATAAAACCAACTCGCGTAAAAGGAACATGAGCACACGATCTTGAAATACCCACAGTTTGATATCAATTTGTGTTTGGACTAGCTAGGGTTTACACTTTGAAATTTTTTACACTTGGTGTATGTGGACATAAACATGATAAATATTATGCTGCATTTTTCAATAAGAGGTTGCACTGGTGCATGTTTTATGTAGCTAAATCAAGTCCTCCATATGAAGCAAGATCCATCCCAAGATGGACACCTTCATTACCCTCATCATCAGAGGGTGACAGTCCGGGAGCCTAGTGGTTAAAGCGTTCGCTCGTCACACCGAAGACCCGGGTTCAATTCCCGACATTGGTACAATGTGTGAAGCCCATTTCTGGTGTCCCCCGCCGTGATATTGCTGGAATATTGCTAAAAGCGGCGTAAAACCAAACTCACTCACTCACTCACTTAGGGTTGGGAACCACTTGCCGATCACAAAACTGCTTTATGATCCTTAGGGTCAGTTGTGAGGTACAGTATGGCTTAGCTATCTCTCTTAACGAATTAATTCAATGCAATTTGAAGAAATTCCGTTCAATTGTTATCAAGTATCACAAAGAAAATGGGGAGCACCTTTAGAATACAGTACAACTTCTCGTGAGGACGATCTCTGCCGTAGGTCACATGTCTCAAAGACAAACAACCAGTTTTTGTGAGAAACTCGCGACTTTTTGATTGTTAGCCCGACAGCTAACCGACTGAGCTAACGTCCACACTGTGAACCAAAGTGCAAATATACCTAGTCAAACCTACGACGTTACGGAACTGAACGAAAAGGGTCGAATGGGTGACGGACACTTACGAAGGTTACGGGTAGGCATGGTGTCTCGTGACTTTAGTCTACGGACACTTACAAATGATCCTGATGCCATTTGACACACTCGAGTGGATTTTGTGACAGAAAAGTGTGGCAGGGAACACTGTAAGGATGATGTGGATAATAGTAAGGACGAGGGAGGCATGAGCATGGCTAGTGACGACACAACAGTGAGTTCACTTTTGAATCAGTACTGAAAAAATGTAGCCGGTGAAAGTGGCTTGTGTGAATGTTACAGGACAGTTTCCAGTAGCCAAAGTATTTGACACAAAACCATTTCATCCTTTTTACTTGACGTTTTTGTGTGAAGAAAATTAGGAACCGCTATAGACTTTATAATAGCCACTAAACGGGTAGATCTGCTTAACCCTAATGATCGTAAAGGGGATAAACTTCCCATTATTAGTTCCCATTTATAACCATTTTAGCCACTTGAATTACGAGAAAAACGAAATAAAAAATATATATAAAATAAAAGTGCTTTCGTAAACTAGCCCTTGCTGTAGAATGTGCCGCCGCAGGCTATATTTAGTAAACAGATATTCAAAACTCTCAACACTGCAAGGCGTATTCAATGACATTTCGTGTAGAGATGATAGATAACTGGGAGGAGCTTATGCACATTTGACGACCCCTGACGTCCCAGGACCATGTTTCGCTGGTGTGACTTGCAACAAAACACTACAAGTTACGCCATAGGGTATTGTCACATGTTTGAAAAGTTTGTGATACTGTATTCGGACGGTAGCCTAGATTAGCTTCAAGCTGGTAATGTGAGTTTGATCTACAACACAGTGCTAATTGAAATCTGTAAAAATGTTCGCTTCTCTCGAGTTTTGGTATGTAACCATTGTAACCCCCAAACTTCTTATAAATGACCATGATCATAACAGGGACAAGACGTGAAGTGTTTTATGTTTCTATTCTCTCATTGTTGGGTTATAATAACATAACCAGTGACACCATCATTGACATATTTTGGGATGACATGTTTTCAAACAAAATTTGATCTTATCTAGTCAATTGATAGTTCTCAATACTTAGGCAATCTATTCAAATTTTCTTATCACAGTACTTTTGTTCATGAGTAAACCAGAGAAATATTAACACTACTGTTCAGGCAAACGTGTAAATGTGTTATAGCGACTGTGTTCCAATACAATATGTTCTCTTAAATTTAACATCTCTCACCAGTCTCACGCTCAAGTGGCAATTAGAATTTCCTGAACATGCTGACGTTCATCTTTTCACCAGATTTAAAATTTAACATGTTCCCTGCAGAAAGGTGAGCCAAATCAAAACTTGGCGGGGATATGAACGGACGTCCTCCCCCTCGGTGACATCAACGTTATGCATGACCAGCTGATCTACTGTTCTTTACTCACGATATGGTCGCCATTTTTCTGAGCAGTCTCTATCACACATGTTAAAAGCTGCGTGTCATCCAAAGACACCCTCGCCGAAGTCTTCTTCTCAAATAAATCCGCCATTTTGGTCTATGGCGACATTTAAAACATTAAGTTCAACAGAATCCGGGAGCAGTCAGGAGGTCACTTCTTGTTTTCGTTTTGAAGGGGCGGTGCCATTTTGCCAGAAATCAATCTAGACAGACTGATTTACGACTACTTTTGCGACATACGCTTATGTCATCGTCAGCTGGTGTTTAATGATAATCTGCAATGGTTTAAACGGATCCATACCAAACTTATAAAGAAACATAACTCAATAGTTTAAAACCCCTGACTACTGTTTCAAACTATTACCTTTTCACGACAATGAATAGTCACGTGTCCAAACAACGCAGGATTCGCACACGTGTTTGGGTTTTTGACAGTTCATGGTTTTTGCACATGGTTTGACATAACAGCATACAATTGTTTTGAAGAATAATTATTCGAATATTTAAATGATACAAATGACAACTATTTATTGAGCTTTATTTTTATATGATTTGTTTTATAACAGTTTCATCATGAACATGGACTCGAGACGTATTAGTGTCCATGTAATGATTCAACATTGAGCAATAGTTATATAGATCTAAGTAGATATAATATATATTCAGACCCATGGGAACAAGGGGGAGGTGGGGCTACACTGTGTAAGATTACACTGCAATAAAACTGAACTGGAATATTTGAATTACATGTTATAATTAGGAGAAAGAGTGTCAAAATGTAAGTTTAGTGTTAAATTTTAAGCTGTAAAGTGACTATATGCGTTTCTAAGTTCAAATAAAAGAAATACTTTTTAATGGTTTAGAACAGCCCCCCTCCCCCGTATATATTTTATTGCATTTTGAATGTCAAGCCAATACAGCCAAGTCAATATTTGTCAAATCTAACTTATGGGTGAAAGCTGGCATTGAGTGTTGAGTGATTTATAGTGTGATGAAAATATTAGATTCAAAAGAAGATTTGTTCAGGATATTGGCACAGTATTACAAAGATAATATATCTTTATAGGTATTTTCAACATTGGGAACTTCCTATTCATACAATGTTCTTTACAAAACAAAGTTTGGAAGTCTGACTGCTTGAACTCCATCCTTGTAGCTTTTGTGTCATATATGTGTTTTGAAGTTTCTCCATATCAGATTGCAGTTTTGCTTAAGATAATCTACCAAATCTAACCAACAAGTACATAGAGATACATAGTTCATGGCTACCTAATCATGACTCAATCATGATCGAGTGTTCATTCAACTTGTCCTACCCCGACGTCGGTAACTTCTCCTATTGCTGACAGTGCACAGTGTTATCCAAACAATTTCATGGTTCAGGGCTTACAATAGCAAATCCTTTCAACGACCAACAAGGAATAATTTTATACTTATAGTTTATTGTATATATGTATGTATATATTAACATTGATAATAAACATTTGACGCATATCACCATGTAAAATCTTATGGTTGACAGTTGATCAGAATGAAATGATCAAACTTTCTCACATTGTAATGTTATTACATATTTAAATACATACTTGATAATGAAAACATTTGACAATTTTAAATCCTTACAATGAAAATATTAAATGCATTTTTAACACTAAAGAATATTTTACATTGTAAAACTCTTGAAATACTTAATTATCACTTACACTGATAAACATTAAACACTGTTTGCAGACATTGATCACAATCTAAGTCTACTTTCACTCTGTGACTCTATCAACTCAACACACTGTGGGTTAGCCATCATTAGACTACATAACCATTCATTTACATTTTCGGGGGCGGTCGGGTAGCCAAGTGGTTAAAGTGTTTGTTCATCACGCCGAGGACCCGGGTTCGATTTCCGACATGGTACAATGTGTGAAGCTCATTTCTGTCCCCCGCCATGATATTGCTGGAATATTGCTAAAAGCAGCGTAAAACCATACTCACTCACTCATTTACATTTTCAACTTTTGTTTTTGATCTACAAAGGGTTAATTACTAATTACTCACTCACTAATGAAAACATAGAGTTCCCCTTTCATCTACTGGGTGTTGAGATGAAATATATAAACAACAACATGTTTCAAAGCAACTCACAGATTTGTCAATATCCAGAGAGTAAAGTTATAAAAAAAACATGGTTTATTAATAGTCTAGTCCACAATTGATGAAAGGGGTGTATTTTTCACAGTGTAGGCAAAGTGCACTAAAAATCAGCTTTACTGTAGGCTATCAGCACAGTAGGTGAATAGAGACTGAACCCCGACGTTATCGCTTTCATGGATTCAAATAACTTTTAATAACTTCATGGAAGAATGGAAAGGTTTATCATGGTCAGTGTTGATTCATTTCAGATATGAAATATATGGCAATGAAAATTAAGAGAATGTGTCACACTTTCAAGAATAAGGGACATTTGCAAAAACAATATTTGAAATAAAAAATGATAAAAATAAAAAAAAGTCAGTAACAAATCATATGCGTCAATGGCTCAGAGCTTTAAAGTAATTGGATATAAATCTGACGGTTTTATTCATTTTGGCCAGACTTTTGAACTCTGCATTGGTAATGGGATAATGTCTTAAGTAGATTACATCTATGAGGTCATGTTATCTCTGCTGTGGCCTTGACGTAAGGTCGGGAAGGTGTAACTTGTTTATCACGGCCGGAGCATTGCGGGACTCTCTCTGCCAGTCACTAACGGTACTTGTCATCTGATCAAAGGTACAATAGGCTTACATATAGCCACATGCTTCCAATGAATTTTGACAGAGTGTTAATGTAAACTGGGGGGAAGGGTGGCCCAGTCGTGTGAGGCACCGCGATTCGCTGTGCAGAGTTGCGTCCCTTAGGCATGCCCGAAACCTATGACCATAAGTTCGAATCCCATACTCAAGGGTTTTACCAAAGTGGTAAACGTCTAAGACTTGCATGCCTTTCTTCTCACATCAAACTGACACACGTGATCTAACTGAGATAATGTTCCAAGCAGCGATAAAACTAAACTCACTCACTCAGTGTTATATTAGTCACATTCATTTGAAGAAATTCAGAGCTGTTAGATGAGATTCCGCCTTTGTTGTAATGGATACAGGGTTAAAGTGTGTGGATATTGCTTCATCATAATGATGTAATATCAGCAATGTGTCTGTCTCGTTACATACTTAGATGACATATCCATCTGTAAATGATACTGTGTTGTGTTGAAATGTTTTCTTGTTTGTGTTTGTTGTTGAACACCACACTCAGCAATATTTTATCTGTACTGAGTCTGTAAATTACCAAGCCTGGACCAACAGTTGATAGTACGCGCAACAACCCACACAGGTGGTGTACAATGACATGCAACCATCAACCAAGTCACCGAGTCTGACCACCCGATTCATTAAGTCACTGTTATGACCAGCACAGATCCAACAAGCCATGAGAGTCGTAAGAGGCGACTGTCATGCTCTCTGACATGGTTCATACATGTCATTGTATCCAAATTGATCCTCATTCTGTCCATGTCTGGAGTGTGGCATTAAACAACAGCAAAACAAATAAACAAACTGATTGGAGGTTTTGATGGGGAGAACAGACCCCGTGACATCAGTGTGACAGTGTTTAACCACAAGGTCACCCGACCCGTAAAGATCCGGGGTAGAATAGGTCTTCAGCAACCCATGCTTGCCGTAAAAGGCGACTATGCTTGTCGTAAAAGGCTGAGGCGACTAACGGGATCGGACGGTCAGGCTCACTGACTTGGTTGATGGATGGCATCGTATCCCAATTGCGTCGATCGGTGCTCATGATGTCAATCACTGTTTTTTTCTGGTCCAGACTTGATTATTTTCAGACCGCCGTCATATAGCTGAAATATTGCTGAGTGCGGCGTTAAACAACAAACAAACAAACAAATAAACACAAGGTCACCCCACAAGCCCTGCCACGAAAAAACAATAATGGATTTCTGCTACATTGATGTTTACCTGAATACATCTAAACTGTGATCTCCATGTTCTAGCTATTATGCTTAAGTGGGCCTGATGTCTTGAAAGTGGACACAGTAGTGATATTTATTCTGTCAGTGTGATGTTTCGGTACAGGTGCTAGTACCTGTATGCAGCAAGGGATAAACTAACAAGACGTTCCAACCAAAGGATTCAAGCCAGTAAGGTACTGACAAGGGCTGGGACGAGTCCAAATTTACTACCCGGGTACCCACTGCAAGTCTCAAGAGTTGGGAGCAAAATGTCTGATTGGTAATTGTTTTACTGCAGCCCCGGCTAAAGCTTTTTAGATACATGTATCAAACGATCAGATCATGCGTGCACTGAAGTGGACTGAAGCTTTATCTTTACTCAAACATATACAAGTCAAAAGGAATGTGTGCATCGTCAGAAGGAAATGCGAACATTAGGGACTTGTAGTGTAACCGCTGGGCTATATTGTGAGTTTTTGTCATTAAACAATATATCACGTGACTAACCACGGGTCCGGGGAGTCCTGTGGGGGGCCAGAGATTTTATCCAAAAAGATATATTGTCTCCGAAATTTCTTGAAAAATATAATTATGTTTCAGACTGTTTTAAAAACAGAAATTGCTTGCCACAAAATGCTACATTGTTGCAAGGTGTCTTTCTTAAAAAGGTTTCATGCTCCTAGTTATAAAATATCTGGGCCCACTTGCACAAAGCGATCTTAGCGCTAAGACTATTGTAAGCCTATGTTAAAGTATGGGAGTTGCGATCATCTTAGTGCTAAGATCGCTTTGTGCAAGTCGGCCCTGGTTTTGTAGCTGCAGCTGAAGAAATATCTGATCTCTATACAAATCCCCCTTCTACTCCTGCCTGATTATCAAAAGGTTGTAGCATTTTAAATAGCTCAATGTGTGCAGCCCATATTGCTGGCCCTGATATTGCTGAAATATTGCTTAAAGCGGTGTAAAACCATACTCACTCACTAACATACCATTCTGCCTACAGTCCCAGTTTGTCTACAGTACTGAAACATGATGCACTCTGATGATGTAATAGGAATGCATCAGTGAGCATGACTTAGTGCGTGTTTTATCGGTTCAGGGTGTACTTGCCCATACTGATCTTACAGTGTACGCACAATGGGAAATACATGCACAAGATTATTGAAAGAAAATGTAACCCATAACGATACATGTCCTTGTTTTATTTTTTAGCAGCAATAAGTTAAACATAATAATATTACCGTATTTGACGTAATAAGCGCACAGGGCGCTCTCAATATTAGAAATAGGGGGCTCTTTGTCGAAAAAAACAGAGTTGAAAGATAAATTCCGTGGTTTATGCTGACAGCCTGAAATGTTTATATACGAGAGATATATTTTTCCAGAATTTAATTGCCCATAATTAGGGGTGCCTATAACACACGAGTGCGTATTATACGCGAATAAATAAGTATTGTGTACATTGATCAATCGGAAAGGGTGCTAATTGGGATTGTTCACGAGCCAATATATTAGCAAATATCGCCAGGGGCGCTTATTAGAGTGGGGCGCTTATTACGTCGAATACGGTAATAGCAGTTTGAATATGCTACTTACGATACATGTACTTGTTTTATTATTTAGCAGCAATAAGTTAAACATTATAATATTAATAGCATTTTTAACATGACAGTACATTAATACTTATGTGAATTTTCAGACTATGTCAATTAAAGAAAAACTGCCGTCATTTCTGGTTGATATTGAGAAGGACTTGGATCATACAGTGAAATTCTGTCTGGAAAACTCTCATGATGAGGAATTTGGGTTTGTATCCGACTTATTTCTGCATCATTGTTGTGATGAAGAGTAACTGTTTAAAAATAATGTGGAATTTACCTTTAAGCCTGAAACACATAGGCACGTACATTATTACCTTGGACCAGTTAGGCTTAAAAAATACAAGAATTGGTTCTCAGGCAATGGCTTTTGAAAATATAGTGCAGGCGGGAGGTGATCTTTTTTTATTTTGATGGGGGGTTCAAACTAGTATGTAACAAAACAGCTGTGTAAGGAAGTAAACAATTGTGTACACTCAACCTGGGAAAGGCCCTCCCTACATAAATGTATTCAGTATTTGACTACCGTTAAACTTGGAATATTCAAGGATTCTCTTTGTATATGATGGAAATAAAAACGAAACATGCGGCGAACTTTATGATGATGCGGGTGAAGCCTACGAATCAAGACTATTATTTTTTTAGCCTTATAGGGCTGTTATACATATAGATGCTGTTGTATATGGTGTTGTAGCTGAAGTTGGTGATGAAGCTGATGTTTATGCTGTTGTAGGGAGATGTTGTACTGATGTATGGTTTAACGCTGCTTTGGTTTCAACTATAACGTAGCATGTGTTCTTTATGTGGGATGAAAGCCTGAATGATGTAGGTGTCCGACATTTCCACCTTGGTATAATCCATGAGCATGCTGTGCTGACAATCAAAGATCAAAATCAGAGGGATTCTGCAGTTCTAACCCATGATCATAGGATCCTGGTATGACAAGGGACACTACTCTGCACAGAAGCCTCAAATGATTCAGGGCAACCCTTGCTCTGTTACCATGGAAAATAGTCACCTGTTTCAGTAGGCCTACGTTGTTTAAGGCCATGATAATTCAATTAAAAGTAACCAACCAGACTTCCCTCAAACGTTTGGGGATGGCGGGGTAGGCTAGTGGTTAAAATGTTTGCTCATCAAACCTTAGACCCAAGTTCTGTTCCCAAAATGATGCGTGTCAAGCCTATTTCTGATGTACCCTGGCATGAGAATTCTGAAGTACTGCAAACATAAATTAGCCTTACTCAGTCACTTACCCATTTAGGCTTCCCTTGATTTTGTTCACAGTGTGACTGTGCAGCTTAAAGGTGGTTGTCCAGGTATGAGATGGTCATTTCAGGAGGACCAGGATTTCAGAAATATGATGTCACCTACCTCAAATTTTAATTAGCCTTAACTTGAAAACTAAGTTTTATTGTGTCCTTGAATTCAAACTAAGTTCTTCTTTCACAGGGTGCTTCATATTCCTTGGTCCGGATATCATATGGTCTCTGGTACAGCGGTAAACAAGAAACAAACAATAAAGATGCAGTTCTTTGTCTTGTTCTGCTTTTTGATTGAATCTGCCAGCAAAAGTCCTGTGAATCACTTTGCTTCAGAGTGAGCGAGTTGGTGTTTACCGAGTTTCTTTAGCAGTATTCCAGATATATCACAGCAGGGGCCACCAGAAATGGACTTCACACATTGTACCAATGTGGGGAATCGAAACGGGTTTTCGGCGTGATGTGTGAACACTTAAACCACCTGGCTACCCCACTGGCCCAGTCAAGCCATGAACATCTACACCGAGAAACACTGTCAAGCATATCTATTTTCACATATACATTTCTGGTGTCCCCTGCCGTGATATTGTTAAAACTGGCGTAAAACTCTACTCGCTCGCTCATGACTGACGAAACAGATGATGAAACTTGGGAATACATCAAACTGTCTTTCTGCCACTTTATATGGAATTTGAAGAAATACCTTATGTATATCTACTGGACACTTATACCATACCGCTCACAAATTGTACATGATAAATTGTGTATTCATCACACTGTATGACATAATTTCATTTTATATAGTCAAGAAATCTCAATAATGTATTATAAATAATGTATTTGTCTATGTATGAAATTCAACTCTGGAGGAATGAATGAATTCATTCATTCATTCATTCATTCATTCATAAAACGTAAACTTTATGGATAACAGCTTCGGGTTTATTGCATATAGCGATGTGTAACCTTAGGTCTCGGGTACTGTACCCTTCTTCCTTTGGTCACTTGCTCTGGTTAACCACTCTTTGGTTCTGGGGATGATGTAGCTCTCAAATCACAAGTCAACTTGGGTGCTCCAGTCCATTTATTGAAGATAGAAGTTATGGCAAATGTACACAAGGTCCTCAGTTATTATCTTGTTGACTGTATTACTTAAATACAACACATACCTAAATGTTGCATTGACAAGCCTGATAGCTTTTCTGATCCACTGTTAACTCTGCTACTTTTCTGACCCGGACTTCCAATCTACAGAGAGAACCTCTCTGTTCAGCCTGAGTTTCCGAATCCCCGCACTACGACCGGACAACTCACTAAATACTATCGATGATAATTGTAGCTCCTCCCACCGAAATCATATTTGACATCATGAGAAATGATTCCGAACGCTCACTTCCCTATGAACCCCAATTTCCATTCCGATCAGTTTTACTATCAGACTCCTCTTTACTAAGCCACTCAATTACTTTCCTAAAGTCATTGGTCAACACGGGCATACTCATAATTCAAACAACTTTATGATGAAAACCAAATACTCTGTCAGACTGGAAGGCACCAAAAAGATACTTAATCATGTTAATTAAACATTCCAATCAAGCAGTAGTACTCAGAAATATTTGGTCACCTCAAGACTGATAATTTGTTCCATCCATTCATTTGCCCTCTAACACTTATATTGCAAGACCAGATTCTGCTAATTCCATTTTACTGATGAAAAGTTATCTCTATCACTAAGAGAAGCAAAATCAATAATCATTTGCCCTGTGGGTAATGCCCTCACCCTGCGCAGTCAAGTCTCTCATATCCATCTGTATTTTAACCTAAACCCTGATTTAATAAACTATTTCTTAAGTTAATATTAAAAACCCTTCTTCCAAAATACCCTGGTTGTAGTAGATTCTTACACCGGTATCAAACTGGTGTGACAACAACCAAGTGATGAGAGAGAGAGAGAGAGAGAGAGAGAGAGAGAGAGAGAGAGAGAGAGAGAGAGAGAGAGAGAGAGAGAGAGAGAGAGAGAGAGAGAGAGAGAGAGAGAGAGAGAGAGAATATTGTTTATTAAAGTGTCACATGTTATATACACTTCGTAATACGATATATACAAAACAGTAAAATATAACATCCGGCCAAATATGACCTACGAGACACTATAAAAACATATCAATCATAAAACTATTCAGTTGAAACAGAATAAAAATACATACCTCGTGATGCAGGCGCGGAGCACGGCCGTGGGCGGTTTCAGTGAGGAGCGCACCACAATGCCAGGATACAGGGCAACTGACTTCGAAAGTCCTAAGTTAAACAGTGCGCTCCCCCTTAACTCCCCCCACCGCGTTGCGCCGCCCACACACCACGTCATACTTACATACATACATACATACATACATAAAGGTAGACATGAGAGGTATATATGCATGACATGTCGTGATAAGCAGCAGATTAACATAGACAACAACGGTAACAGATAACAAGCAGATAATTGGATAAAGCCAAATGTACAGTACGAATAACAAATAGCACACGGGTAATGAAGCACACGGGTAGAGAAGCCAGATATACAGTGAAAATAGGATAAAAGGGATATACAGTTGTGACAAGCTGATTGGGCCCTACTTAAAACAGTCTATGGCTTGATTAGATATTCATAGGCAGACGAGATGTACTACCCTTGATCTCTGTTGATCAAATGTTTGGGTCGGCGGATTTCTATACCTTTGATGTTTCTTTTGGTGAAGTCCTGATGTTTGGTTAGAGGATTTGGACTTTGTCAAAATGAATTGGATGGCTAAGGAATTTTTGCTGGTGGTCTGAGAGGGCCAAGTTGTCTGCTTTGGCTGCTGAAGTCTTGTGTTCTTTGATGCGGGTATCTACTGGGAGGGAGGTTTCACAAATGTACGCGTCACCACAGTCACAATTAATCTTATAGATAACGCCTTCGGGAGGGGGTGGGGTGTGTGTGTGTGTGTGTTGGGGGAGGGGGGGGGGGGGGGGGGGGGGGTGCCTGTTGGAGAGGAGGATGGGACCATTAGCTTGGAATATGGTTCTAAGGGAAGGGGAGCCAGTGAAGATGGTATCCATTAAGGTGTACATTGTCTTAGTTACTCACCAACTTCTAGAATGCCAATCAAACGCTCCCTTATGTTCATATCTCTCCTTGTTCTAGCACCACCATCTGTTGATTGACAGTTAATGACGGTACAATACGAACATCCCATCTGTTTCATAACGTGGTTTAGGGGCGGTCGGGTAGCCTAGTAGTTAAAGCGTTCGCTCGTCACGCCGAAGACCCGGGTTCGATGCCCGACATGGATACAATGTGTGAAGCCCATTTCTGGTGTCTGGAATATTGCTAAAAGCGGCGTAAAACCATACTCACTCACTCATTCACTCACTCATAAAGTGGTTTAGTCAACCCATTACAATCTTGTCCCTTTAGGCAATTCTATTAGTTTAGTTTCCGATGCGAGAGCTAGAATCCCGGTAGCATACGCATCATCAATCCATATTGACTGGATGTTAGCTGAGGTTCTGTATAGCTTCTTGATTACAGGAAGTGTTGTCATGTAGGCAAACCCTCCACAATATGGCGGATACTTGGGGAACGGATAATCCTTCTCAGCCACGGCCCACTTTCCGACTTTAAGTCTTTTGCTCCGCACGATAAGGAAGCATAATATATTCCCCGCAGGAATAGGGTTAAACAACAGGTACCTCAAGACGTTGTTAGAATGTAAAATGACATCATCGTCAATTTTGATGACGTACTTCACATTTTTGCAGTATGTGAGAACCCAGTGAAAGGCCATGATGTGTTTATGGGTCATATTGTGGTAAGAATCTATGAAGTTCCCTTGCACCATGTCGCGATATTTCTGTGATTCTCTTTTAACTTCTGTCTGTAATGAAGCATTGTTAGTTTTCCCCACAAAGAAAACAACAGTCAGTACTGATCCATGTTTAGCGTCCGATCCACTTGTGATTTTCCTGATTTTCTGTCGCTTCTTGAAGTTGTACATGGCAGTATGCACTATCACCACTATGGAGGCCCTGTCCTTACAGTGGTTGGAGTTCATTGAGAATTTGTACTGATGTAAATTATCCCAAACATCAACATTATTATCTGCAATTCTGAGATATCGCAGTATTGGGGACGCCGTCGTCATTCCATTAGTTGAAGAAGACAGGAGTGCAACATCGGCTCCACCAGAAGCAGTCGTAAAACCGTACCTGCTTCCCAGCACATACACAGCATACGCTAGGCACAGGGTTAGCATCAGTTGCAATGGGTTCCTCCTTAACCTCCCCAGACAGTGGATCATGCTAACCATCCTGGAACAAAAATCACATTCATAAATAGTCGATACCAACTTTGTTATAGTCGACAGTTGCATTTATTGTGAGCATTAGTCATTACTGCTTGTGGGTAAAAATTAGAAATATTAATATTTGGGGCATGAAATCGTTCATTGGAAATCCCCATAATACAGAGAGTTTCAGAAAACGCTCTAATTTTATCACAGAAGGTTGACCTACCGACAGACAAGTACATCCGTATGGGTGGACATGCGGCCAGTAGTACAATAACAATGTTTAACCACACAGTGAATAACAGTTCAGGTATGTCATGACAGCCTGTAAATAACCGAGCCTGGTTCAGTCCAGGTATGCCAGCCTGTTAATAATTGAACCTGGTTCAGTCCAGGTATGCCAGCCTGTTAATAGTTGAACCTGGTTCAGTCCGGGTCTGCCAGCCTGTTAATAATTGAACCTGGTTCAGTCAAGGTATGTCATGACAACCAGCAAATAATCAACCCTGGTTCAGTCCAGGTATTTCACGACAGCCTGTAAATGACTGGGTCTGATTCAGTCCAGGTATGTCATGACATCCAGCAAATAATCAACCCTGGTTCAGTCCAGGTATTTCAGGACAGCCTGTAAATGATCAACCCTGGTTCAGTCCAGGTATTTCATGACAGCCTGTAAATGACTGGGTCTTGTTCAGTCCAGGTATGTCATGACATCCAGCTAATAATCAAACCTGGTTCAGTCCAGGTATGTCATGACACCCAGCATATAATCAACCCTAGTTCAGTCCAGGTATTTCATGACATCCAGCAAATAATCAACCCTGGTTCAGTCCAGGTATTTCATGACAGCCTGTAAATGACTGGGTCTGGTTCAGTCCAGGTATTTCATGACATCCAGCAAATAATCAACCCTGGTTCAGTCCAGGTATGTCATGACAACCAGCAAATAATCAACCCTAGTTCAGTCCAGGTATTTCATGACATCCAGCAAACAATCAACCCTGGTTCAGTCCAGGTATTTCAGGACAGCCTGTAAATGATCAACCCTGGTTCAGTCCAGGTATTTCAGGACAGCCTGTAAATGATCAACCCTGGTTCAGTCCAGGTATGTCATGGCAACCAGCAAATAATCAACCCTGGTTCAGTCCAGGTATTTCAGGACAGCCTGTAAATGACTGAGTCTGGTTCAGTCCAGGTATGTCATGACATCCAGCAAATAATCAACCCTGGTTCAGTCCAGGTATGTCATGACAACCAGCAAATAATCAACCCTAGTTCAGTCCAGGTATTTCATGACATCCAGCAAACAATCAACCCTGGTTCAGTCCACCTATTTCATGACATCCAGCAAATAATCAACCCTGGTTCAGTCCAGGTATGTCATGATACCCAGCAAATAATCAACCCTAGTTCAGGTATGGTATTTCATGACATCCAGCAAATAATCAACCCTGGTTCAGTCCAGGTATTTCATGACAGCCTGTAAATGACTGGGTCTGGTTCAGTCCAGGTATTTCATGACATCCAGCAAATAATCAACCCTGGTTCAGTCCAGGTATGTCATGACATCCAGCAAATAATCAACCCTGGTTCAGTCCAGGTATGTCATGACAACCAGCAAATAATCAACCCTAGTTCAGTCCAGGTATTTCATGACATCCAGCAAAAAATCAACCCTGGTTCAGTCCAGGTATTTCAGGACCGCCTGTAAATGAACGAGTCTGATTCAGTCTGGGCATGTCATAACAGCCTGTAAATAATGGAGCATGGTTCAGTCCATGTATGACAGCCCTTACATAACCTAACCTGGTTCAGGACAGGCATGTCATGGAAATCTGGAAATAGTTGAACCTTATTCAATTCAGGTATGTCATGACAGCCTGTAAATGACCAAGTCTTGTAAGAGGCGACTAACGGGATAAGGTAGTCAGGCTCGCTGACTTGGTTGGTGCATGTCAACGATCCCAATCGCGTGGGTCGATGCTCATGATCTTAATCACTGGATTGTCTGGTCCAGACTCAATTACTTTCAGACCACAGTCATAAAGCTGGAATATTGCAGAGTGTGGTGTTAAACAACAAACAAACAAATCAGTCCAGGCATGTCATAACAGCCTGTAAATAATAGAGCATCGTTCAGTCCATGGATGTGATAAAAACCTGTAAGCAATCAAGCCTTGTTCACTTTAGGTGTGTCATGCAAAGCTGTAAATAGTTAAACCTTATTCAGTTCAGGTATTTCATGAAAATTTGTAAATAATTTAACCTGGTTCAGTCCAGGTATTTCATGAAAATTTGTAAATAATTGAACCTGGTTAAGTCCAGGTATGTCATGAAAATTTGTAAATAATTTAACCTGGTTAAGTCCAGGTATGTCATGAAAATTTGTAAATAATTTAACCTGGTTCAGTCCAGATATGTCATGACAACATGTGAACCGTGAAGATCCGGGGTAGAATAGCTATTCAGCAACCCATGCTTGCCGTAAGGGGCGGCTGTGTTTGTGGTAAGAGGCGACTAACGGATCGGGTGGTCAGGCTCTCCGACTTGGTTGATGCATGTCATCGATCCCAATTGCGTGGATCGATGCTCATGATGTCAATCACCGGATTGTCTGGTCCAGACTCGATTATTTACAGACCAGTCATATAGCTGGAATAATGCTGAGTGCGGCATTAGAGAATAAACAAACAAACATGACAACCTGTAAATAATCTAACCTGGTTCAGTCCAGGCATGTCATGACAACCTGTAAATAATGGGGCATGATGTTAAGTTCATGTATGACTCCAGACTCAATTACTTTCAGACAACAGTCATATAGCTGGATTATTGCAGAGTGTGGTGTTAAACAACAAACAAACAAATCAGTCCAGGCATGTCATAACAGCCTGTAAATAATGGAGCATGGTTCTGTCCATGTATGTCATGACAGCCTGTTAAAAATCGAACCAGGTTCAGTCCAGGTATGTCATGACAACCTGTAAATAATAGAGCATCGTTCAGTCCATGGATGTGATGAAAACCTGTAAGCAATCAAGCCTTGTTCACTTTAGGTGTGTCATGCAAAGCTGTAAATAGTTAAACCTTGTTCAGTTCAGGTATGTCATGAAAATTTGTAAATAATTTAACCTGGTTCAGTCCAGGTATTTCATGAAAATTTGTAAATAATTGAACCTGGTTAAGTCCAGGTATGTCATGAACATTTGTAAATAATTGAACCTGGTTCAGTCCAGGTATTTCATGAAAATTTGTAAATAATTGAACCTGGTTCAGTCCAGGTATGTCATGAAAATTTGTAAATAATTTAACCTGGTTCAGTCCAGGCATGTCATGACAACCTGTAAATAATGGGGCATGTGGTTTAGTTCATGTATTTCATGACAGCCTGTTAATAATCGAGCCAGGTTCAGTCCAGGGCCCGCTTGCACAAAGCGATCTTAGCGCTTAGATGATCGTAACTCCCATACTTTAACATAGGCTTACAATAGTCGTAGCACTAAGATCGCTTTGTGCAAGTGGGCCCAGGTATGTTATAACATCCTGTAAATAATGGAGCATACCCAAAAGAATATTTCAAAACAACAAAAATTATCTTCAGTATTGGACATATATTTGTTCATTATTATGTTATTATTTCTCTTCATCTCGTCTCAGAATTACACACTAAAAGATGCGAAGAAAGCCCTATTGGTATAGAATTATCAGGATAATCGTTTAGGTTGAACCGACGGGGTACCTGGTATGGGTTTTATACTTTTACAATTCCTGGAGAAATAAAGTAAACAGTTTAATGTCCTGTGATCACAATATTGAAAAAAGAATGAACCCATTGATTATATAATATTCAAAACGAGAGGAATAATTCGTAAATTGTTTGTGACTAACGCGCACCTGGCGAATCGTTAGATATCACTGTTCTGTGTATCAAACGACATAAAAACAATTCCAAGACCAAGACAATTCTTTTGGAAATGTGTGCATATATTTTAACGAAAAATATTATCCATTTTGTTAAAGTATTATATTCAGTTTTAGTTATAAATTATAATGAAACGGCTATTCGTGGACATTGGTTATATGAACTTATAATATTGACTTTTACACATCCCAAGAAATACGTACATGCTGCAGTTACATTTACACTTCATCTTGTAACACTTGTCCAAAGGAAAGAAATATCGTATTCGACACTATAAACCTATCAATTCTTATGTAAACAATATTCAAACAAACAGGAGATTATCAAAGGTTCATACATGTTGTGGCCTATATCTACGTGTGATATCATTTTAAACATTGACAAATATCCAAAGTAAAATTAACTGTGCGAAAAATTGTATAAAAGATTATGCAAAATCTACATCATAACTAAAACTGTAAATAGGAGGATACAATGATCACGTGCACTCTCTTTCAAGGACCTTCACCTCAAAGAAATTACCAAATATGTACAACAATGTTGACGTATGACATCACTACCTGTGACCGACTTTTACAAAATGGCGTGTTCACTGTCAACGGTACGCGGGATTTTACGAGGGGACTTTCGTTGATTCAGGGATAGTATATACATAAATGTGACATGTAAGTAATCAGAAACATTCTGACAAGCTATGTACTGTTATTTGTTGTTATAATTTTCATTGAAACAAACCGAAATAATCAGGAATTCCGATAAATACCATTGTCGTGCGTGATTTTGCGTCAGTCATGCGTATGATTTCACTTGTTCAGACACTACATATGAATTAACTAATGGATGCCACTGTGGCACCCTTGAGGGTTTTGAAAAAAAAGATTAGAAAAAATTGGCCCAATTTTCATAATCGGCTTCATTTTTGTAGTCAGCAAGAAACACTAATGAACTTTTCAGAGTATATAGATGTTAAATACACTTGATATACAACATATATGTTTAAGACTGTTGGTCAGACATGTGGTAGAAGTTCTTTTAAGTATTAAAACATAGGTAATTATGATTTTCTAAACCTTTTATCCAGACGAAATGTAATCCATACCATGTTACACTTGAATTGTGAATTATCAATGTATTACAGTAGATGAAAAACAATTATTTATTTTGAAATTTCTAATATGAATTAAGTAATAATTACTTTGATTTATATCTTGAAAATAGGATAAGTAAACCTTTGTTAGAGATTCTTTCAGATGTCTACTAATCAATTGTATGGATAAAAGAGTGCTTTGACAATATCCATAAAAGTATTTTAACTTATTGTTTCAATGAATATATAAATATAATGCACAAGTTGGAAATAACATAACCCATGACTGAATTGTTTGATTGATGGGTTGTATGTTACTTACAAAACAATCAGATGAAGAACATGCATCATACACATCCTTATCCAGGATAATCAGTCAGGTCCCATTCTTGAATCAATTTGAGTCACAATATTTATGAGTGAGAGTCATAGGCAAAGTCTGTTTGAGTCTATATTGACACATCAGATCAGTCACATCAGTCACTTTCATCTAACACTCTCTGTGCAGTTCTGGTGTGCTGGTTATAGCAATCATCACATCCTTCACATTCACAGAACACTGTACATGGAAGTCCAGGATGAACCTTCATAGAGTGGGGGGGCCAAACTGTATGAACATCGGAGTTTGGCCCCCACTCAAGGAAGGTTCATACTCCAATGATCTCACACAAAGTAAAGGTCAATTCTTAAGTGATGCTTGATCTCACCCAAGGATATCTCCCGTGGGGGCCAGGTTTGGATTATCAATTATTAGTTAAGGAATAATGGATTGGTATATAGATTTTTTAAATGTGATTTTTAGCCAATCGAAGATGTAAAAGTGCATAGCAGAGCCCACAGCATACACGAGAGCTGATGTTTCTAACGGGACGACCCCTAGCCCCCAGTAGTGACATTCAGGAAAACTTATGAGAAACAATGAACAGATGAAGGGGAACACAAAAGTGACACGTTGTCATTCTCCGGGAGGGTTAAACCTAGGATACAAGGTTCTGCGGACATGAGGTCGTAGAAAAGTGTCATTTGTGACATGAAAGTTGTGACTTATTTACATTTAAAAGTAGGATGGTACGCTATATTATTGCGGTAGTTAATTTTTAATAGATCGTAATGGCGCACGCTTACAAACCTATTAAATATGTCTTACGCAAGGTTTTTCTTGTTCTTTGTTCGACTTTTATGACATATTAATTAGGATTGATCGATGCTGATTTTCTTTACCGAGTTCGGTAAACAAAGTACCCGTCATTTGCGACTCAAGGGAGGACTTCATATTATCTCGGCGTTGCTTTTTTGTTGTGTGATACGTGTGGCTTATGTGGTTTACATAACTTCCTCTTTTGGATTATGCATTAGTAGTATGCATACGACCTACACGTAGGTTAATATTTGAAGTGAATAGCTACAACACTAAAGTACTCATGGAAATGAAAAAAACCTGTTTTGCTGGATTTAATAATCGACACAAAGCTTTACGTAGATGTAAATACGAAATAACAAAACAACTGGAAAAGTACTAGTCTGGATTTGCTAGTTTTATCTCAGTACTCAATACAAAATGTACTTTACAGGAGGTAATTTGTAGGCACTTTCAACATTCAAAAATAAAACTAAGGCCAAATTGACATGGCAGAACCAGGCTATAGGCATTATGCAAATTAGCCTGGAAAACGTTATCAAAACAACAATAAAAATAACAGCTATGTTTATGTACATAATAATAATGACATGTAAGTTGTTGTTTGAGGAGGGAATATGTTACTTTTACGTTCTGATATTTTGACGATGATTCACTATCCCACAATGCCACTCACAAATCACTAACCACTGACAAATCACATGCACGCTGGTTTCAAGCACCTGTTTTCACCTGTCGTCAAGGTGTCATAGGTCATGGACATTCACCTTGATCTACTAACACCTGGTTATGCTCAGTTTCACAAGTCTGTGTTGTTCATATTTTTACACACTTTTACGTTTTAAAAGACATAAAAACCGTGAGTACCTTTATTTTTAGGCCTACTTTTCGTTAAATACAATTCATATTGTGCCTCTCTTTGCTGCCTTGCGGGGCGAAAGTGTTCCCAGATCTCATAGAAAGTGCTCTCGTTTCGTAAAGAAGATATTCTCGATCGTATTGGTTACATAGTCAGCCTACCTGTATATTCATTCAACTGCTATGAACGTACGTATGTCCCCGAGCAGTCATCCCCTCCGACTGCTTTGTGTCTTCGCTTGGGTAGGTCTCACCAGCTCCTCCTTCTTTTCGGGTCAGCAGCTTTTTCAGCTCATTGTCGTTATTGTTAGAGCATGTACAACCCATGCTGCCGTAAAAGGAGACTATGTTTGTCGTAAGTGATAGGGATGGGAGGGGTACCTCGGGTCGGGTGGTTACTGAGTAGGACCCGACTACCCGTGATTAGTCACATGATTATATTGTTTACTGGCAAAAATTATCTAGAATTCAATGGTTACAATATTAGTGACAAATGTTCACATTTCTTTCTGATAATGCACACATTCCTTCTGACTTTTTATGTTTGCATAAAGATAAACCTTCAGTCAACTTCAGTGTATGCATGACCTGATCGGTTTATACGTGTATCTAAATTTATTTTGACAGGAGTACGGTCAAACGTTTCCCAATCGGACATTTTGAACCTACCTCGTGAGACCTACAGCGGGTACCCGGGTAGGGACGGGTAATAGGGGGACAGGTAATAGGGGGACAGGTACCCGGGTAGCAAATGTGGACTCGTCCCAGCCCTAGCCTAGGCTCGCTGACTTGGTTGATGCATGTCATCGCATCCAAATTGCGTGGATCGATGCTCATGATGACACTTCCTTGATTAGATGAAGGTAAACCAAATTGTATCCCTTGGACTAAAAATATTCATAAGTCAATATATATCGTATTTCTGACCGTCACACTGGCACATCTTTCAGAAGCAAAGGAGTAAACTGATTATAATAGTGCAGTTTCCACTAACCTTAACTTTTACGTATTGGAGAAAACACGCTTACGAGGTTTTGGTAGACAGAGCATGCCCCCGCGGTTTTTCCCGACCCCCAGGGCATGCTCTGTCTACCAAAACCGAAGGAATGTGTTTTTCCATACTTATAAACCGTCTAAATTGATTAAATGTTAACTAAATACTTACTAAAATACTTACTTTTAAATGAAAGTGAAATCTTCGGTTTCTAAATGTTTGTGTTGCAATTTTCCACTTCTTTTAAACTTTTCAAAACGAAAATTCGCAAATTTTAAAGGTGTTTTTTTGCTTTACAAGATTTCCGACTTTAAACAATCCAACTGTTACATAGAGGTAGTTGTGACGTAACGGCTAGCAGTTACTGCACGTGCAAATTGTGCAGCATTGATAAGCACGTATTTAAAAGCACGTGTTTTGAAACCTCGCTGTCCTTTCACCAGACTCTGAAGTGATGTCGCTTTTAAATTTCCACACGGAACTGTACACATAACATTCAATTTTAATTGAATAAAAATTTTGAATTGCTACTTGTTGTCATGTTTTCAGTTACTTGGTTAAACCTGGGATTTGAGGTTTTACATTCAAAGTAAAACCTCCCGAACGAAGATAAAACCTCACAATAGGTTTTACTTTGAAAGTAAAATAGGTTTTAAATGCCTATAGAAAGAACTCTCTTACTTAATAGAGATCCCAATGAATTGGTTTATAAAATTAGTTAACGGCCTTGCCTCGGGAAGATGCACTAGTGTGGCTCTTGCAAGTTATTCAGTCCCGTTTGTACCAGCACGCGAAAGCTCATGGAAACTGGCAAAAACGCTGACATGTAGAAGATGAATTATGGTTCAAACCATAATCTCAAGTCCAATACCACAAGAGGCCATAAATTAATGATATACTTTAAGCACTTTATTCATTTGGGCATTTGATCTTTTTAGGTCAGTGGTTATTAATTAATATATTCGAAAAAATAGGTCCGAAGTAGGAAAATACCATTAAGTTATGACAAGTATGCCAAATATTCATACGTTTTTCATCAATGTCTTCCGGTAGACGGGGTACTTGTAATTCATTAAATTCATTATAAAATGACCGTCCGGTTCCGGAAACTGAATTTCCGTATATACGGGTAAATTTATATAGTAATTATTTCGTTTTGAATGAAAATCGTCCGGGAACCGAGGTTTCCGGATATATGAAGTCCGTATAAGCGGGGCACGACTGTAGGTATGTGTTGGGCGATGGAATTGTTCTTGGGACTGTATCATATACTCAATAAACAAAGAAACGCAAAAGTAGTACGATCGTAAATATCTGACAGAGTGGTGACAACACCTATACACAATAAATACCAAAAGTGAATGTGTCATTTCTGCATGGATTGGGATCGATTTGTGTGGAAATAATGAGGATCTCCAGAAATTTGGTGAAAAGATGGGAATATCGGAAAAAGACAACCACGTGACAGCCTTCACCAAAACACACTAGCATCACGTGCACGTGCAACACCACTTGTTGGGCTATAAAAATGTTGGTTTTTCATTTGCATGCCATCACAATCATACAGTAAGTTACAGAAGACTGACGGAAGCCCAAGCAACAACGCCATCGGCCGATTGCAGACAGGTGAATCATCTTTGGCCGTACCAAGGCTTTTCCACGTCGCACCAAGCACCATTACAAGGCTGACCACGCTACCCCCATTTCATGTAACGTTTGTTTATGCTTCCCCAACCCCCCTCTCCCCCATAACATGTAACATTTATACACCACCCCAACACACATGGCCAGTCCAAAATTAATATTCAAACTTTTAATTTTTATATTTGAAAAAAATAGAACTTTATCGCTCTTTGATGCCTCCCCCATATACAGTGATAACTTTTGTGTTAGTCCAGACTAAAGCCGGTTTTATAGTGCTGGCCCATTGAGATACCATGCCACAGGACCCATGAAGATCCGGGGTAGAACAGGTCTTCAGCAACCCATGCTTGCCGTGAAAGGCGACTGTGCTTGTCGTAAGAGGCGACTAACGGGATTGGGTGGTCAGACTCACTGACAAGGTTGATGCATGTCATCGCATCCCAATTGTGTGGATCGATGCTCATGATGTTAATCACTGGATTGTCCTGTCCAGACTCGATTATTTACAGACCGCCGTCATATAGCTGGAGTATTTCTGAGTGCGGCCTTAAACAACTAACAAACCATGCCGTAGTGTAACTTGGATGCCCCAATCAGACACAGTATACTGTGACTCCAAGCCAACCGTCCCCTCTGCTGGCCGATGCTTTATCCACTCAACTACGGTTTGAATCAAACTTGCTTGGACTACAATTTGCTCTAGTTTTCTTTTGGCCTTTTGACAGTAGTGCAAATATTTATATTGATGGTAATAGTTTATATACTAGTATATATAGACAAATTACACAGAAACTGAACAAAATAAAATGAAAAAAAAACATTGTGACATCATGCATAACATTATTTATTGCCCTTTGTAAAAATAACATTGTTTAACAACACATTTGACTGGGCATCTTCAGTTGATTGGTCTGGATATACAGTTTTAAATACATTGTTACAGGTCACAGAAAGGCTGACAAGTTCTACTGTAGCACTTGATTCTGTAGGATAAATGAGCTGTGAAGGGCGAATGTGGAATCAACAGATTAGAATGATTTCTCTAGACTCTAAACAATTTTATGGCTGATAGATAACTTCTCTATAATTGTGCCTATTGACCAATATTTGCAGTTTTATTTGTTGAAACAACGGTTCAGAATGTCCAGTGAATTCCTGGCTCAGAATCAACTGCAACGACAATAGCCAATCTCATTAAAATCAGATCTTAGTTCTCGCTATTGCTAGCGGCAGCGAGAACTTAGATCTTATTTTAATGAGATTGCAACAATAGCATGACATCATTATGCTGGTTTAACACTTGAAAATTAATATATAGGCGCAGGAAAGAAGTTTCATTTTGACAGTTTGTTTGGGAATAAAGTGATTGATCCTACGAATAAATTAAGAACCCATTCCATCAAAAGCATCTAATTCATTTACAGAAAGCTATGAATGCATAAAATATATTTTGAGAAATATCTGTGATTAAAATAAAACAGTGCCATCAAATTGAATGTAGGAAAGCCTATAAGCGGAATCACAATAAAACATCGTTATCTGAGTGAGTGAGGGGCTCAATTAATTTTTAAAATAAAAAACCCAAATATATTTAACTGTGTTCTTAGGACACTTGTCAGCAACAAAAGGGCATATTATTATTTTTCCTACAATGTTGGGCAATTGTAAAAAAATTTCAGTAAAACTGGCTTGATTATTTTTGTAGAAAAAAATCACAGCCCTCAACCGGAAAATCAAATGGATGCTTCCATGCTTGAGACAGTGTTGAAACACCTGGTTATTTGGCATGACTTGCCAGAGATGGAGAAGTCTATGTAACACTGAGTAACTGAAAGACACTGAAACCTTATACATGTATTTTGTTGGTTTTGGCCTAAAATTCCATGTAGGTGGTCAAATTTTTTTAAAATTTTTTTTTCAAATGTAAACATCCAGGTTAGTACTTCAACTAATGAATAGAAAGAAAGTTTTAACATGGCAAGATACAGAAAGATAGTTGATTGTTTTTGTTTATTTTTTGAATAAAGATTTGTATACTGATTATTTACCATATCTTACAGAATGCGGTGATGAAATCTCATGTTCTTTTCCATTTCCCGTAATTGGAGTTGTCTAAGTTGCTTTTGGTCAAAAGTAATTTTAATTTTTTATAAAAAAACATAAGTCCAAAGGAAATTTAATACCCACTTGAAACCTATTGGCTTTGATTTCAATACCCTTCTTGCCTTGGAACTATGGATAGCTGAATGTTGTTTTGTATAGACTCAATCCTGTCCAGTTAAAGAGGTTTCATTGCAGTAAGAAAGAATCATGGCACATTACAAAGCCAAGGAACTAACACAGAACCCAAACACTAGAATACTCTCTCATCAATCTCATTAAAATCAGACCTTAGTTCTCGCTACCGCTAAACAAAGGATCTTTGTTTAGCGGCAGCGAGAACTAAGGTCTGATTTTAATGAGATTGACGCTCTCCTGCAGCACACAGAGACAGCCATAGTGAAATGAGAATCATCCCAGTTATCTGGTATCTTTTCTATCACTCATGACTTGCATTATAATCTGTGTAGTTTTGGTCTAAAATTAGTCACAGAATGCTCTGGTTTGGTAAAATAAAATAAAAATAAATCAAAAAGATAATGTACAAATTAAAAGTAAAACTTGTCGACTGTTTTCATACTTTTATACAGCAAAACATACACCATCTTAAAAACACATTTCTTTTGAAGATTTATGTATTTAAAAAATATGCATAAAACATTTTACTTTTACAAATAAAACACTCAATTCTTCTTACTTTGTGTAAGAACTTTTTGACATAAACATTCCCAACCTGAACGCTGCTTGACCCCCATTCTGTCAGTAATCAGCTTGTAATTAGGGAATGTAGAGTTTGACAGTAAACATTTTAATCTTTAGCGTGTCCATTGCCACGTGATCACAGAACGAAGCAGAAAATACAGTATTTTTGCGCTTTGATTGCAAAAGGTTTACGGGTACAAAAGATGAACTTTCAATTTTGACACCTTTTTACCAAATTAAAGATGCTAAACTTCCTAATGGTGATAAATATCCATAATTAGTATGAGTATATTTTAGTCAACAGTATCTGAAAAACAGTTTCAGCAACAAGAATAGTGATTGCATTATATATACAAGAACAAAACCAGCACCATCATTGCTTTGTCCTGAACACCTCCAGACTCGGAGAAACATTTTTACTACCCTTCATCAGTCAGGTGAGCTAATAAAATGTTTGGAAAATAAGAAAGACATAGAGGTCATAAACTAAATGGTTTTTGATTCACAAAATCGTTACATGTACTTTTCTCTTCTTGATCATCTTTGATTTTTTTTATTTGATTTGCAAAAATAATCTGAATTGTCTTTTTTGGTTTGTACTCATCTACAGAGCAGAACACAAAGGAAATAATTAATATCTGGTCTAAGGAATGGACGGACAAAGCTTCCATATCTCATATCAGTTGTGGCGTGGGATAATAAGAACCATAACATCATAGGCAGCAGTGATAATATATCCTTTTACATTCTTACAAAAATAGCACTTTTGAGAAATATTGTTAACAGTAAACACTTCTGTTCACACCGATTATGCATTTGATTGAATTACAGCAGTAAAACAGTAAGTTAGAAGAACAAAACATATTTACATTTAAAAATCCATGTTGCACCAACAATCAGGCAAAATAAATGCAAAGATAAAACACTGATAAAACAGTTGATAAAGAAGTCAGTACTTCGTAAAGACCGCACACCAGTGCATACAACACTAAGAACAGCCCTGGACACATGTGGTCAAACTTCGGAAACTTCAACATAAATTACTGTACCACAATACACATGCATCCAGCACTCCTGCAGGAGGCATGAAAAACAGGTGTCATTGGTTTGATTATGTTAGCATCAAACCTGGGTATTCTGCTGAACAGGCAAATATGCACCTACCACTGGGTCCTTACAGGTAAACATGCACACCATCCATCGGGCAATTACAGGTAAACATATGCACCACCCACTGGGTCCTTACAGGTAAACATACAAACCATCCATCGGGCAATTACAGGTAAACATATGCACCACCCACTGGGTCCTTACAGGTAGACATACAAACCATCTATCGGGCAATTACAGGTAAACATACACACCACCCACTGTGCCATTACAGGTAAAAATATGTGTACATAATTTTCTTGAAGTACTCCCTTCCTATGCACACATGCATCCTTCAAGCACACACATCCTTCAAGCACACACATCCTTCAAGCACACATCCTTCAAGCATACATCCTACAAGCACACACATCCTTCAAGCAGACATCCTTCAAGCACACACATCCTTCAAGCACACATATCCTTCAAGCACACACGTCCTTCAAGCACACACATCCTTCAAGCACACACGTCCTTCAAGCACACAAGTCCTTCAAGCACACACATCCTTCAAGCACACATCCTTCAAGCATACATCCTTCAAGCATACATTCTACAAGCACACACATCCTTCAAGCACACACATCCTTCAAGCATACACATCCTTCAAGCACACACATCCTTTAAGCATACATCCTACAAGCACACACATCCTTCAAGCACACTCAGCCCCTTTAAAAAATCTAATAATTTATCAATATCCTCTCACACGCACATACTTCATAGCCCTCTAGTCGCTAAAAGACAGATTTTGCCAGTTTTAATTTCACTTCAAGCACAAGCATTTAATTCCCTCTTCTTTGTCAAATGCAAATTGTGGTGCCAAAAACCATAACCATAAACAATAAAAACAAAATATTACAGTTTGATAATCATCCATCTGTGGTCATGATTATCAATAAGTAAGGTTGTCTGGGTAGTAGTCAGATTGTCAGTTGTCAGGGCAGCTCCATCTGGACATCTCAGCCATGCTAAAGGACCTTCAGTCTTGACCTTGGAACATGGGAGCTTAGTGCATCGATGAACTCTTGGAGTTGGTTGACGAACTTGGCACCAAGGTCTGTCAGTGTGTCCTTCGCACTGTTGCACAGCTGTTTTTCAAGACTAGGATCCTTACTGGAACAAAGGTGAGTGAGTGAGTGAGTGAGTGAATTACGGGGTTTTATGTTGTACTGCAGTTATATCACGGCATGTCAGCTCAATGAGGGAGGAAAATCTAAAGTCTGAAGTGGGTATGTCTCTGTCTGCCTCTGTGTGTGTGTGTGTGTGTGTGTGTGTGTGTGTGTGTGTGTGTGTGTGTGTGTGTGTGTGTGTGTGTGTGTGTGTGTGTGTCTGTTTGCCTGTCTGTCTGCACTAGTCAGGACTAATGCTACTTTTAGAGTGCTAGCCCGCTGAGATATCATGCCAGAGTTTAACATGACCGCACGCACGCACGCATGCACAACCAGTCCCTAAATAATATTCAAATTGATAAGCATGTACCCATGTGGGGAATCGAGCCACTAGGCTACCCTACCGCCCCAGCCACCACTGGAGATACTGATGTATTGATACTGGGAGGCTGATCAGAACCCGGCAGCTGCCTGGAGGAAGGGCTTCAGGGAACACTGGATCGGTCGTAGCTGGAGTTGACACTCTCTGTGAGTGTTTGTGCCGACGTCAGAAGACCTAGCCGCTGTTGCCATCGGCGTACTGGTAGCGGCTGTCTGAGTGTCAACAGCACTAAACCTTGTATCTTCAACCATCTGTCCGGGGAACAAACATCATGCCCTTCTTTGTGTTGAATAGAGCCCTGATGAACTGCAGACATTGAGTGGGAGACGTTTCAGACTTTGCAACATTGACGAGCCAACCTAGCTGATGAAGAAGCTGCTGTGTGAACCCTAGGTGTTCCATGAGGGTGTCTGGATCTGCATGGGCTTGAATGCAGGTGTTTATATACACCTCGAAGATGATCCCTTGAACAAGCAGGAACTTCATGATTGGCTTGGTAATACAGGTAAAAAGCCATCGGGCAGACTCTCCAGCTTCTTAGGATTCCACGGACAATTGTCAATAATTACATCGCTGTAAGTCTGAGGAAGGAACAATCCTGATATCGATGGTGATCCATGGACAACTGTTGATAGTTACATCACTGGAACGGGAATGATCCTGATGTCAATTGTGATCCGAACGGCTAGTAGAAGGAGAGCGGTTCCGTCCTGATGATCAATCCGCTGAATGGGAGTGATAATCGTCCTCAGAAGGATGGAGATCATCTTGTTGAAATTGAGTGTTCTGCGACTTATTCTTTTTGGTGTGATGTTGATCTTTAGAACGTTGATCCTGGGAACATCAATCTCTCAGGTGTTGATCCCTTGAGTGTCGATCCCGTGAATGTAAATCTGTAGACCTGGAACGTCAGTCTCTCTAACGTCAATCCTTAGATGGTCACCCTCGAACGTCAATCCCCCAAACTAGTGATTCTTTAACGAGTGACAACGAACTTCAAGGTGCGTGATCGATCCTGGTTCTTCCTTTCCGTATTCAAAGGAGAGAGCCAAGATGAATTAGCGATCCTCGGTGAAGTCAATACTGCAGGTGTCCTCTTAGGTGTGTGACAGGCAGGCTATGTGCTGATAGCCTGACTATCATGTTGAGGAGCGGGGGCTGATAGGCGACTCTCGGCTGACAGCCAGGGGCCTGGAGGGTCAACATCAGGGATAGTCGTGGCTGGTGTTATGCTGTCCCTAGTCATGACCATGCAGACGTCCGTGACTGCAGGCTGAACCATCTTAGATGTGGTCACAGGCACACTCTGGACAGGCGACGGATTCGTTTTGGCAGGAACATCGTCATGTAGGAAGCTGTCAGAAACACTGTCATTTTCTACCGATAGTGAAGACATGGTAGATGGCTTGATGGGCTGGCTTGGTTACACGCTTTGGTTTCTTGGCTGCAGACAAAGGCCAATTATCAGTGTCCTTGGATTAAGATCATCGGTCGATATTACGTTTCTTACATTTGTGTAAATACGTGTAAAAAGCTTCCTCTGTGCGTTGAGAACATTGTGAGCATCTGTAGTCCAGATTGCAAAGGCTATGGCAGTCACAACTGGTCTGCAACTTCTACAGGCTGGGTGTTCTGTGTTCTCATTATGTGTTCCCATACCCTTCTTCAAATAATGGATGTTGATATGATTGCAATCTCATTAAAATCAGATCTTAGTTCTCGCTACCGCTAAGCAAAGATCTGAAGACATCCCATTACGGGTCATGTCAGACCGACCTTGTGCGAACTTTGACCGACCAATGGAATGACCAGTCAGAAGGCAGCTTTCTTGTGCTTTACGGCACAAATTTCAAATTGGAGACTACGCTTCGAAACATATTTTGACAAATTCTCGATTACAAATTTGAAACCTGAACAAAAAACATTCTTGAATGGTCTAGATTGTAAGGATTCAGTCCTTAAACCCGTAACTATCGTTCGGAATACCCCATGTTAAAGTTTTCGAGATTGCATGATTAGAAATCACATTCCGACTGTCACTTTCATAATCTGGTAAGCGACGCACTGATTGGTTGGATGTAAGGTCGTTCTGACGTGACCCCTAATGGGATGTCTTAAGATCTTTGTTTAGCGGTAGCAAGAACTAAGGTCTCATTTTAATGAGATTGATACGATTGCAGAGGAAGTACTCTTTAAAAAAAACCAATGAATTTTCTTTTACTCAATACACGTCCCCACACAGTGGCAATAAGAAAGAGAATGATGTGGCTGGGGTAGTCAGGTGATCAAGTTGTGTAAGGTCACAGTGAGTGAGCCATTTGTTTGGGTGGGGACTATGGTGATGCTGGGATGTGTTCGGGCGAAATGTTTTTAAGAAGCTGGAAACTTTGTTTTAGCACATTTCCACACAAGGATCAAAAGAAGAAGGAAGAAATGCATAGTGTGAGATAGGATAACTTTTAAACTTGACTTTTATGACTTGGCACAGTGCACAAATATCAATTAAAGAAAGAGTGAATGAGTTTGGTTTTGGACTCTGGGCAATTGAAATGCATCAATAGTTGAATAACAGTGAAACCCTGTTTATCCAGAAAACACAGTTACCGGTTAAATCATTCACATTATCAAATGTCTGGATTAACGAATCATGGGTTTGGAGTAGAGTCCCTTTAATATTATTGTTAACTGACCACGGAACCTGCTTGTCTTCTGGCCATGTGTCAACGGGAGTTCCTCAAGGTTGTGTTATATAACATATATTTTTTTTTTTAATGCACAAATAATTGTATTACTGACTCTAAACTTTCATGGATTGCATATACAGATATTATTTACAAAAAGGGACTACAAAGACTTGATTTTTCATTGCTTTATAAATGTTTTATCGTGGTGTTTATATGTGTGTATTTAACTAAAATCATGAACCTGTTACTTGTTTCTCTATGCTTTTACGATGTAACCGAAATTTCCTTTTGGATGATCAAGTATTATCTCATCTATGTTATATAGACCTGCTAAACAAGATCATCCGGAAAGAGGGGTTTCTGGATTGACAGGGTTTACCTGTATGCAGCAGGCAGCACTCACCTCAGCAGGACCTTGGTCACGTTACAGATGGTCTCACAATCACTCTTGAAAGCCTGCATGGAGAAATGGAATTAATTAACCAGAAACAGCATGCATTATATGCAAAAACAGAAGCAGTCTCATTACATGTTTTATTGTTTAGCACTTTTATTGTCAAGAATACTTGTTATCAGACCCAGACAATCAGGATGACAAGCAAACACATTTTCAACTAGGCTAACACCCACTTAGTGAATAAAGAAACAGAAACCCACCAGTGGTTGAAGACAACAACACTTCCTACATCATTTTCATCGCTATTTGCCTCATAATTATAACCTCTTTTTACAATATGTATTTCCTTGTTTCTTCACTTGATGTTTTTGCAATTCTGTCCGGTGCAACAACAGTCAAAACTGGTACTGTTGTCCACAGCTGATGGCTACAACAAAGCTAGGACTGTTGTCCACAGCTGATGGCTACAACAAAGCTAGGACTGTTGTCCACAGCTGATGGCTACAACGAGGCTAGGACTGTTGTCCACAGCTGAAGGCTACAACGAGGCTGGGACTGTTGTCCACAGCTGAAGGCTACAACGAGGCTAGGACTGTTGTCCACAGCTGATGGCTACAACGAGGCTAGGACTGTTGTCCACAGCTGATGGCTACAACGAGGCTAGGACTGTTGTCCACAGCTGATGGCTACAACGAGGCTAGGACTGTTGTCCACAGCTGAAGGCTACGAGGCTAGGACTGTTGTCCACAGCTGAAGGCTACAACGAGGCTGGGACTGTTGTCCACAGCTGATGGCTACAACGAGGCTAGGACTGTTGTCCACAGCTGAAGGCTACAACGAGGCTGGGACTGTTGTCCACAGCTGAAGGCTACAACGAGGCTAGGACTGTTGTCCACAGCTGATGGCTACAACGAGGCTAGGACTGTTGTCCACAGCTGATGGCTACAACGAGGCTAGGACTGTTGTCCACAGCTGAAGGCTACGAGGCTAGGACTGTTGTCCACAGCTGAAGGCTACAACGAGGCTGGGACTGTTGTCCACAGCTGAAGGCTACAACGAGGCTAGGACTGTTGTCCACAGCTGATGGCTACAACGAGGCTAGGACTGTTGTCCACAGCTGATGGCTACAACGAGGCTAGGACTGTTGTCCACAGCTGAAGGCTACGAGGCTAGGACTGTTGTCCACAGCTGAAGGCTACAACGAGGCTGGGACTGTTGTCCACAGCTGAAGGCTACAACGAGGCTAGGACTGATGTCCACAGCTGAAGGCTACAACGAAGCTAGGACTGATGTCCACAGCTGAAGGCTACAACGAGGCTAGGACTGTTGTCCACAGCTGATGGCTACAACGAGGCTAGGACTGTTGTCCACAGCTGAAGGCTACAACGAGGCTAGGACTGTTGTCCACAGCTGATGGCTACAACGAGGCTAGGACTGTTGTCCACAGCTGAAGGCTACAACGAGGCTAGGACTGATATCTACAGCTGAAGGCTACAACAAAGACTAGTACTGTTGTCAACAAGGCTACAACAAAGACTAGTACTGTTGTCCACAAGGCTACAAGCCTAGTACTGTTGTCAATAAGGCTACAACAAAGACTAGTACTGTTGTCAACAAGGCTACAACAAAGACTAGTACTGTTGTCAACAAGGCTACAACAAAGACGAGTACTGTTGTCAACAAGGCTACAACAAAGACTAGTACTGTTGTCAACAAGGCTACAAAAAAACTAGTACTGTTGTCAACAAGGCAACAAAAAGACTAGTACTGTTGTTAACAGCTGAAGGCTACAACAAAGACAAGTAGTGATGTCCACTGCCACACAAATTCTGAACATGCCGTGCAGTTCATCACTGATTCATCAACTGAACCTGGGTAATAATTTCTTTATCACATAATGTCATTCTTTAAATAAGCAACATTAAGATGTAATGTTTCTGAATGAAGTAACTTTACAAACCATGTATGAAAACAATGTTTGAGCGAACCGCCAATAGCCAAAGACTCTGTTTTCACTTCTTTTTCTTCACATTTAAATTTTTTGGATTCGGTGGCTTTGTAAACAAAGTTTTAAAACAAATCTGACCTAATATTATTGAATGAACAACCAAAACCTACAATTGTTGAGTTGAGTGTTTTAGGAAACAAAATAACCTGACAACAAAATCATTTACTGCCTCATTATATATACCCCCGTTTTCACTATAATAAAAAACTATAATATAATAAAATAAATTATGAATGAATATAAAATGTGTTATATACCGCCTCTAGTTCTTGTTTCTTTTGCTGAACCCTCTGCATCTGTCCATGAGACAAGGCCTTCCTCTGCCGAGGTACAGACTTGGGTGTTGAGGTGAGAATACTTTTCCTACGGTTCAATGTCTGACTGGTTTGAGATGGGGCCTCCCCATCTTCTAGTCTTTGGCTGTTGTTAGGAGACCTCGAGTGATTGCCAGACGAGACCGATGTGTAGTCAGGGGTTTGTGATGGGTAGACAGGGGTTAGTGACCTTGACCTGGATCGTCTAGGAGACCTGCATCTTTTCCGTTTGTTCAGAGATGCAGATCTATTGCTCGGTGATGAAGACCTAGACCTGTTTGGTGGCCTACTTGGTGATCGTACCCTTTTCCTTGATGCAGCAGGAAAAGGTAGAAGGTAGGTAGGTGATGTGGATCGTGATCTCAGGGGAGATCTTTTTCCAGGTGATGAAGACCGAGATGAAGACCTTGACCTTTGAAGATTTCTTTTAATTCTTCTAGGCGACAATGATGCACTTGGTGATGGAGATCTGGAGCCTGTTCTTGGAGACATAGACCTTGACCTTGACCTTGACTTTTTTGTAGATTTTGACCTGTTGTTCGAAGAAACTGATTGTGATTCTGATGTTTCCGTCAGACTACTTCTGTTTGGAGATGAAGATAGTTTTCTCTTACTAGAATATAGATGGCGGCCCTTATGATGTTTGCCATGTCTTAGAAGTTTGGTTGGAGAATTGAAGCTTGAATCACTAGTCTCCATTGTGGTGTCTGAAGTGGTGCTTTTGTCGGTCATCCTGCTGGAAGAAGATTGGTCAGTGGAGAAACTGCTGCTGTCTCTCATCTTTGTCAACGACCTGCTCCGGCTGCCATCCCTATGAACAGTCATGTGGCCCCCAGATCCATGTCGCCTCCTGGGATCATCGTCTGGATCTAGGTTCAGATTACTACATTCTGACACACTTTGGGTATAGGAGTTGTCACCTACTGGATATGGCACAAGGGGTGTCACCTTCTTTGTCCTTGAATCTGTTGATGGTAAGAGTACTGGGATTGACTAAAAGTGGAATGTTGTTGCTTAATGCCACACTCAACAAAATTCCAGTATCCTGAGGTGAGGTGAAAAGGGGTTTAACGCCATGTTGAAGATTATTGCACTTATATAGCGACGTGTGTGTGTGTGTGTGTGTGTGTGTGGCGGGGGGGAGGTTTGCTTGTGTGTGCATGTGTTCAGTTTAATATGTATAGCCAGCCAACCAGTCCTTATCATTATCCCCATAATGTGCCGAGCGCCAGGCAGGGTAACAACAAGTACCATCTTTTAACGTCTTTATGATGCAGCCAGGGATCGACCCCAGACCTTCTGCTTTCCAGGCGGATCACAGAGGCGTTCAGTAACCCATGGACTAGTTTTATTATTGCTGGCAAACCAGTCGGAATGCAGAATCATAAACTGTCATGGTAGAATGTATGTTGCTCACATCCTCTCTCCACTATAAACACATTCTCTGACATAATTGTTTCATAATGGGTATGTACTCAAACACTAAGCTCATGGTTCAAAATATCAAAATGCCTATAATTTCAAAACCTGTCAGTAGGTCCAATATTATCATGATAGATGTCATGTAAGAAAATAAAGTAGGTCGTTTTAATAAATGAAGAAAACGGAATGGACAAACATAATTACCGATATGTTTATGTGGTCTCAAAACATAACCTGAGTCATCTAAGGTGCCGCGATTCATTGTGCGGGGTTACGTCTCTTGGGCATGCCAGAAACCTATGATTGTGGGTTCGAATCCAGGTTTGCCCCGATTATGTTTCTAGGTTTGTCAGCACCATACCTGTGCTTGTGGGTTTCACCGAAGTGGTAAATGAGACCTGCATCACTTCGGGCTTTCCTCCCACATTAAGCTAACACGCCGCGACATAACTGGAATATTGTTAAAAGTGGCGTTAAATCCAACTGACTCACACACACGCACGCACGCACGCACGCACGCACGCACGCACGCACGCACACGCACACGTACACACACGCACACACACGCTCACACACGCTCACACACACACTCACTCACTCACTCACTCACCTGAGTCTGGACATTTTTCATCATATGATTTCTCAAGCTCAGAATCAATAAAGTCAAGGTCATTTCTATCCTCCAAAGGTATTTTTGAAGAGCTCCTCTCTGCCAGTCTCTTCATCCCGGTCAGTTTGGACACAACAGCAGCTGGGATGTCTTCTGATGGCAGATACATCTTTTTCTTGCTTGGAATAGAGTCAGCAGCAATTCGGGACTCTTCCATACTGGTGAACACAGCTAGAGGAGACTGATAGCTGAGGCGATGAGGAGTGAACCTCAGGAAGAAGGGCCTTGAACCAGATGCAGAGTCCCCCTCAATACCAGCATCGACATGCTCATCCTTGGTGGGGGTGTCTTCTTCAGGGTTGATATACAATGGATTTTTTTTCGGGGTTTTCTTTGGAGATTTCAGCTTGGACTCCGTGTCAAGCTGGAGGGTCTCCTCAGCTCGATTTCTTTCCAGGCTGCGGACGGACTTCTTGTCGGACATCTGATGTGGTTTGACATTTGGAGTACCAGTTCCAGGACCCCGGGGTTCAAGGATCTCTCTGGTGAAGCCGTGTTTGGGGACAGTATGGAGGGACATAGTGCACGCCTCCTCCAGCCTCCGCATCCTTACGTCATCAGATGACTTCAGGCCAGCACATTTTTCAGAATCATTGGTCGACTTCCTGTCAGTTTTATCTACTTTCACCTTTTTATCTGGACTTGAATTTATCCCTGAATCTTGCTCTTTATCGGATATTTCACTTTTTAAACATTTTGTATGCTTGCCCATCATAAATTTACGATACTGAGGTGTCATGCTTTTGGGCCCTTTTTTGGATATTTTTCCAACTTCTATCCAGCAACCTCTGTAAGAATTATATGTGCTGGTCTTAGAGGGGGACTCCTGGGGCAGATCTTTTGGCTTGGTTAGATTTGGTTCATCTTTTGATTGTTGTTCTGATATCCCTATGTCCCCTGACTGAGGACATTTGACCCCTGTAGATTTATGTGAAGCAGACAGGTTAGAAGGAACTTTCTTTGGTGGCATTGGGCCATACCAGTCTTCAATATCATCAGGGGAACTACCACTCGCTAGCTCTCCAGGTTCAAGGTCGTTTGCTGGTTTCAGGGAAGGCTCCAGTGCCAGTTCCAACTCCGAGTCCTCAGACGTTGGCGATGGTGGTGACCATGGTGAGTCTAGGTCATCCATTGCAATGTCTTGATTGGATGCCGATGTTGATGTCTTGGTTCCATGTTTATTGACATTCTCTGATGATGGCACTTTCTTTGGTGCTTCTTCCTGTTTCTCATGCTGTGGGTGAGCTCCTGATTTTGTAAATCTTGATCTGTAAGAAATAATTACAATAAATATTTGGTGTTGAAATCTGGGAAGTAGAGAAGTTGACCAATTTTCTGTAGAATGTTGATTGAAGAATAGGTTTAGATATCACACATCGTTTTTCCGCTTAAAAATCCATATAAATGTATTAGCGAGGTTTTCACTGATTTCGTAGATCTATGAATCTGTTCTTCTGATGTAGAATGAAGGGGGCAAGAGGACCACTTTTAATTTCAAGACTCCTTAGTGAGTGAGTGAGTGAGTGAGTGAGTGAGTGAGTGAGTGAGTGAGTGAGTGAGTGAGTAGCCTGCATTCTAATGTGTAATGACCTTCTTTAATGACTTTATGATATTCCTATCATCATATATAGATTTTTTTAAAAACATTCTGACAATGAAGTCTCCCCAGGAAGCCATGATGTATAGTAAGGCCATAAGAAGCTGTATATGTCCGCAGATGAGCCGAATTTTGATGACCAGAAAAAAAGATTTGTTGTTTATGGCAACATAATGATCATTATGAGAATAAAAAGACAACAGAAACAGCTTCTCACATTAAGGGAGTGGATGACTGGTTTGTTAAATCTTTATAAGAAATTATAATGACTTTTTCCATATAATTACAACGTTTTTCATCTTATATTATTGAATATCTGCAAGTACCAGTACAGTCTTGCAGTCCGTCTTCGCGGTGTGTCGTTGCCTTTCACTTCTTGGTTTGGCTTATCTACGGGTCATATCATGTTTTTTCATATTTCAATGGTCAAGTTAATACCTCGGCTTGTACAGGTAAGGACAACCTTGGGGGGACTCACAAGTACAGGTATAAAAAACGTTGCCGGAATGCACAAGTACAGGTAAGGACAACGTTGCGGGAACGCACAAGTACAGGTAAGGACAACGTTGGGGGAACGCACAAGTACAGGTATAGACAACCTTGGGGGAACGCACAAGTACAGGTATAGACAACGTTGTGGGAACGCACAAGTACAGGTATAGACAATCTAGGGGGAATGCACAAGTACAGGTATAGACAACGTTGTGGGAACGCACAAGTACAGGTATAGACAATCTAGGGGGAATGCACAAGTACAGGTATAGACAACCTTAGGGGAACGCACAAGTACAGGTATAGACAACCTTGGGGGAACGCACAAGTACAGGTATAGACAACCTTTGGGGGGAGTCACAAGTACAGGTATAGACAACCTTGGGGGGAGTCACAAGTACAGGTATAGACAACCTTGGGGGGGGTCACAAGAACATGTATAGACAACCTTGGGGGAGTCACAAGTACAGGTATAGACAACCTTGGGGGAACGCACAAGTACAGGTATGGACAACCTTGGGGGGAGGCACAAGTACAGGTATAGACAACCTTGGGGGGGGAGTCACAAGTACAGGTATAGACAACGTTGGGGGAACGCACAAGTACAGGTATAGACAACGTTGGGGGAACGCACAAGTACAAGTATAGACAACCTTGGGGGGGAGTCACAAGTACAGGTATAGACAACCTTGGGGGGAGTCACAAGTGCAGGTATAGACAACCTTGGGGGGAGTCACAAGTACAGGTATAGACAACCTTGGGGGGAGTCACAAAAACAGGAATAGACAACCTTGGGGGAGTCACAAGTACAGGTATAGACAACCTTGGGGGGAGTCACAAGTACAGGTATAGACAACCTTGGGGGAAAGCACAAGTACAGGTAAGGAAAACCTTGGGGGAGTCACAAGTACAGGTATAGACAACCTTGGGGGAGTCACAAGTACAGGTATAGACAACCTTGGGGGAACGCACAAGTACAGGTAAGGACAACCTTGGGGGAGTCACAAGTACAGGTATAGATAACCTTGGGGGAACGCACAAGTACAGGTAAGGACAACCTTGGGGAACGCACAAGTACAGGTATAGACAACCTTGGGGAACGCACAAGTACAGGTATAGACAACCTTGGGGGAGTCACAAGTACAGGTATAGACAACCTTGGGGAACGCACAAGTACAGGTATAGACAACCTGCGGGGAACGCACAAGTACAGGTATAGACAACCTTGGGGAACGCACAAGTACAGGTATAGACAACCTGCGGGGAACGCACAAGTACAGGTATAGACAACCTTGGGGAACGCACAAGTACAGGTACAGACAACGTTGGGGGGAGTCACAAGTACAGGTATAGACAATCTAGGGGGAATGCACAAGTACAGGTATGGACAACCTTGGGGGAGTCACAAGTACAGGTATAGACAACCTTGGGGGAGTCACAAGTACAGGTATAGACAACCTTGGGGGGGAGTCACAAGTACAGGTATGGACAACCTTGGGGGGGAGTCACAAGTACAGGTATAGACAACCTTGGGGGGAGTCACAAGTACAGGTATAGACAACCTTGGGGGGGAGTCACAAGTACAGGTATGGACAACCTTGGGGGGGAGTCACAAGTACAGGTATGGACAACCTTGGGGGGGAGTCACAAGTACAGGTATGGACAACCTTGGGGGGAGGCACAAGTACAGGTACAGACAACCTTGGGGGGAGTCACAAGTACAGGTATAGACAACCTTGGGGGGAGTCACAAGTACAGGTATGGACAACCTTGGGGGGACGCACAAGTACAGGTATAGACAACCTTGGGGGGAGTCACAAGTACAGGTATGGACAACCTTGGGGGGACGCACAAGTACAGGTATGGACAACCTTGGGGGGACGCACAAGTACAGGTATGGACAACCTTGGGGGGGAGTCACAAGTACAGGTAAGGACAACCTTGGGGGAGTCACAAGTACAGGTATAGACAACCTTGGGGGGGAGTCACAAGTACAGGTAAGGACAACCTTGGGGGAGTCACAAGTACAGGTATGGACAACCTTGGGGGAGTCACAAGTACAGGTATGGGCAACCTTGGGGGGACGCACAAGTACAGGTATGGACAACCTTGGGGGGAGTCACAAGTACAGGTATGGACAACCTTGGGGGGAGTCACAAGTACAGGTATGGACAACCTTGGGGGAGTCACAAGTACAGGTATGGACAACCTTGGGGGGAGTCACAAGTACAGGTACAGACAACCTTGGGGGGAGTCACAAGTACAGGTATGGACAACCTTGGGGGGAGTCACAAGTACAGGTATGGACAACCTTGGGGGGAGTCACAAGTACAGGTATAGACAACCTTGGGGGGAGTCACAAGTACAGGTATAGACAACCTTGGGGGGAGTCACAAGTACAGGTATAGACAACCTTGGGGGAGTCACAAGTACAGGTATAGACAACCTTGGGGGAGTCACAAGTACAGGTATAGACAACCTTGGGGGAGTCACAAGTACAGGTATAGACAACCTTGGGGGAGTCACAAGTACAGGTATGGACAACCTTGGGGGAGTCACAAGTACAGGTATAGACAACCTTGGGGGAGTCACAAGTACAGGTATGGACAACCTTGGGGGAGTCACAAGTACAGGTATGGACAACCTTGGGAAGACACTCTACCACTAGACCAGTAAGGCGGTCTAACTCTGAAAACATGAACAACCAGGTGAATAGAAGACCTACACATCTCTTTCATATTGTGATGCTCACAATAAATGTACTAAATCCTACCTTTGCTCAGACTGAGTCTGTAGACCAGGGTTGAGCTCCTGTAAAGATAAAACATAGTGAGTGAACGGGTGAGTGAGATTTCCAATTAGAGCCTTCATTGTTGTTTTCACTAGTGTCACATCTGTGCCGTGGGACAGGTTCCCCAACAGCTGTGTTGGGTTGAGTAACATCTGTTACATCAAAAGATAACTCAAATAGTACATAAAACAGGAGTTCATGTCTCTAATATATTTTCATAGCCATTTTCATAAATAAAGTTATGCTTGTTAACTCGTTAACTTGTACATGCACCCAGCAAAACAACATTGAAATTATTCTGTTGTTCTGTTAATGCTAGATGTTACAATATTTGCTTATTTGCTTGCAGATAATTTTAACTTGAGCATAAAAAACACCTTCCCCCCCGATTCTGTAATGATTATATGCTATTTTATGTACAATACACAGTCAAAACCAGGCTGTGTATATTTGTATGAGTGATGACTTGGGCTGGGACGAGTCCAAATTTACTACCCAGATACCTGCTGAAGGTCTTAAGAATTGGATACAAAATGAATTGCTTGACCTGAGCCCTGGCAAAAAGTATTCAGATATATTATAAACGATCTTGTCACAAACACTGACAAACACTGAAACTGTATCTTATTCAAACATATGAAAGTCAGAAGGATTCAAGGAATGTGTGAATAGTCAGAAAGAAATGCGAACATTAGCCACTTGTAGTGTAACCATGGAGTTCTAGATAATTTTGTCATTTAACAATATATCCTGTTAGTACCCGCGTCCTACTCAGGACTCACCCAATCCCAGTACCCAAGTTGGTTTGTTGGTTGGTTTGATGTTTAACGCCGCACTCAGCAATATTCCAGCTATATGACAGCAGTCTGTAAATAATTGAGTCTGGACTAGGCAATCCAGTGATTAATATCATGAGCATCGATTCACGTAATCGGGATCGATGATATTCATCAACTAAGTCAGCTAGCCTGACCACCCAATCCTGTTAGTCCTTACCTCTTACTACAAGCATAGTCGTCTTTTACCCACAGTAACCCATCCCAGCCCTAGTGATGACACAGCCAGAGTGCTTCCAGTCCTTCAAGAGGGTCCTGATGGGTTTTAATGCTTAACGTAAAACACCCTTCAAACACTATCGTAAACGTAAAATTCATCTTTTTTTTATCGTAAATGCTTAACGGAAAATACCCAAAAATAACTGAGTAACGTTAATAAATAATTTACTGCTTATCATAAAATGATTAAAATGGTCAAAAACAGTCTGTCTTCAAGACCCAAATGCTTTGCCACAGAAAGCAGGCTGCACAACTGACGCAGGGGACCAGTCTAGAATGTATAGCGATTTGAGATTTTACCCGGTATTAAAAATATGAATTGTCAGGATGAAACGAAAGGTAAAATAACCTAGTGATAATATTATAATATTTGTTGAAAAATTCATTTGGCATTTTTGTGAAACAAATACGCAACCCCCAAAAATTTTCGCGATGATTTTATTGAAAAAAAAGAAAAATTACTGCTTAATGAAAAAGTACCCTAAATTTTACTGCTTACTGCTTATGGGATCCCCCCATCAGGACCCTCCTTCAACAAGTTTAAATATGTTGTCAAAGTGTCATTTCATCGTGCCACAAACTTAATTTGACACTGACTTCAACTTTGTGCTGCAAGGACTGCCTTGTTTCCATGTTAACACTGAATGCCAAGGTTGCCTTTGTTGGATGATACAGATGTCACCGCAAGGTCCAACAGTTCAGATCAAAATAATGTACTCATATTGTCACTATCTTACACCTGTCTCAATATATGGAGTGAAAGACAATCACAAAGGAGTATGCAGCCAATTATGATCCACTGAAAGATTGTTTGGACACGTCAAACAATGTATGAGTAAATCCGAAAAACCATTGTGCAACAGTGTGAGTGAGTTGGGTTTAACGCCTCTTTTAACAGTATTCCAGTTATATCGTGGTGTGTCAGCTTAATGTGGGAGGAAAGCCCGAAGTGATGCAGGTCTCAGACGTTTAACACTTCGGTGAAACCCACGAGCACGGGTATGGTGCTGACAAACCTAGAAACATAATCGGGGCGAACCGGGATTCGAACCCACAATCATAGGTTTCGGGCCTGCCCAAGGGACGCAACTCTGCACAGCGAATTGCAGCGCCTTAGACGACTGGGCCACCCGTGCCCCCTCATTGTGCAACAGAGTGTCTTTAATGTAGTAGCTGTAATGTCAGATATGTGAGACCATGTCACCTCATACCTCAGTAATTCATGAATTGATTTGTTTCATTGAAATACAACACAATGGACTGAGTTAGGTGAATTGGGTTTTATAATGCAATTGGATCCTGGTGTTCCATACTCACCATTGACCTTGACCTACTTCTTGTGGGGGTTTGGGGGTCACATGGTTGTGTCTTCATTGAACCTATATCGGGCCTGTCTGATGTCTTTTCTCTTGCCCCTAGTCTGTCATTGTACGTATCTTCTGATGAAGGACTTGGCCTTTCTCCCGACCTTTCTGTGGAATCAGAATGCAGCACATCCCTTTGAACATCACATGGTTTTTCCTGTGCTTTCATGAGCTTCCTATCATATGATGTGCCATGCTGATCACGAGATCCTTCTGAAAACCTTTCACGAGATCTTTCTGAAGATCTTTCTCGAGATCCATCCAGCAACTTCTCTCTGGATCCATCCTGTGACCTCTCTCTTAATCTATCCTGCGACCTTCCCCTGGATCCATAATGTGACTTCTCTCTTGATCTATCATGTGACCTCTCTTTCAATCCATCATGTGATCTCTCTCTCAATCTATCCTGCAACCTCTCCCTGGATCTATCCTGTGATCTCTCTCTTGACCTCTCACGAGACCGATCACTGGATCCATCCTGTGACCTCTCTCTCAGTCCAACCTGTGACCGCCCACTCAGTCCATCCTGTGATCTCTCCCTCAGTCCATCCTGTGATCTCTCTCTCAGTCCATCCTGTGATCTCTCTCTCAGTCCATCCTGTGATCTCTCTCTCAGTCCATCCTGTGACCGCCCACTCAGTCCATCCTGTGATCTCTCTCTCAGTCCATCCTGTGATCTCTCTCTCAGTCCATCCTGTGATCTCTCTCTTGACCTCTCACGAGACCGATCACTGGATCTGCCCTGGGATGTATCACTTGAATCATCAGATGAACTTTCTCGAGATCTCTCCCAAGATGTATTGTCAAATCTTTCCTGTGAGTTCTTGTAAGAGGTACAAGCATTAGAAGACTTGTTGTAGAATCTGTTTCTTTGCCAGTCATTTGTCCTGTTAAATGGCCGCTGTATTCTGCCTCCAGTTTTATTTGACAGGGGTCTGAACTGCCACTGCCATCGTTTGGCCCGACTGACAGCGCGAGCTCCAAACAGACTATCTGAAAAACAGACAAAATACAAAACAGTTATTAGCTTGGAAGAGTGAGTTGGGTTTAACACTTATTAGAGGAGCATCCTTGATGTTGGAGGAAAGCCTGAAGTGATGCAGGTCTTAGATAAGGTGCTGACAAACCTAGAAACATAACCAGGGTAAATCTGGCACTCAAACAGAATCAATCATGGCACACCAAATCTGTATAGTGAACAGCATTGTCCAAAACAATTGGACACCTGTGCCACTACATGTAACAACGTACCATTACACTGTAACAATGTACCACTACACTGTAACAATGTACTACAGCACTGTAACATTCACTGTCACAACGTACCACTGCACTGTAACAACGTACCATTACACTGTAACAATGTACCATTACACTGTAACAATGTACTACTGCACTGTAACATTTACTGTCACAACGGACGACTACACTGTCACAACGTAAGACTACACTGTAACAATGTACCATTACACTGTAACAACATACCACTACACTGTAACAATGTACCACTACACTGTAACAATGTACCACTACACTGTAACAACGTACCATTACACTGTAACAATGTACCATTACACTGTAACAATGTACTACTGCACTGTAACAATGTACTACTGCACTGTAACATTCACTGTCACAACGTACCACTACACTGTAACAACGTACCATTACACTGTAACAACGTACCACTACACTGTAACAACGTACCATTACACTGTAACAACGTACCACTACACTGTAACAACGTACCATTACACTGTAACAATGTACCATTACACTGTAACAATGTACTACTGCACTGTAACATTTACTGTCACAACGGACGACTACACTGTCACAACGTAAGACTACACTGTAACAACGTACCATTACACTGTAACAACATACCACTACACTGTAACAATGTACCATTACACTGTAACAATGTACCATTACACTGTAACAATGTACTACTGCACTGTAACATTTACTGTCACAACGGACGACTACACTGTCACAACGTAAGACTACACTGTAACAACGTACCATTACACTGTAACAACATACCACTACACTGTAACAATGTACCACTACACTGTAACAATGTACCACTACACTGTAACAACGTACCATTACACTGTAACAATGTACCATTGCACTGTAACAATGTACTACTGCACTGTAACATTCACTGTCACAACGTACCACTACAATGTAACAACGTACCACTACACTGTAACAATGTACCACTACACTGTAACAACATACCACAGCACTGTAACAACGTACCACTACACTGTAACAATGTACCACTACACTGTAACAATGTACCACTACACTGTAACAATGTACCATTACACTGTAACAACGTACCACTACACTGTCACAACGTACCACTACACTGTAACAACGTACCATTACACTGTAACAATGTACCATTACACTGTAACAATGTACTACTGCACTGTAGCATGCACTGTCACAACGTACCACTACACTGTAACAACGTACCATTACACTGTAACAATGTACTACTACACTGTAACAATATACCACTACACTGTAACAATGTACCACTACACTGTTACAACATACCACTACACTGTAACAATGTACCACTACACTGTAACAACATACCATTACACTGTAACAATGTACCATTACACTGTAACAATGTACCATTACACTGTAACAACGTACCACTACACTGTAACAACGTACCATTACACTGTAACAATGTACCATTGCACTGTAACAATGTACTACTGCACTGTAACATTCACTGTCACAACGTACCACTACAATGTAACAACGTACCACTACACTGTAACAATGTACCACTACACTGTAACAACATACCACAGCACTGTAACAACGTACCACTACACTGTAACAATGTACCACTACAGTGTAACAATGTACCACTACACTGTAACAAAGTACCACTACACTGTAACAACATACCACAGCACTGTAACAACATACCACTACACTATAACAATGTATCATTCACTGTAACAACATACCACTACACTGTAACAACGTACCAGGATACTGCTTCTTCTTCTGCTCCAGGTGGTACTTGAGTATATCCTTGTACCAGTCTACTCGCAAGTGATGCTGGCCCTTGTACTTGCAGCCGTCAAACCTGAGAATACAAGATACATGATACAAGTTACATGATACATGATACAAGTTACATGATACAAGATACATGATACAAGTTACATGATACAAGATATAACATACATGATACATGATAATTCTTGTACCAGTTTACTCGCCAGTGGTTCTCACCCTTGTACTCACACCCTTCAAATATGATACACGTGTAGAACAGGACTCAGAGGTCAGCAGGCAGAGTTTATTGTACGCAAACAGGCTGCTAGTCATTAAACACTAATCACAGACTGTCAGTTGTTATTTTAATTATTCACAATGTCTAGATCAAAGGTTGGCAATCCTGCTATTTTTGAAGGATTAACAGAAATAGCAGAAACTGCATGTGTTTAGCGGCAAAAATCACAAAATAGCTAAACAGGGCAAACAAGTCCACATTTTAGTCAGTCAAAACATTTGTCATGTACCAATGTGCCAGAAGCTTTAGGCCATGCACCATATAAAGTAAACTACGGTTATATCGAACTCAAAGGGACCACTAATTTTTGTTCAGTATAACCGTAGTTCATAAGAAGCATATATACAGAATGTATACAGCTTATATACAGCAAATGCCCGGGATAAAAAAACAAAACGTTATAGCCATCAGTTCGTTATAAGCACGTTCGTTTTAAAAATAGTTTACTGTAGTTTGTTTGGATGATTATGAAGCACTTTCTCTGGAATATTTAAATACTTTCTACGAACAAAATTTTTTTTCTCTCTTGGAAATTTACTAAATGTATCCAGGAAAATTGATATTCGCAATAAAATCATTTCTTTCAGTTTGTTTGCCCTTTTCATAAGTATTTCTAAGGATTCAAGCTTCTTGTCATAAATGTGGTCTCGAAACAATGTATAATTAATAAAACAGGTTCTTCCAACACTATGTAGTTTTCATAAAACACAACTCTAAGTAGGATAAAGTAGGCGGTTATGATAAATATTTTAAAAAATCAAGAAAATGTGGTTTCAGCATTCAGTATTTGAAATAACAAAATATTGATACAGATGACACTGAGAAGTTTCTGATTTTTCCAGACAGGCATTATTAAATAAAATTAAAATAAAATACAATAGAAGCTGTTGTAAGATGTGTTCTTTAAGAATGGGAATGTTTTAAGCATAATAGATAGATAGATAGATAGATAGATAGATAGATAGATAGATAGATAGATAGATGATAGATAGATAGATGATAGATAGATGATAGATAGATAGATAGATAGATGATAGATAGATAGATAGATAGATAGATAGATAGATAGATAGATAGATAGATAGATAGATAGATAGATAGATAGATAGACAAATAAATGATGAGATTACATTACAATATACATGTATATTGTTTCAAATGGATACTGCATTAATCCAGCAATACTGACTCTGACTCATTTAGCCAACACATGACACACGAAAAAACGTTTTTGTGTAACAGTTTGGTGTATATTTATTCAAAACTACATGACACGGAAACTGTAGAATATCATATTTCATTTCCAGCCAGGGTGACCTACCTTACATTGCCGTGACAAGTATTGCTCAGGCTGGAATCGCCTCCACACATGCCGTAAATCATTATCACATCTACTGGTATTCTATTCTAATATTCTAAACTACGTGCCCTTAGCTGGCAAATTCGGGGGAAAATCATTATTATGTTCAAAATTGAGATTTTTTTGGCTCTGTTTTAAGTCAGAGGTATTTGAATAATGTACTTTCATATAACATTCAAAACAATAATGTTGACTAAAGCTCATACCCTTCACTGGTCCGTTATCAGTGAGTTAGTGAGTGAGTGAGTGAGTAAGTGATTTAGTGAGTGAGTGAGTGAGTGAGTGAGTTGGGTTTAACGCCGCTTTTAACAGTATTCCAGTGAGTAAGTGAGTGAGTGAGTGAGTGAGTGAGTGAGTTGGGTTTAACGCCGCTTTTAACAGTATTCCAGTGAGTGAGTGAGTGAGTGAGTGAGTGAGTGAGTGAGTGAGTGAGTGAGTTGGGTTTAACGTCGCTTTTAACAGTATTCCAGTTATTTCACAGTGTGTGGGAGGAAAGCCCGAAGTGATGCAGGTCTCTGACGTTTACCACTTCGGTGAAACCCACGAGCACGGGAATGGTGCTGACAAACCTAGAAACATAATAGGCAAACCAGGAATCGAACCCACAATCATAGGTTTCTGACGTGCCCAAGGGACGCAACTCTGCACAGCCAATCGCGGCGCCTTAGACGACTGGGCCACCCGTGCCACCCACCCCCACCCTAACCCTTTATCAGTGACATACAAGTCACTCTACAAATGACGTGAGTTATACAGTATTGGCAGGAACTGGAAGATGGTGAAATGAAATGCTGTGACTAGAAATAAGAAATATGTTGTTTAGCATTGCTGTCAGATATTTCAACCATATCACAGTCTGGACCAGCCAATCCACTGATTGATGTCATGAGCATTGATTGTCGAGTGAGTGAGTGTGAGGGAGGGACAGAGGGAGCGAGTGAGGTGAAATGGGTTTAAATGTCGCATCCATGATTATTGCACTTATATAGGAAGGCATTTATGTGTGAGTGTCTGCTTGTACTGGTCTGGATTAATCACGAGTTCATAGTGCTAGCTCACTAAGATACCATGCTGCAATTTTACATAAATGCCCCACTCAGACACAGTATACTGACTACCAGCTGACCAGTCCTTGTTTTAGCCTCTTGATGGAGGGTAACAACAAGTACCATCAGTCAGTCAGTCAGCCAGTCAGTGAAATTGGATTTTCACCACTTTGAATAGACTTTCACTCATATCCCATTGTGTCAGCTTGACAAGCACAGGCATGATGCTGACAATCTTGAGACATCATCAGGGCGATTCTGGGATACATTTCTGGCATGTCTTGCAAACTGTGGTGCCTTAGACATTGCCTGCAGTGGTTGACAGAGTGAATGAGTGAGTGAATATTAGTCATTTACTGATTTGAGAATTCAGTTTTATACATTCCTATACTTCTATACTTTTTATCTTTGTGGTTTAACCCCACTTATAACAGTATTCCAGTTATAACGCGGCATGTCAGCTTAATGTAGGGGGAAAGCCCAAAGTGATGCAGGTCTCAGACGTATACCACATTGGTGAGACCCACAAGGTATGGTGTTGACAAAACCTAGAAACATGATTGGGGAGTGCTATATTCAAACCCACAATCAAGGTTCCTTGTGTGCCCAAAGGACACAACTCTGCACTGTGAATTGTGCGCCCGAGATGACTAGGCCACCCGAGCCCCCTGGTTAAAGCTTTAGACATTACAATGGTATATTTGAGTTGCTATGGCAACCATAGTCTCTATACTTTAATCTTAACATCAAATGTAACATGATACAGCACATAAACCCTACCTCTCTTCACAATAATAGCTTCCTCTCTGACACAGTAATAATCTGCAACTACTACACATTCATAAATCAGTTATAATATTGTTCGGACAATCATTTATAATATTGTTAGGACAGACATATATGATATTGTTTGGACCATCATATATGATATTGTTAGGACAGTCATATATGATATTGTTAGGACAGTCATATATGATATTGTTTGGACCATCATATATGATATTGTTAGGACAGTCATATATGATATCATTTATAATATTGTTAGGACAGTCATATATGATATCATTTATAATATTGTTTGGACAGTCATATATGATATCATTTATAATATTGTTAGGACAGTCATATATGATATCATTTATAATATTGTAGGACAGTCATATATGATATTGTTAGAACAGTCATATATGATATTGTTAGGACAGTCATATATGATATCATTTATAATATTGTTAGGACAGTCATATATGATATCATTTATAATATTGTTAGGACAGTCATATATGATATCATTTATAATATTGTTAGGAAAGTCATATATGATATCATTTATAATATTGTTAGGACAGTCATATATAATATTGTTAGGACAGTCATATATAATTTTGTTAGGACAGTCATATATGATATTGTTAGGACAGTCATATATGATATTGTTAGGACAGTCATATATGATATCATTTATAATATTGTTAGGAAAGTCATATATGATATCATTTATAATATTGTTAGGACAGTCATATATAATATTGTTAGGACAGTCATATATGATATTGTTAGGACAGTCATATATGATATCATTTATAATATTGTTAGGACAGTCATATATGATTTTGTTAGGACAGTCATATATGATATTGTTAGGACAGTCATATCTCTGGTAAGCCAGGATAAGTTGAGTTGTGAAAATATATCCCGTATGACTATTTATGAGGTCCGCTGGTATGATGGATATGTGTGTGTATCGGCCAAGAGATCTGGTATCAACTTGTCACACCGACCTCTCAATAGTTTTATGAGCAACACATGTGTCCATGAGAGCAGTGGTGGATCCATTCGTGACCATCTCGTGTTATTCTGGAACAAGCCAAATGGCGACTCGTGCCCCTGTCGTGGCCATCTTTGCGACCGGGTTCTGTCTAAGAGTAAAGCATGTATATTTCCCCATATATTGTATGTATTTCAGATGAAATTTAAAGCATATCGGGACATGCGGTATTATACAGTATGATTGAACACATTTAACTGTATCTTGGGTATATTTTAGATGCAAGATATGAGTAAAATAAAACAATTTCCTGAGGGATTCTTTGACAGAGCATTTTGATTGGTTTGTCGTATATTCGCACATAACATTCATCGATAGGGAGATGAGTCGTCTTGCAGGTTACGGAAAGGGGCGAGTGGTGTGAACGTGGTAGATCCAGAGGGGGATTTCTTGGGGTAGCCATCCCCCTTTTTGCCTTACATCTGATGAGGTGAGGTGAGGTGAGGTGAGGTGAAATAGGGCTTAATGTTGTGTCCAAGATTATAACACTTATATAGCGCCGTCCATGCATGTGTGTGTGTGTGGCTGACTAATGCCAATTTTATAGTGATAGCCTACCATGATACCATGCCGCAGTTTAACATGAATACCCCACTCAGACACAATATACTGACTCCAAGTCGACCGGTCCTTGTTTTTTAACCCCTTAATGCCGGTAAGAATAAGTACCATCTCTTAACGTCTTTTGGTACAACGGGGCCAGGGATCAAACCCCGAACATTCCTCTCTCTAGACAGATGCTCTACCACTAGACCACGGAGAGGGTATTACATCTGATGACACTTTGTATGCGCATTTCCTGCAATGATAACATGATAGCAGGTGCCTGGTGGTTAGAAACGACCGGGTGTACAAAATATCCCAACAATACAATTGCACAGGCTATATTATTTCAATTTGGAAATGCCCAATTATGTTCATTTTTGACAAACAGAAACAAAACAATTGGTATTCAGAATACAGAAGTCACCTGACATTTAGTAAGTAATAAATATAAATGTAAACAGTAAATCATCAGTGACATACTTGCACATCTCGTTCAGGATGGCAGACGGTCGATGTACACAAAAATGGGGATTAACAAATAGGATTAGCATCTTATAAATAACAGCAATTAAGTGTTTCAAGGCATATAGATGTCATGACTCCAGGGTAATGAGCCAGGGTAATGAGCCTTTGCAATTAAATGTTCTTCAGACAATGGGTGTCGTAACTCAGTCGCTATGACAGGGACATAAAACTAAATAGCCACTGGTGACACCAAGTAACGATCGAGCCCAGGAATTCCAGTCTAGTTCTTGCCACGAGAAGATGGGAGAAAGTAAACATTTCTTTTTTCATTATTTCATAACTTCTTTACATTTCGTATTTTGACAGTTTGACAGAGTGGACACAGTTTATGGATAACAACTTCTTAAATGTACTATTACAGCGATGTTTCAGTACTATAAGTTGTAGCAGGATCATGAGTGAGTGAGTGAGTGAGTTTGGTTTTACGCCGCTTTTAGCAATATTCCAGCAATATCACAGTGGGGGACACCAGAAATGGGCTTCACACATTGTACCCATGTCGGGATTCGAACCCGGGTCTTCGGCGTGACGAGCGAACGCTTTAACCACTAGGCTATTATACCACAAGCTGGATGGACATAAAACCACATGTACCCTGAGTGATCCTGCTACAACGAATTTATCTTACCGACATGTTTTGATGTGACATTGTAAAAGAATTACCGTATTTGACGTAATAAGCGCCCCGCTCTAATAAGCGCCTGAGGCGATACTTGTTCATATATTGGCTAGTGAACAATCCCAATTAGCACCCTTCCGATTGATCAATGTACACAAGACTTATTTATTTGTGTATAATACGCACTCGTGTGTTATATGCACCCTTAATCATGAGCAATTAAATTCTGGAAAAATATATCTTTTGTGTATAATACGCACAGACTTTTCTCTTGTATGATTTCAGGCTGTCAGCATAAACCACGAAATTTACGATCCTTCAACTCTTTCACCAAAATTACATTCTAATAAGAGCCCCCTATTTCTAATTTTGAGAGCGCCCTGGGCGCTTATGACATCGAATACGGTAACACAAATTCAAAACTGATAGAAAACAGCTGTTTGATTGAGCTGAGGTTAACTTGTGTTTTATAAAGATCACAAGGGCAGATCCTTATACCATTGTTAAAGCAGTAATTCTTGACAACATTTTAAGGATCTATACCGAATTCTGTCCACTTTGTCACGTGCCAACATAAAAAAATACCACTCAAACAATTCTATTCAGTTCAGACAAAACAAACCTTTAACGAACTAGTTTAAACATCTGGGCTTTATTGTTTGACCGATTACATTTACTAGATTCAGTTGCTTTTTACCCTTATTTACATCAAACCATCTACCGTATATCGCTGTGTATAAGGCGACCCCACGTATAAGACGACCCCCCTGTACATGCCTTCGAAATCAACCCAAAACCCTATACTCCGTGTATAAGGCGACCTGGAATGAAGCACATCACAAGTGTGCACACAAACCTTATATATGCAATAAAAATATGTTTATCTTGCGTTGTTTTATCTACGATGATTGGTTGCGCGTGTAACTCCAGCACATGTTGCCATTTTGTGTTTACACGGTACGACACCAAATTGGTGCCCGTAAAATAAAATTTATTTATGAAGTAATAACATATAAGAGTCAATGGTGAGTAATTTAATCGCCAATTAAATATGTTGTAACTAACTAGGTTTATATTTGCTTCACATTAGGCGTGTTTATTCCACAATCACTTATTCACACTGTCTCCAACAGTTGTTAATACAACTGTAAAAACAGCGGGAATTGATTTCAGCTTCACCGGTTATCACATGTAAGTTCACATGTGCATTATGCAAATGCTTACCAGTACTTCCGGCTCTCTACTCACGGATGTTGATTGTTTTACCGTGTCAGCTGGTTTGACAATCTGCATCGAGGCGAGGGTCATTTCATCTTTATTTGCAGAAATTATTAAACTTTATTCAAGGAAAAGAGATACAAATCATGTTTATGTATGGAAGTAGTTATTGGAACAGTTATTTAGGACGAAATGCAGATCCTTATACTATTGTTAAGCAGTAATTCTTGACAACAGTTTAAGGATCTATACCAAATTCTGTCCACTTTGTCACGTGCCAACATAAAAAAATACCACTCAAACAATTCTATTCAGTTCAGACAAAACAAACCTTTAACGAATTAGTTTAAACATCTGGGCTTTATTGTTTGACCGATTACATTTACTAGATTCAGTTGGTTTTTAACATCAAACCATCTACCAGGTATTTATTTCTTTGTTCCATATATGGGTAGATTACCGGTTGCCATGGCAACAACACATCCAGTACCTATATAAATACCAGCATCCTGCTCTCTGATCAACAAAACCTTGGCAACTCCATTGAACATAGTTGTGCTGTTTTTATTGATAAGGTGATCATGGTTATGTTTTAATAATTAGAGCAGTTCATTTCCGTTATATTTTGTGAAAAATCTTAAAGGAGATTATTAACTCCGAGAATATAACATATGTGGATCTTAAATACAATTTCTACAAAAGCAGAAATGATTAGCGCATTTACATTCATTTGAAGTGGTGTTTATATTTGTCTGTGTATTTTAACTTAAATCATAAACTTGTTACTTGATCAGAAAGTATTTTATAATCTTCAAAATAAAAAACCCTGCAAATCGTTCATAAAAAATATTTTTAGGGAATAATATTTCATGGGTGATTGTTTACATTGAAATACATTGAAATGATTAGCGCATTTACATTCATTTGAAGTGGTGTTTATATTTGTCTGTGTATTTTAACTTAAATCATAAACTTGTTACTTGATCAGAAAGTATTTTATAATCTTCAAAATAAAAAACCCTGCAAATCGTTCATAAAAAATATTTTTAGGGAATAATATTTCATGGGTGATTGTTTACATTGAAATACATTGAAATGTAAACAAAATATGGGCCGTTCCGTCTTATTTCTCCCTCTACAGATTTTTAAAGATACGACAAATGGCAGGAAACATTTCATACCCAGTTTTGATATTACATGTATTAGGATGTAATATTTGTTCCATGGAAGTACAAAAGTTTTTAAATAATATTATATGTATCGTAAATATCTTTCACAATTTTGAAAGCAATACAAAACACGAACCAGTAATTTAGGGTACATATATGGTACATATTATAACCAGGGTATTTTGCACTGTGGAAATCTGTTCTTAGAAAAATATGGCACTATAACCAGGGGCAGGCATTAAACCCATATACCTTACCATATACACATATACATGAAAACTAGACACTTCCCTTGTTCATTTAAGAAACTATATTCATCAATAAGTTAATTTGCTAAGTTGACAAAAACAGGTCAAACATCTACACATCCATGGACAAATACAGGTCAAACATCTACACATCCATGGACAAATACAGGTCAAACATCTACACATCCATGGACAAATACAGGTCAAACATCTACACATCCATGGACAAATACAGGTCAAACATCTACACATCCATGGACAAATACAGGTCAAACATCTACACATCCATGGACAAAAACAGGTCAAACATCTACACATCCATGGACAAATACAGGTCAAACATCTACTTGGCCGATGGTCGAACAAGGGGTCTGAGTCTGGATTGTTATTTCCCGCCCTGCAATATGAAGAACTCATGCAAAAATATCAATATTCATTTTCATTCCAAAGATTATCAATCTCATTAAAATCAGATCTTAGTTCTCGCTACTGCTAAGCAAAGATCTGAGGACATGCCATTACGGGTCATGTCAGACCGACCTTGCACGAACTATAACCGACCAATGGAATGACCAATCAGAAGGCAGCTTTCTCGCGCTTTACGGCAATAATTTCAAATTGGCAACTACACTTCGAAACATATTTTGACAAATTCTCGATTACAAATTTGAAACCTGAACAAAAAACATCCTGGAATGGCTAATAGATGGTCTAGATTGTAAGGATTCAGTCCTTAAACCCGTAACTATCGTTCGGAATACCCCATGTTAAAGTTTTCGAGATTGCATGATTAGAAATCACATTCCGACTGTCACTTTCATAATCTGGTAAGGGACGCACTGATTGGTCGGATGAAAGGTCGTTCTGACGTGACCCCTAATGGGATGTCTTCAGATCTTTGCTTAGCAGTAGCAAGAACTTAGATCTGATTTTAACGAGATTGAAAGATTATTTGCTCCTCAAGAATACACATGGCACCTACTTGTTTATTGCTTGTTCAGCCTCCTCCGTCTTTTCAAAGCGTAACACAAGGAATATGCCATTGGGACGCACTTTGTGAATCACAATCGAGCAATGCCCACACTCACCAGCAAACATATCTCTGAAAGAAATAAGCGATGTTAAGGTGTTAAGCTATAAGGGATATGCATCTGAAGTAGGTTAGTTTCCTAGTGGTCAAGTGGTCTTGTACATGGTGTGGGTTTGTTGGGTTACACCACAGTCAGCAAGAATCCACCAAGGTCATGACGATCTGTATAATGATCAAGTCTGGGCAAGTGGTCAGTCACTTGGTAAATGGCCAGACCCCATCACAGTACGATAACATACAATCATTCACTGAATCTGACCAGTTTCCTGAGGAAGTGTGGACCCATTCTGACCAGATAGTCCTGTCTTATGACAAATGTGAAGAACCTATTTTGTCCTGGAGTTATATGGGTTATATGGTCTGGTGAGTTATGGGAACAATCAACCAAATCCTGTTTCACCAGCCAATAATCCACCAAATCCATATAGTTCTATCACTTATCCATCAAACCCTGCACTGACAAGTTCATAATCCACCAAACCCTGTATCCACTCATCATAATCAACCATAATCCGCCAAACCCTGTATCCACTTAACCCTGTATCCACCCAACATTATCCACCAAACCCTGTATCCACCTAAACATAATCCACCAAACCCTGTATCCACCCATCATAATCCACCACAATCCACCAAAACCCTGTATCCACCAAACATAATCCACCAAACCCTGTATCCACCTAAAAATAATCCACCAAACCCTGTATCCACCCATCATAATCAACCATAATCCACCAAACCCTGTATCCACCCATCATAATCAACCATAAACCACCAAACCCTGTATCCACCCACCATAATCTACCTAACCCTGTATCCACCTACCATAATCCACCAAACCCTGTATTCATCCAACATTATCTACCAAACCTTGTATCCACCAAACATAATCCACCAAACCTTGTATCAACCCAATTATTATCCACTACAACCCACTAAACTTTGTATCCCTCCACCATAATCCACCAAACCTTGTATCCACCCACCATAATCCACTAAACCCTGTATCCACCCATCATAATCCACCAAACCCTGTATCCAACCATCATAATCAACCATAAACCACCAAACCCTGTATCCAACCACCATAATCTACCTAACCATGTATCCACCTACCATAATCCACCAAACCCTGTATTCACCCAACATTATCTACCAAACCTTGTATCCACCAACCATAATCCACCAAACCTTGTATCAACCCAATTATTATCCACTACAACCCTCTAAACTTTGTATCCCTCCACCATAATCCACCAAACCTTGTATCCACCCACCATAATCCACTAAACCCTGTATCCACCCATCATAATCCACCAAACCCTGTATCCAACCATCATAATCAACCATAAACCACCAAACCCTGTATCCAACCACCATAATCTACCTAACCATGTATCCACCTACCATAATCCACCAAACCCTGTATTCACCCAACATTATCTACCAAACCTTGTATCCACCAACCATAATCCACCAAACCTTGTATCAACCCAATTATTATCCACTACAACCCTCTAAACTTTGTATCCCTCCACCATAATCCACCAAACCTTGTATCCACCCACCATAATCCACCTAACCTTGTATCAACCCAATTATTATCCACTACAACCCTCTAAACTTTGTATCCCTCCACCATAATCCACCAAACCCTGTATCCACCAACCATAATCCACCAAACCCTGTATCCACCCACCATAATCCACCAAACCCTGTATCCACCCACCATAATCCACCAAAATCTGTATCCACCAACAATAATCCACCAAACCTTGTATCCACCCACCATAATCCACCAAACCTTGTATCCACCCACCATAATCCACCAAACCCTGTATCCACCCACCATAATCCACCAAACCTTGTATCCACCAACCATAATCCACCAAACCCTGTATCCGCCCACCATAATCCACCAAACCTTGTATCCACCCATCATAATCTACCTAACCCTGTATCCACCCACCATAATCCACCAAAATCTGTATCCACCAACCATAATCCACCAAACCTTGTATCCACCCACCATAATCCACCAAACCTTGTATCCACCCACCATAATCCACCAAACCCTGTATCCACCAACCATAATCCACCAAACCTTGTATCCACCAACCATAATCCACCAAACCCTGTATCCGCCCACCATAATCCACCAAACCTTGTATCCACCCATCATAATCTACCTAACCCTGTATCCACCCACCATAATCCACCAAAATCTGTATCCACCTACCATAATCCATCAAACCCTGTATCCACCCACCATAATCCACCAAACCTTGTATCCACCCACCATAACCCACCAAACCTTGTATCCACCAACCATAATCCACCAAACCCTGTATCCACCCACCATAATCCACCAAAATCTGTATCCACCCACCATAATCCACCAAACCTTGTATCCACCCACCATAATCTACCTAACCCTGTATCCACCAACCGTAATCCACCAACCATAATCCACCAAACCTTGTATCCACCCACCATAATCCACCAAACCCTGTATCCACCAATTATAATCCACCAAACCTTGTATCCACCAACCATAATCCACCAAACCCTGTATCTGCCCACCATAATCCACCAAACCTTGTATCCACCCATCATAATCTACCTAACCCTGTATCCACCCACCATAATCCACCAAACCCTGTATCCACCTACCATAACCCACCAAACCTTGTATCCACCCACCATAATCTACCTCACCCTGTATCCACCCACCATAATCCACCAAACCCTGTATCCACCCACCATTATCTACCAAACCCTGTACCCACCAACCATAATCCACCAAACCCTGTATCCACCCACCATAATATACCTCACCCTGTATCCACCCACCATAATCCACCAAACCCTGTATCCACCCACCATTATCTACCAGACTCTGTATCCACCCACCATAATCCACCATACCTTGTATCCACCCACCATAATCCACCAAACCCTGTATCCACCAACCATAATCCACCAAACCCTGTATCCACCCACCATAATCCACCAAACCCTTTATCCACCCACCATAATCCACCAAACCCTGTATCCACCCACCATAATCCACCAAACCCTGTATCCACCCACCATAATCCACCAAAATCTGTATCCACCCACCATTATCTACCAAACCCTGTATCCACCTACCATAATCTACCTAACCCTGTATCCACCCACCATAATCTACCAAACCCTGTATCCACCCACCATAATCTACCTCACCCTGTATCCACCCACCATAATCTACCAAACCCTGTATCCACCTACCATTATCTACCTAACCCTGTATCCACCCACCATAATCCACCAAATCTTGTATTCACCCACCATAATCCACCAAATCTTGTATTCACCTAAACATAATCCACCAAACCCTGTATCCACCTAAACATAATCCACCAAACCCTGTATCCCACCATAATCTACCAAACCCTGTATCCACCTACCATTATCTACCTAACCCTGTATCCACCCACCATAATCCATCAAATCTTGTATTCACCCACCATAATCCACCAAATCTTGTATTCACCTAAATATAATCCACCAAACCTGTATCCACCCATCATAATCCACCAAACCCTGTATCCACCCACCATGCAGTAATCCACTAATATCTACCTACCAAAAATCCACTGATTAAACTCACTATATTGCACACTGATTAAACTCCCTTGTGAATATACAGTAACTATGACTCAACAACCAAAAACAGTCATACGTGACAATGTGTGTTTTCATTTGTAACTATGGTGGAAACATTTCCTGTTTTCACATGCATAAGCACACAGATAGGACATGGTTGCACAGTGTATCCTCCATCACACTGGCCACCCGGCCGATAAAGCTGTATGATCCATACACATCAGAATCTCCAGAACGCTATTAACAGGCGACATGTTTACAAATCATTAGTTCATGTGGTTTTTTTTGTTCAAGCTGTTGTAAAAATCGATCAGCCATATCTGGATATTGATGTTTACCTTACATTATCTGGCGATGCGTTTCTGGGTAAACCTCTCACGAACACGCTGTGTCGGCTCGCTGGAACCAGGGCCATGTCGACGTTGAGTTTACGATACCCATGCCGCGGCAACGGTGGTGGTGGTGGAGGCATGTCTGGCTGTCTGTAGCCGACCCCAGGCCGCCTCAAGTGTACAATATGTTGGTAGTTTTCCTTCCTGTTCCTGTCCGCCCGTTGTGTCAGTTCACAGCAACTGGTATGTCACAAATAGCAATCTTCGATATCGCGGCTCTTCTCATTCATTCATTATGCAAAGCGTTTGATCGATCAATTTGAAATATACAAGCGTTGTCAGGCCACGCCCCCTTTCTGTGAAGCACGTGCATGGATATTTGGTGGGAGTTGAGACAAATCACTTATTGTTGCAGTTCTCGACATATGGACACGTGATATGGTCTTCTCAAGGACACATGCAACACGGAAATATTAATGATTTTCTTTGTTCGCGAAACAGACATGTTCGTATATAAATATGAATATATGTATGTTTCGCGAACAAAGAAAATCAGAGAGAGAGAGGGGTGTGTGTGTGTGTAGTGAGTATGTGTGCGTGTGCGCGTGTGTGTGTTTTGGAAGTCACTGTATTTCCAAAATGCACGTATGCACGACAGCAATCAATTGGTAATGGTGCTGTCATGCGTGATTTTTCAAAGCGGAGATTGACCTGTGCGGACATCAGCTGGGAAGGAAGACGTGAGTGAGTGAGGGTTGGTAAACGGCATTGTCAGCCGTGTATGAGCAAAATGTCACGATGACCCGTAAACGATCCAACCTGGGCAAGAAAAGACAATCTTTTAGTGGTATGTGGGGCGAAGTGTTTGAGAGCTCGTGCAGTCATACGTGTGGTTGGTACACAAGGACACAGAGTCACACATTAAACTGTCTCACTCCGCTATGTTTTGTTGGTTTGTTGTTTAACGCCGCACTCAGCAATATTCCAGCTATATGTCGGCGGTCTGTAAAATAATCGAGTCTGGACCAGACAGTCCAGTGATTGACATCATGAGCATCGATCCACGCAATTGGGATCGATGACATGCGTCAACCAAGTCAGCGAGCCTGACCACCCGATCCCGTTAGTCGCCTTTTACGGCAAGCATGGGTTGATGTGACACTCTGCTATGTCTGCAGGATAGGGCACACACCACACACAACTTTTTTACATCTGATGACATTTTTGTATGCATTGTTCCTACCACGATAACGTGTTGATTTGATTGTTAAAGTAAAATTATTAATAATGGTTAACATAAAGGCACCCACGGGTTGGGAACAAACAAGTTCTACCTGGTGCAACTCATTTGACATCAGGAAAGTTATTCACGTGACATCGACAAGCTGCGAGTCCACAGTATGCATCATACAGTCGGTTACCATCGTTACAGAATTTTCTCTTGACTTTATTGAACTGCATTCCACAGTTTATGAACAATATTATTCATGACATGAAAAGATCACCAAACGTCAAAGTGGTAAAAGTCTGCGATATGCGAATGCCACATTAATAAGCAGACACGCTGTCGTAGAACTCAAATACCGTTCTTTAATAAATAAGACACATTTACACACATGCATTGTGCGACCCGGGAAGATCCGGGTATAGGTCTTCAGCAACCCATGCTTGACGTATTTTTAAAGCGACTATGCTTGTTGTAAGAGGTGACTAATATAACTGGATCGGGTCGTTAGGCTCGCTGATTTGGTTGATGCATGTCTGGATCGATGCTCATGATGTCAATAACTGGATTGTCTGGTCCATACTCGATTATTTACAGACCGCCGGCATATAGCTGGAATAGTGCTGAGTGCGGCGTTAAACAACAAACAAGACATGCATTATGCATACTAAATACTGCAGTGCCATTTTACTGCCGCTTCGTCTAACCGGATCTAAAGCATTTTAAAGAGTTTGTTGCCGCTAATCTTTGGCAAAAATGGGATGAACATCTTGCCATTTGGTGGGTTTGTAGTTTGCATCGCAGGGCTGTCTGTAATATTGTCAAATGTGTGCCATTTCATGGTCATGGATGAAGGTCGTACGCACAGGTTCAAGTGCTTCCAAACCAGATTTCCTGAAGGAACTGTTCTCAACTGATGTTGCTTTATTGCTTAATGTTACAGTCAGCTATACTCCTCACTTCCAATGAGTTGTGCACTAAATGCTGTAGCCAGGCTGTCCACGTGTAGCTGCACCACAGTCGAAGTAGATAGGCTTCAAATTACAAATGTTATTCAGGGCTCAACATGGAAGAAGGGAGATAATTATTAATTGACGTCAATATTTTTTTTCAGTTTTATGGAGGATGTGTAAATCGCTTTTTATGTATATTTGTTTGTTGTCTAACGCCGCACTCAGCAATATTCCAGCTATATGACGGCGGTCTGTAAATAATCGAGCCTGGACCAGACAATCCAGTGATTGATATCATGAGCATCGATCCACGCAATTGGGATCGATGACATGCATCAACCAAGTCAGCGAGCCTGACCACCCGATCCCGTTAGTCGCCTTTTAAGGCAAGCATGGGTTGCTGAAGACCTATTCTACCCCGGAATCTTCACGGGTCGACAATGGTCTGTAAATAATCGAGTCTGGACCAGACAATCCAATGATTGGCATCATGTGCATCGATCCACGCATTTTTAAGTAAGTCAGCGAGTCTGACCACCCAATCCCGTTAGTCGCCTCTTACGACAAGCACAGTCGCCTGTTACGGCAAGCATGGGTTGCCTCCTTCATTCACTCACTATATCATTCCCACATTCACCAACTAATGAAGTGTTCCCGACACCAGCAAATGAATATTAACATTAGTATTTACATTCCACACACAAAACTCCACTTCAGTTTGGTATGGAAACCTTTTATTCTAACAATATATGTTCAATACAAAAGACAACTGAACACTGACTATGGCATCTTCCCGAGGTATGAGTGTCCACTTGCCTTTTTAGGCTTAAAAAAATAAAAGAAATGGTTCTCAGGCAATGTTTTTTTAAAATAGAGTGCGTGCGGGTGTGCGTGCAGACAGTGTCTTTTTCTTTTTTTTTATTGTTCAAACTATTATGTAACCAATAAACAATTGTGTACAATCAACCTGGTAAAAGGGCCTCCCTACATAAATGTATTCCTTGATGAGTAAAATACTGGAAAACAGTATTTGACTACCGTTGACCTTGGAATATTTAAGGATCTTTTTTGTTTTTTTGTGAAAATTGAAATAAAAACGAAACGTGCAGCGAACTTTATGATGATGCGGTCGGTGCCTGAGAACGAAGACTTATTTTTTTAGCCTTATCAAAGTCTTAAATTGCCTCGGGAAGATGTGACTACAGGTATAAGCAATATGATAATACTGTTATCATCCATGACTATCAAAGATTGGAGAATTCATCCCATCTCCACAAAACAAATCCAGTTAATCAAAGCAACTCACCATCCATATACATACATATATAGTCTAACAGGTTACATTCACCCTACCTTTAGTCAGCATTACGTACTATGTCTTACACAGCATACAGAACCAACATCATACCAGTGACATACCAGTGTATATGTTACTATATAAGACAGCTATGCGATAAATCGCAAAGAACAATGAAGAATGAAGCGTGTTTCATTTCACGATAAAACATTGTTCTATCATGACGTCATTTCGGGAGATTCGAACATGCACTCGCAACTTGATGATGTTGTGAAATGGACGACGTTATTTTTGAGAGGGGAGTGTCTAGTGAGTTGTTCCCCATAGATGCAGCTGGGAAACGTAGATAAGCCCAATGATCGAACAACCGTATCCAAAAGTGGGAGGGACATGACAATCTGAATAGGGAGAAAAGGTTCAGATAATCAACATGAATAATGTGAGAGTATGTGGGAAAGATAAAATTTAACCCCCCTGTTTATAAAAAGGACATGTCCGACATTGCTAGGTCGGTTTCTATTCAGGGAGCTATCAGTATTTAAATACGAGTAAATATCTTTAAAGCTTGTACATTTTATTAACATTCTTAAAGAGGCTGTACAATATATTAATATCTCATATAAGAAGTAAACAACTTTGTTGTTGTTTATCGTACAATAAAACACTGCAGGGAGAATAAACCACTCAGGGCTGCACCCCTTATGGTTTATTCTCCCTGCAGTGCTTTATTGTACAATAAACTACTCCCACTCATCGTTTATTTCTTCAATAATGATTGGCACTGAATGTAGGTCGGACACACTGGTGTATATGTAACTTTATAATGATTAGCACTGAATGTAGGTCAAAACCTATCTACTGCATGTATTCCTTTACTGTCATAGTCTGGTGTTAACAGCACAGGCAGATTGTAAACAACAGTTCACAGAGGGTCTCTGGATGAGGGGATCGTCTCAAAAACTTTAAAGTCAATTTCTAGACAAAACAATATAGAATCTAGAATAAACCATCTACTAAAACAATGAAACAATATGCTGATCGTCCTTAATGGCAAAATCATTCAAATACTGCTTACTTTGTCTGCAAACTCAAGTTTATTTATGTATAACAAATTATCAGTGATTATTAAAATATCACACCTAGACCAAAACTTGGAAATGTGTACCACAAGTAAATGCTTAGCCCGTCTTTAAGGGATTGCTGAAAGAGATCTGTCAATTATCTGAGTCTATCCCTCAATAAGTTGAGACCTGGGTACAAGAAGTTTCCTATATAACCCTTTAGACGGACAAATGTGAAATATGAATATGATCAGATTTTACAGAAAAATTTAAATGAAAAGTAGAAAAAGAAAAATTGAACATATCATATTTTCTGTAAAATTTAGGCATTTGTGCAAAAACCTCTTTTTGTCTATTCTGATGTATTCTAGAACTGAGACGTCCATTGCCGTCAAGGCTTGGTATTTATACATAACAGGGAAATAAAAAACACTATAATACTGCAACAAAGTCATGTCAAAGAAGAAGAGCTTCATGTAAACAACAACAGCAACGTTAAATACTGGATTGGTCAATAGCAGGTAGAGATTCTTGCATAGGTGTTTGATGTAAAGTGAGTGAGTGAGTTGGGTTAAACGCCGCTTTTAACAGCATAACAGTTATATCACGGCAAGTCAGCTTAATGTGGAAGGAAAGTGATGCAGGTCTAAGACGTTTACCACTTCGGTGAAACCCACTAGCACAGGTATGGTGCTGACAAACCTAGAAACATAATCGGAGCGAACCGGGATTCGAACCAAAATCAGGTTTCTGGCGTGCCCAAGGGACGCCACTCTGCACAGCGAATTGCGGCGCCTTAGACAACTGGGCCACCCGTGCCCCCTGTTTGATGTAAAGAGATCACAAAAACAAACAGTGGTGTCATTTACCCTTTTCAAGTAAAACAACTTTCAGGTTAGTACCATGGAGTATTAGAGCACTTGAAATATAATTAGATTCAGATCCAACAGTTGATATCACACAATGTTACTATGGTGACAGAGACACCTGCTTATTAATGCTGTTTTGATAATACCTTCCAAACCACTACATATTTCCTTGAAAATATAAAGAACTGAGTTACAGTGTTTCCACTATTTGACCGGGGGCCCCCAACACACAATGGGTCATACAGCCAGGTCACTAACTAATACTGTGATATGTTGGGGATTATTCATGACCATTTCCTGCAATTGTGCCCTTGGTATGACTGAAGAATTTGGGATTTTGTAAGGTAGGTCAACGTCTCGTGCGAAATCAGTAGGGGAAAACAGTATGCTGTTGCCATCACAAGACGAAGATTGTCGGTGGCTGTTTAACAGCAAGTTCTACCTGATTTAGACGACAGAAGGATGATAATTATCTGGCTTAATACATGAAGGAGACTCTAGCAAAGATGCAAGACCTGTTAGAAGTGATGGAGTGTCCATGATCTTGGGCAGCTAAATCACAGGGCACATCATACGTTAATGGGAATGACTTAGGGCTGGGACGAGTAACTCGGGTACCCGGGTTCGGGTGGGCACTGAGTAGGACCCTGGTACCCATAGGACTACCTGGACCCGTGTTTAGTCATGTGATATATTGTTTAATATAATTATCTTGAACTCTATGGTTACACTACAAGTCACTGATGTTCGCATTTCTTTCTGACTATGCACCCATTCCTTCTGACTTTTCATATAGTTGAATAAAGATAAACCTTAAGTCAGCTTCAGTGTATGCATGACCACATCCTTTAATTTTGCCAGGGTTATGGTAAAATAAAATCCCAATCGGACATTTTGTACCTATCTCTTGAGAACTACAGTGGGTACCCAGGGTCGGGTAATTGCGGGGTGGGGGGTAACCGGGTAGTAAATTTGGACTCGTCCCAGCCCTAGGGAATGTGCATAGTGGTCACGTATCTCAAGTATGCAATTCATTAAAATACAAAATTACTTACTTACAATAGCTATGTTACGCAAGGGTTACATACATGCAAACATGACAACTGAACACCACCTGTGGATGTACAAAACAGATCTAAATACATAATGCTATATGCAGGTAATATGACATCATTTCAAACTTGTGCACCACTCCAAAAATATAAGATAAATTGTATAACAATAGCACTTTACTGTGAAGAACAAGTAACATAAATATATTCAAACTGTAAGTACTATGGTAAGAATAACAACAGCCACCTCACATTGGGCAGTGAAGATCATAAGATCTTCAATTACAAAAGTTTGTTAGAAACTGCAGCATCAAGGCTTCATATCCATCTCCATGGTTACAGCCACTGAGAGATGGGGTAACGGACCCCTGGTCTGAAGCAAGTGAGCTAATATATAACATAAATATTGTGTATAATATGTAGATATTAAATACCATAACTTCAAAAAGGTCAGTACTAAACCACATTTCCCTTGACCTTCTCTCCCAGACATTTCGGAGGGTGCCAACCCCCTTTTGGTATGCCTGAAACTGATGCCAGGCCCTGTCAAACGGTACTCTGGTAATGCAATGCAGTCCGTGAAATGTTTATCTCGTACGCGGATGTCAATATGCAATGTTGAAATTTATTTTGTCTTGTTTTTCTTGCAAAGAGTGACAAATCAATAAAATATTTAGCCCAAAGCTTATGAGAACGCATGGTCATGCATTCTATGTGAACATCCCAGTCTAATTTCCTTGTACCAGCTGTGTACACTGACATGACTCAAGAGTTCTTAAATTGGATGCCAAGGCAAATTAAGTGGTGTGTCGGATGCACAAAGAGGTTGGGGTTGGTAACCTGATTTTGAACTTCAGTCCAGTACAACTGGCGAAGATGTATCGAAACATTTGGGAAACTATCTTCTTGATACAAAGTTTCAAGAATATCATAAATCTGTTCTTGTAACCATTCACTTCCATATTAATTATAATTATATATATAGAAGACTGACAATATAATGCATGGAAATTAACACTGTGCGTTATGAAATATTGCTGAGATATTCACAACAAACGCTGACATTGACATCGTTCAAACAAACCCCTCAGCATTAGCATCTGCATCTTCCCATTATAAGTCTGTGCACAGATATGTAAAAACCTCCAGCTCTTTCACAGTCAACATTTTGTAAAAAATAATTGATTCTTGTTTCTACCGTCTTGTAGAATCATTTCTTCTCAGCTTATGTCAGATCATACTCTTTTACATAAATTAACATAAATATCAAAATTTTCAACATACTATGTGAGGTCATGACCATTTTTGTTTGGGTTGATTAATTTGGTTTATAAAACAGAATTTTTAATGGAGAGGTGCATTACCCTGGTTAAAAGTGTCAAAACACTAGAACAACTCACCTAGTGATATGTCTTAAACAAAACAAGCACGAAATACTCATATCCCTCGCTAACACCGCTATTTTCAGTCTAAGTCAAAGTCATTGCTATGGAAACTGATTTTTTTTTTTTTTAAATCCCAAACTATCAAAAGGCATCAGTTCACCACTAGACCTATCCATGTGCCAAGTTTGGTTAAGATATCTCTCATGGTTTTTTAGCTCTGTCTGGAAACAAAACGTGACGGACAGACGGACAACACCCATTCTTATATCCCCCTTCCATTTCGTGGAGCGATATGAAGGAATCGCCATATTAACTATAGTAATATGAAAGAACTGCTACATTAACTATAGTGATATGAAAAAAATCGCCATATTAAGTACAGTAATATGAAACAATTGCCATAGTAACTATAGTAATATGGAAGAATAAGGTGATATATAACCATCTTTGAGTTGTATAAGTTTGGTAACAGCCAGGTGAAAGAATGTAATCACTCGATTACACTTCATCACGAACGTCAACAAACATTAATGGTAAGATATTCTTGGCCAGAAAAATCATGAAGCGATCTAAGCCTTGTACTTCCACCTTCATTCAGTATCATGCTCTTATCAACTCCAGCCTAACGGAAACCTGCAGTCCTCAAATCGGGGCTCTGATCCATCACCTGACCTGTCACATGACACACCACAGATTTACAAAGATGTAGCGTTAAAAACATGTCAGATTCTACATTCTACATTCTTGATAAACCTCAACATGATACTTCCACCTAAGAAAGAAGTATACTCACCACCAAAAGAAACGCGAACCATAGAAACATATAGAGAAGTACGTACGTTAAGAAGAGATGTTTCCAATGTGTACCACTTAATGACAAAACTAGTCTGGTGTTACCACTGTGTCTGTATTCTTATCACGATGTGCTGCACGGGATTTTCAAACTCTACACGCCAATCATGCACGAGACAAATGGCACTCTCAAGTCATGGATCTATGTTGTCACATGTGAAGCGTTCATGGGCGTCGGTACACACAACTTGACAGTATGTTCGTTTGTGCTTTAAACCAATCTAACATCTCTTGAATGTGAGTAAATCTTCATATATTAATTCATGTATGGTTTTCATGTTTCTTTTATCGGTGAATATATTATTTCTGGGTAGAGAGTGTATCAGATGTCCTTCACTCTAGAAAATAGTGCTATCCTAACACACGTTACAGTAATCTGATCTTCTCGGTGCCTTGAATGCCCTCCTGGTTGAGGCGGGACATGATGGGCTGGTACACATTCCTGGACAGTGGTATGACGATGCCCTTCTCCTGAATCTCGCCTGGAAAATATTGCAGCACTCATAAATACACAACTCTTGTATGGCACCATGGCAAAACATGTTTACATGAGAGCAAAACCGATGAGTTCTGAACTGTGCCAACTGTAATCTTAAAGTGAGTGAGTGAGTTTAACGCCGCTTTTAACAGTATTCCAGTTATGTCGTGGCGTGTCAGCTTAATGTGGGAGGAAAGCCCGAAGTGATGCAGGTCTCAGATGGTTACCACTTCGGTGAAACCCACGAGCACGGGTATGGTGCTGACAAACCTAGAAACATAATCGGGCGAACCGGAATTCAAACCCACAATCATAGGTTTCTGCATTTAGCAATATTCCAGCTATATGACGGTGGACTAAATAATCAAGTCTGGACCAGCCCATCCAGTGATTGATAGCATGAGCATAGATCCCTGAATTGGGATATGTACGATGACATGCATCAAGCAAGACAGCGAGCCTGACCACCTGATCCTGTTAGTCGCCTCTTACAACAAGCATAGTCGCTTTTCGCAGCAAGCATTGGTTGCTGAAGACCTATTCTACCCTGGATCTTCACGGGTCTGTCTTGGTATTACCTCTGAGTACACCTCAGCTCTCACTCACTCACTCACTCACTCTGCTTGACTTTACAACACTGACCTTCCATGATCCTCTTGGTGTTGATGCGACTCCATCTCACCTCACCCTCACCACATACTCACTGACTGACTCACTGACTGACCCACTGACTCACTGACTGACCCACTGACTCACTCACTGACTCACTCACTCTGCTTGACTTTACAGCACTGACCTTCCAGGATCATCTTGGTGTTGATGTGACTCCATCTCACCTCACCTCATCTCACCTCACCCCACTGACTGATTCACTCACTGACCTACTCACTCACTCACTGACCCACTCACTCACTCACTCTGCCTGACCTTACAGCACTGACCTTCTAGGATCATCTTGGCAGCGATGGCCGTAGGTAGCCCGACAGTCTTAGCCATGGCAGAGAAGCCTCCCTGGTCTCCATACACCACCAGGTTGAGCTGCCGCTGCTCCAGGGACCCGTCTGGCCACGAGATGCCGATGTCGTGACGCATCAGTAGCAGGTCACGCTCCATCGGGCCTGGAAGGGTGATGATTCAAAGTTGTCGACAGATGTTTAAGTGTTTACACAATGTATTCTGTGGGGTTTAGAATCATTATCTTATACAAAATGTAAGTATCATTACTAATACTAAGTTCCAGTATTTGTGAATTCTCCAAGAATTCCATATTCTGCTCAGTGTTTCCACATTCTGCTCAGTGTTTCCATATTCTGCTCAGTGTTTCCATATTCTGCTCAGTGTTTCCACATTCTGCTCAGTGTTTCCACATTCTGCTCAGTGTTTCCATATTCTGCTCAGTGTTTCCATATTCTGCTCAGTGTTTCCACATTCTGCTCAGTGTTTCCATATTCTGCTCAGTGTTTCCATATTCTGCTCAGTGATTCCATATTCTGCTCAGTGATTCCACATTCTGCTCAGTGTTTCCATATTCTGCTCAGTGTTTCCACCGTCTGCTCAGTGTTTCCACCCTCTGTTCACTGTTTCCATATCCTGTGCACTTTTTCCATATTCTTTTCACTGTTCCCATATTCTTTTCAGTGTTTCCGTTCTCAGGTATAGACCTGATGTTAACCCAAAAATATGGCTGGTGGCAAAAGGGTACACCTTCTGAGTTGTAAGCATTATTGGACCCCCACAGTATACATTCTTCAGTTAGCCCTAACTTCCTAAACTGATCATAGAAACTAACCACAGATTCATTCGGAAAGTAATCACCACAGCCGGCTGGTCAGTGGATCCGGTCTTACCGTAGGCCAGCCTCCTGGCTAGGTAGGAGCTGAAGGTGTCCATGGGGTTGCCCTTCTTCTCTATGATCTCATCCATCAGAAGGCCAAGTCTGAAACGCAGAAAACATGGACGTCCTTGACCGTGTCTAGCAATTGTGTATCATGTCTGTGTAATCCTGTATCACGTACATCCAATTCTGTACCATCACAGGCCAACAATGATTGAAAATTCAAAATCATGTTTTGGCTGTTGTTGTTTAATGGTGCACTCAGGAATATTCCATATCTGGACCAGACAATCCAGTGATTGATACTATGAGCAACGATCCACACAGTTAGTGAGTGAGTGAGTGAGTGATTATGGTTTTACGCAGCTTTTAGCAATATTCCTGTAATATCACAGTAGGGGACACCGAAATGGGCTTCACACATTGTACCCATGTGGGGAAACGAACCCGGGTCTTCGGCGAAACAAGCGAACGCTTTAACCACCTCCCTACCTGATGATAGTGTCAAGCATGTGCTTGTTACGCCCCAACTTCTCATACACCAGGTCCTTCAGACTGTCCTCAAATATGTCATGTGACTTGCCGAACATGTTGCTCATAAAGCCCTTCTGCAAAACATAAAACATGTAATTTGTAACATACTTTACGTAAATCAAATCCAAAGTATGTACATCTCTGAAAACAATGTTCCCACAATCACCATGGGTACGTTGTCCACATTTTGGACAGATCCACGGGAAACAAATGACCAATGCATAATCAACATTCTGGTTACATTTATTATCTTCTTATCAACCCATGTGGCATGACCCCATGTGACCCCAAATGACCTACCATATGATATGACACCATTACCCATCCATGAGATGACTCCATATGACCTATCCATGGGATATGACTGTGTAGGACCTATCTGTGTGATATGACCAACCATCTCCAAGCCCCAATGTGATATGACCCTGTATGACCTACCCATGTGATAAGACCCCTTATGACCTACCTGTATATGACCAACCATCCCCCAGCCCGAATGTGATACAACCTGTTTGACCTACCAGTGTCATATGACTGTGTATGGCCTTCCTTTGTGATATGACCGACCATCCCCCAGCCCCAATTTGATACGACCCTCTATGACCTACCCATGTGATAATACCCCTTATGACCTACCCATGTGATAATATCCCTTATGACCTACCATGTGATATGACCCCCTATGACCTACCCATGTGCTGACCTACCCATGTGATATGACCCCCTTGACCTACCCATGTGCTGACCTACCCATGTGATATGATCCCCTATGACCTACCCATGTGATATGACCCCCTATGACCTTCCCATGTGATATGACCCCATATAACATACCCATGTGATATGACTCCCTATGACCTACCCATGTGATGTCTGGTCCACCAGGATGCAGTGAAGGATGAGGCTCCAAGTCCATCAGCCCAAGCTGCATCAAACCCTTGATGGCTGTGCTGTAACCCTGCAGTCAATGGAATCCTGAGTTACTGACTACATTGGCTGTTAATTCCACTGTGTACAAACAGAATGACAGCTGACACTGGAGATTATATATATTATATCATGCATACTCTGCTGCTTCATGTCCATAACACCAGAGTCTGCCGTCTGCCTACTGCCTACTGCTAACTGCCTACTGCCTACACTGTCTTGATGTTTACTTATGTCTGTCGGTATCCTGAAGCAAATACATTTACCGAGTGTGACACAAGGCACACTGTCCTTGCCTCACATACGATGCTCCTGAGAAAATAGTTATGTCATATTATCCCTAGGCACAGTTCCTTTGCCACAAATATACTCTTGAGCACAAATTTACGTAACCGTTATCTCAAATATCATGCTTTTAGAGCACAGTGCCCTTACTTCTCATATCATGCTGAGCACATGCACTATTATCCCCAGCCACAGTGCCTTCACCCCATATTACCTCTTATCTCATGTTCCTCCAAACCCTCATTTGACCGCATGATACCATTACAAGCATAGTTTCATCATATGTGATACCACCTGGGGGACACTTTACATCATACACTTTATCTCATACCTGAAGGTGTACCTGAGCACTTTATCTCATACCTGAAGGTGTACCTGAGCGCTTTATCTCATACCTGAAGGTGTACCTGAGCACTTTATCTCATACCTGAAGGTGTACCTGAGCACTTTATCTCATTCCTGATGGTGTAACTCGTATCTGATACATGGGGCACACTAACCTAATATCTGATACCACATGGGGCCTATTTACCTTATATCTGACACTACCTAGGGCACACTTTACCTCATATCTGATGATACCACCTAGGGTGCACTTAACCTCATATCTGACACTACATGGGGCACACTTTACCTCATATCTGACACTACATGGGGCACACTTTACCTCATATCTGACACTACCTAGTGCACACTTTACCTCATACCTGACACTACATGGGGCACACTTTACCTCATATCTGATACTACCTAGGGTGCACTTAACCTCATATCTGATACTACATGGGGCACACTTTACCTCATATCTGACACTACATGGGGCACACTTTACCTCATATCTGACACTACATGGGGCACACTTTACCTCATATCTGACACTACATGGGGCACACTTTATCTCATATCTGACACTACATGGGGCACACTTTACCTCATATCTGACACTACACGGGGCACACTTTACCTCATATCTGTAACTACATGGGGCACACTTTACCTCATATCTGACACCACATGGGGCACACTTTACCTTATATCTGACACCACATTGGGCACACTTTACCTCATATCTGATACTACCTAGGGCACACTTTACCTTATATCTGACACTACATGGGGCACACTTTACCTCATATCTGATACCACCTAGGGCACACTTTACCTCATATCTGATACCACCTAGGGCACACTTTACCTCATATCTGATACCACATGGGGCACACTTTACCTCAAATCTGACACTACATGGGGCACACTATACCTCATCCCTGATACCACCTAGGGCACACTTTACCTCATATCTGATACCACATGGGGCACACTTTACTCATATCTGATACCACATGGGGCACACTTTACCTCATATCTGACACTACATGGGGCACACTTTACCTTTATATCTGAAACCACATGGGGCACACTTTACCTCATATCTGATACCACCTAGGGCACACTTTACCTCATATCTGATACCACATGGGGCACACTTTACCTCATATCTGATACCACCTAGGGCACACTTTACCTCATATCTGATACCACATGGGGCACACTTTACTCATATCTGATACCACCTAGGGCACACTTTACCTCATATCTAAAACCACCTAGGGCACACTTTACCTCATATCTGACAACACCTAGGGCACACTTTACCTCATATCTGATACCACATGGGGCACACTTTACCTCATATCTGATACCACATGGGGCACACTTTACCTCATATCTGATACGACCTAGGGCACACTTTACCTCATATCAGACACTACACAAGGCACACTTTACCTCATATCGGAAACCACATGGGACACACTTTACCTCATATCTGATACCACATGGGGCACACTTTACTCATATCTGATACCACATGGGGCACACTTTACCTCATATCTGACACCACATGGGGCACACTTTACCTCATATCTGACACCACCTAGGGCACACTTTACCTCATATCTGATACCACACAGGGCACACTTTACTCATATCTGATACCACCTTGGGCACACTTTACCTCATCTCTAAAACCACCTAGGGCACACTTTACCTCATATCTGACAACACCTAGGGCACACTTTACCTCATATCTGATACCACATGGGGCACACTTTACCTCATATCTGACACCACATGGGGCACACTTTACCTCATATCTGACACCACATGGGGCACACTTTACCTTATATCTGACACCACATGGGGCACACTTTACCTCATATCTGACACCACAAGGGGCACACTTTACCTCATATCTGACACCACAAGGGGCACACTTTACCTCATATCTGACACCACAAGGGGCACACTTTACCTCATATCTGACACCACATGGGGCACACTTTACCTTATATCTGACACCACATTGGGCACACTTTACCTCATATCTGACACCACAAGGGGCACACTTTACCTTATATCTGACACCACAAGGGGCACACTTTACCTCATATCCGACACCACATGGGGCACACTTTACCTCATATCAGACACCACCTAGGGCACACTTTACCTCATATCTAAAACCACCTAGGGCACACTTTACCTCATATCTGACACCACATTGGGCACACTTTACCTCATATCTGACACCACATGGGGCACACTTTACCTCACATCTGATACCACATGGGGCACACTTTACCTCATATCTGACACTACATGGGGCACACTTTACCTTATATCTGACACCACCTAGGGCACACTTTACCTTATATCTGACACCACCTAGGGGACACTTTACCTCATATCTGACACCACCTAGGGGACACTTTACTCATATCTGACACCACATTGGGCACACTTTACCTCATATCTAAAACCACCTAGGGCACACTTTACCTCATATCTGACACCACGTAGGGCACACTTTACCTCATATCTGATACTACACAGGGCACACTTTACCTCATATCTGATACCACCTAGGGCACACTTTACCTCATATCTGACACCACCTAGGGCACACTTTACCTCATATCTGACACCACATGGGGCACACTTTACCTCATATCTGACACTACATGGGGCACACTTTACCTTATATCTGACACCACCTAGGGCACACTTTACCTCATATCTGATACAACCTAGGGCACACTTTATCTCATATCTGACACCACCTAGGGCACACTTTACCTCATATCTGATACTACACAGGGCACACTTTACCTTATATCTGATACCACCTAGGGCACACTTTACCTCATATCTGATACCACATGGGGCACACTTTACCTTATATCTGACACCACCTAGGGCACACTTTACCTCATATCTGATACCACCTAGGGCACACTTTACCTTATATCTGATACTACAAAGGGCACACTTTACCTCATATCTGATACCACCTAGGGCACACTTTACCTTATATCTGATACCACCTAGGGCACACTTTACCTCATATCTGATACCACATGGGGCACACTTTACCTTATATCTGACACCACCTAGGGCACACTTTACCTCATATCTGATACCACCTAGGGTGCACTTAACCTCATATCTGATACTACACAGGGCACACTTTACCTCATACCTGACACCACCTAGGGCACACTTTACCTCATATCTGATACTACACAGGGCACACTTTACCTCATACCTGATACCACCTAGGGTGCACTTTACCTCATATCTGACACTACATGGGGCACACTTTACCTCATATCTGACACTACACAGGGCACACTTTACCTGGTATCTGATGGTGCCCCTAAGCACAGTATTGGCAGATTCAATACCATACTTGTTGATGTAGGCTGTAGAGTCTCTGTTGGGGAAGCCCTCCAGGTTGAACCCCGGCATGAAGTGGAGGGGCTCCACTGCCTCCAAGAGGCCTCCCCCGGGTGACACCTCCACCATCTGCAGCAGGGAACACCTCGCCATATGTTTTAAATGTATCAGTGAATGCAGCACTGACAATAAAACTAGAAACTATCACTAAAACATATTACATCACATTAAAACACAATCGTTTTTATACCAAATCGGAATATCTACAAACTTTAAATGTTACTTCTGCAATGATGAATCTGAGATGCTGGAGCATCTCTTCTATGATTGTCATAAAGTTGGAAATTTTACTAATCAATGTCAGTCTTGGTATGAAACACAAATCGATACTTGTGTAGAAGTTACAAAACAGTCTTCTCAACTTGGAGACCTTGACCAGAGCTTTCTACTTTATCACTTATTCATAATTATAAAGAATTACATATATACATGCAAATATAAGGAAACTAACTTGAATATCATTCAGCTGCAGAAAATGATAAAACAAATTTATAATATTTAAAAATTCATACATGAGTAGATAACACATCATTTCAAATGAAATGGACATTATTGCTGCATTTTTAGAAACTTTGTGTTTCTTTTGGCGGTGATTAGTTTAGGAATATAAAATATATAATAATATTATAATAATATTTAGATAAAGATCTGAGGACATCCCCTTATGTGTCACGTCAGAACGACCTTTCATCCGACCAATCAAAGCGTCGCTTACCAGATGAAGAAAGTGACAGTCAGAATGTGTTTTCTGATCATGCAACCTTGAAAACGTTAACACAGGGAATTCCGAACGACAGTACGACTGATTCCGCCAAAATTATTGTGTATCTCTCGCTTCCGTTGGATAGACATTTGAACAGAGGAGGTCCTTCTGACGTGACCCCTAATGGGATGTCCTCAGATATTTGTTTAGCGGCAGCGAAAACTTAGAACTGACTTTAATGAGATTGGATATTAAATTTAGAAATAAATGTAATGTAAATTGGTGAATATAGCTGTAAATGGCCACTGCGGCAGACCTGTCTCCGAGTGCAGCATGACATGGGTGTGTCCTTTTTTTTTCAGATAAATAGTCACGATATACATGTAGCCCACACAGCCCCACTTGACCAGGGGGTGGTGGGACATTTTCAATCATTGGAAAAGTAGGCGATATCATACAGTATAAAAAAGATAAGATAAGATAGGTAAGACGGATGAGAAAGTGGAAAGGAGAGAAGGTCCTTGACTCCAGATGCACCATTTGTCTCATGCATTAGCGTGTACAGTTTGGAAATCTCATGCAGCATATCGTGATAAGAATAAAGACTCTCTGTGGTAACACTTTACTGATTGTTAGTTTTGTCAAAAAACAATAGACATTGGAAACATCTCTTCTTAATGTACATATTTCTCTATACGTTTCTATGGTTCACCTTTCTTTTGGTGGTTAACATACAATATCTAATATCTCTGAATATAATATCTAATATTTCTCAGTAAAAAATCTATCATTTCTAACCGTAATATCTAATATTTCTAAAAACAATCGTTAAGAATTAACATGGTGGTTTTTTACACACTGGTGATGTAAACTGGCACTTATTATTTTAGGTAGACGAGTGAGTGAGTGAGTTGGGTTTAACGCCACTTTTAACATTATTTTAGTTATATCACAACGTGTCAGCTTAATGTGGGAGGAAAGCCCGAAGAGATGCAGGTCTCAGACGTTTACTACTTCGGTGAAACCAACGAGCACGGGTATGGTGCTGACAAACCTAGAAACATAATCAGGGCGAACCAGGATTCGAACCCACAATCATAGGTTTCTGGCGTGCCCATGGGACGCAATTCTGCACAGCGAATCACGGCGCCTTAGACGACTGGGCCACCCGTGACCCCTTCAAAAGATGAAGGGAGGGGGTCTTGGATCAGACCCATCAATTAAGGCTACATGTTTTACTGCAAGCAAGACGTAAACATTCCTACCTGTTTGTTTTTGAGATATTTGGCCCCTGCGAGACAGTTCATCAAAACACCCCTTGGGAACCAACTGCAACAGTGAGACAATTTTCATTGACAAAGGAATCATTTTTAAATACTCTGTTGCCCGTAGCTAAGTTGAACATTTTCAACCCTTTTCCAGGTTTACTCTCATGATAAGCATTAGGTATTGGGGGACTATTATCCCCAAGACTCCCCAAGGGGAACACTGTCAGCTGCCAGAATCTGCCAGTGTAACTTTGGAGGTGGTGACACTGGCTCTATGCTCGATGTATGGCAACAGTCCCATAGTGGCAACAGTGACAACAGTCCCATGGTCGCAACAGTGACAACAGTCCCATAGTGGCAACAGTGACAACAGTCCCATAGTGGCAACAGTGACAACAGTCCCATAGTGGCAACAGTCCCATAGTGGCAACAGTGACAACAGTCCCATATTGGCAACAGTGACAACAGTCCCATAGTGGCAACAGTGACAACAGTCCCATAGTGGCAACAGTGACAACAGTCCCATAGTGGCAACAGTGCCAGCAGTCCCATAGTGGCAACAGTGACAACAGTCCCATAGTGGCAACAGTGACAACAGTCCCATATTGACAACAGTGCCAACAGTCCCATTGTAGCAACAGTCCCATGGTCGCAACAGTGACAACTGTTACAGTCCCATAGTGGCAACAGTCCCACGGTGGCAACAGTGACAACAGTCCCATAGTGGCAACAGTCCCATGGTGGCAACAGTGACAACTGTTACAGTCCCATAGTGGCAACAGTCACATGGTGGCAACAGTGACAACAGTCCCATAGTGGCAACAGTCCCATGGTGGCAACAGTGACAACAGTCCCATAGTGGCAACAGTGACAACAGTCCCATAGTGGCAACAGTGACAACAGTCCCATAGTGGCAACAGTCCCATGGTGGCAACAGTGCCAGCAGTCCCATAGTGGCAACAGTGACAACAGTCCCATAGTGGCAACAGTGACAACAGTCCCATAGTGGCAACAGTGACAACAGTCCCATAGTGGCAACAGTGACAACAGTCCCATAGTGGCAACAGTCCCATGGTGGCAACAGTGCCAGCAGTCCCATAGTGGCAACAGTGACAACAGTCCCATAGTGGCAACAGTCCCATGGTGGCAACAGTGCCAGCAGTCCCATAGTGGCAACAGTGACAACAGTCCCATAGTGGCAACAGTCCCATGGTGGCAACAGTGCCAGCAGTCCCATAGTGACAACATTCATAGTGCATGTCATTCTATCCCAATTGCGTAGATCGATGCTCATGATGTCAATCACTGGATGTTTGGTCCAGACTCGATTATTACAGACCGCTGACCTATGGCTGGAATATTGCTGAGTGCGCCGTTAAACAACAAACAAACAAACAATTGAAAGATTGAAGGAAAATCAAATAATTAATGTATTGTGACCTTATTTACAAATATTTCACCTTTAGACTTTGCATTTCATTACTCAAAATTGTTGACTGAATTTAGTTTCCTTGCACATTTTAGTTATTTCCTCTGAAACATACTAGGATAACTTTTCTTATTTTGGGGGGAGCAAAAAACTAGACTTTCTATATGTCTGATACTTACCTGAATTTATAGTGAAGGGGTGTGTCCGAATATTCAGGGGCAGGTAACCCCCCACACCAGGAAACATAGGACGTGATCTGCACAACAGTAATTGGGAACACCCTCAATACAGACATTTTTCAAGAGTTGGCAATTAAATATAAACTCATCCACAAAATGCCTCAAACAAAACATACACTGAAGAATGGAAAAGAATATTGAAAGTGCTTCTAATTGGTTTTTCATTTTTAAAAATATTTTTTTACTTTTAAACACTGTTGCTTACAGGTATATTCAAACGGAACTGAATTACATATGCAGAGAAATCGTTAGCTATCCTTTCAGGAAAGTGTGGCTCTTTAACGTGATCTGTTTGATGTGGGAAGACAGTATGATCACAATGTAATATTCTGCAAACATCAAAAAACATAATGAAGTAAAAGATGCTGTATCTGACCTTTCCTCCATCGTTCCGGACCTCATCAAAGCACTGCATTGCCATCATGTGGTCAATGCCAGGGTCGACACCGATCTCGTTCATGATGGTCACACCTGCATCCACGGCACTGAAACACATGGCCCTCTCGATGTCGGTGAAGGTGAGGTGAGGTGAGGTGAGGTGAGGTGAGGTGAGGTGAGGTGAAATGGGGTTTAACGTCACGTCCAAGATTATTGCACTTATATAGCGACGTACATGTACGTGTGTGTGTGTTTGTGTGGCTGCTTGTACTAGTCCGGACTGATGCCGATTTATAGTGCTAGCTCACTGAGATACCATGCCGCAGTTTAACATGAATATCCCACTCAGAAACAGTATACTGACTCCGAGCCGACCAGTCCTTGTTTTAGCCCCTTAATGCCTAGCGCCAGACAGGGTAACAAGAAGTACCATCTTTTAACGTCTTTTGGTATGACACGGCTGGGGATCGAACCCCGGACCATCCGCTCTCTGGGCGGACGCTCTACCACTAGACCACAGAGGCGGTCTCGTCAGTTACTCTGCAGTGACCACCATATTCCAGCTACTTCAACTGCCTACACATAATCAGTCTCATCATTTCTGTTTATTCTGACTATTGTCCAGGCCATTATATCTCCACTCTATTACAACAAGCATAAAATACTAATATCCCCGGCCAATACCCCCATTTTCAGTCAAAGTCAAAGTTGTTGCCATGGAAACTAAAAAAAATAATTATGAAATATCCCAAATTATCAAAAGGGGGAATTGGGAACCTATTCTACACGGAATTCCCACAGGGAGACAAGCATGGGGAATTGAGATCCTATTCTAACCAGAATTCCTACAGGGAGACAAGCATGGGGAATTGAGATCCTATTCTACCAGGAATTCCCAAAGGGAGACAAGCATGGGGAATTGAGATCCTATTCTACCCAGAATTCCCAAAGGGAGACAAGCCTGGGGAATTGAGATCCCATTCTACACCAAATTCCCACAGGGCGACAAGCATGGGGATTTGAGAACCTATTCTACACAGAATTCCCACAGTGAGACAAGCATGGGGAATTGAGAACCTATTCTACACAGAATTCCCAAAAGGAGACAAGCATGGGGAATTGAGAACCTATTCTACACAGAATTCCCACAGTGAGACAAGCATGGGGAATTGAGAACCTATTCTAACCAGAATTCCCACAGGGAGACAAGCATGGGGAATTGAGATCCTTTTCTTACCAGAATTCCCACAGGGAGACAAGCATGGGGATTTGAGAACCTATTCTACACAGAATTCCCACAGTGAGACAAGCATGGGGAATTGAGAACCTATTCTAACCAGAATTCCCAAAAGGAGACAAGCATGGGGAATTGAGATCCTTTTCTAACCAGAATTCCAACAGGGAGACAAGCATGGGGAATTGAGAACCTATTCTAACCAGAATTCACAAAGGCCGACAAGCATGGGGAATTGAGAATCTATTCTACACGGAATTCCCACAGGGAGACAAGCATGGGGAATTGAGATCCTATTCTAACCAGAATTCCTACAGGGAGAGAAGCATGGGGAATTGAGAACCTATTCTACCAGGAATTCCCACAGGGAGAGAAGCATGGGGAATTGAGAACCTATTCTACCCAGAATTCCCACAGGGAGACAAGCATGGGGAATTGAGAACCTATTCTACCCAGAATTCCCACAGGGAGACAAGCATGGGGAATTGAGAACCTATCAGCTGGATACTACATGTATCATAACTAGTTAACATGTAGAGAATCCTTAAAACAAAAATAATTGTGATATGATATACAAGCAAGCTTCCTCAAATAAATGAATTCCTTGATATTAAAGTAAGCTGGAATTATATGTACTCCTGATCTGCATCCATCAATTTAACATCAACACAGTGAGTGACTGTTTAGAAAAGTCCAGTCACATACAAGAGACTATCTGGGCCAAGCACACCAAGCACACAGCAATAGCTACAAGCAGTCACAATACTAAAGTCATGATTTTATCTTTCTCCGGGACATTATTTTTGTATAAGTTGGATAACAAATCCGCTGACACTATTTCCTTCAAAATTGGAAAAAAATAATAATCCAAGGTTTACACATATTTTTCCCACCTACATGTCAAACATGCAAAATCAGTTTGAGATTACGGTTTTATTAAACATCATCTCTAAAACTGGTGATGCTCAAATTGTAGAGTTATGTCCCTTTTCTTGATGCACAAGAGAAAAGAAAAAAAATTCCAGCAGACGGTGCTACAGATGGTGAATTATTTTTTTTTCTTCTTCTTCACCCCACACTGCCACACCCCAATAATAATATGTAAAAGCATTCTGTGATCCAGTTTACAAAAAGAAGAAGCTGATGTCAGCTATTTTCATTTGCTCCTCCGACTTCAAACCTTGACAAAAAATATCTGTAATCCAACAATTAAAAAAATAATGTCCTGCTAATTGTGGACAGACATATACCTTTGATGGAGGTTCTGCATGGCTGGGGACACGTAGCTGGCTGTCACCATGTTCCGTTTGTGGTCAATACACAGCTTGGCAATGTCGGGGTGGAGCGCATACGGCAACAAGCTAAAAATGTCAAACTTCACTCAGAAACATCAAATACATGAAAAAATTTAAGAAATAAATGATGAGTGGGAGCTGCTTATCATACCGGTACAATTAAACCCTGGGAAATCATACCATTGAGGGCTCCATATGTCCACATCGTGTGAACTCACATGACAACCACACCCTTTTTATGCACCTGATAACCACCTGACAACCGCACCCTTTTTATGCACCTGATAACCATCCGATAACCGCACCCTTTTGATGCACCTGATTACCACCTGACAACCACACCCTTTTTATGCACCTGATAACCACCTGACAACCACACCCTTTTTATGCACCTGATAACCACCTGACAACCACACCCTTTTTTATGCACCTGATAACCATCTGACAACCACACCCTTTTTATGCACCTGATAACCACCTGACAAACGCACCATGTTTATGCACCTGATAACCACCTGACAAACGCACCATGTTTATGCACCTGATAACCACCTGACAACCACACCCTTTTTATGCACCTGATAACCACCTGACAACCACACCCTTTTTATGCACCTGATAACCACCTGACAAACGCACCATGTTTATGCACCTGATAACCACCTGACAACCACACCCTTTTTATGCACCTGATAACCACCTGACAACCACACCCTTTTTTATGCACCTGATAACCATCTGACAACCACACCCTTTTTATGCACCTGATAACCACCTGACAAACGCACCATGTTTATGCACCTGATAACCACCTGACAAACGCACCATGTTTATGCACCTGATAACCACCTGACAACCACACCCTTTTTATGCACCTGATAACCACCTGACAACCACACCCTTTTTATGCACCTGATAACCACCTGACAAACGCACCATGTTTATGCACCTGATAACCACCTGACAACCACATCCTTTTTATGCACCTGATAACCACCTGACAACCACACCCTTTTTTATGCACCTGATAACCACACCCTTTTTATGCACCTGATAACCACCTGACAAACGCACCATGTTTATGCACCTGATAACCACCTGACAACCGCACCCTTTTTATGCACCTGATAACCACCTGACAACCACACCCTTTTAATGCACCTCATAACCACCTGACAACCGCACCCTTTTTATGCACCTGATAACCACCTGACAACCATGACATGATTACGCACCTGACGACCAAGTCATGTTCAGGGATAAGGCGTTGCAGGTCCTCCTGACTCCGCTGTACGTCCATCAACAAACAGTCCGCCGCCGGACATTTCTGACTGATGGCGTCAAGCTCCTCGCTGTATTGGGATGCCACAGTGACGTGTGTGGAGTTGTCGCGTAACAGGTAGTCTACCGCCGGGCCAGCAACGTAGCCTGCACCAAGAACCAGCACCCGTTTCTCAATGCCACTGGAGGTCCGCTGGGCCTTGTGACCTGCCCTGGACACCAGAAACAACAATCAACAGGTCATTAACAACATTCTGGAAAACAACACTCAAAGCACAGCCAAACAGAGCAATGGGAGACAGATTATGAAATAAATCTACTTACAAATTTCAACAAGATGACTAAATTAGCAGTATTCTTTCTCAGTTTATACATTACAGTACAATGAGGTGTATGCCAAACACCTTTTAACCGTTCAGCATTCGGAGAAAATTGGCATAATTATGGACAATTATTAGCTGACCTTACAAGGCTCAATGACTTTTTACTGGAGACAGGTTTGGCTAAAGTTCCCACATTTTTTACCTATTGTTTCATCTTAATCTAAACTATTATTAGGATTACAGAACATAAATATTTAAAGCATATTACACAAAGCAACACAGCCATCACGCAGCCAAGCTACACCATGCTGGAGGTGAACAACACATCTCATGATGTCGCCTCACACAATCTTCACAGAAACAAGAAGATTTTACTGCATCAATTATTTCACATATCATCTCACAAACATAAAGATCAGATGCCCAATTACTGTAAATCTTGAAATTAACGCGAGTGTGAATCAAATGCGAAAAATGGTCTTTGCTTGTATTTTTAAACATCGCATTTATATCAACAATAAGACATTTTGGATAGCAAAATTACCAACTTAGACATACGCTGATGTATTCCACACCACTGTTTCGCACGATATAAAGTATATAAACAATGTCATTCAAACACTAATTACGTCCTGTGAATTGTCACTGTTGGGGTCAAGACAAGAGTTCTACTCACTCATGTCATCACTGATCACACCTGCAAGTCCAGACAGACGCCACCCTTTGTTCTTTGCGACTGCGTCAAAGGCCGACACGAGCCAGCACGCATGTATTGTTTTTCCGGAAGTACTTTACTCAGTGCTAATAAGCGGGGCTATTTGGTGTGTGATTGGATTAATGTAAGGTTGGATTAAGGTGAGGATTCTAAACCTGACTGAGGACATCTTTAGATAGAAATCCACTAACGCTTGAGAGGTTGGGTGTCGCATTCATATTGAGTTGCTTTTTGGCTAGGGTCCAGTGGTCGCATTCTTTTGGAGACGCATTAATTTCACGATTTACAGTATTTAGTGAGTCTAAGTCAGAAATATTCCAGCTATATCATGGCCTACAAAAGAAGTGAGGGTCATATTTCTATAGTTAACCGTTACTGCTTCCGAATCTCCACATGGGGACAGGCATGGGATACTGGGGACCTTTTCTGCCCCAAAATCACCACGGGGAAACAAGCATGGGATACTGGGGACCTTTTCTGCCCCAAAATCACCACGGGGAGACAAGCATGGGATACTGGGGACCTTTTCTGCCCCAAAATCACCACGGGGAGACAAGCATGGGATACTGGGGACCTTTTCTGCCCCAAAATCACCACGGGGAGACAAGCATGGGATACTGGGGACCTTTTCTGCCCCAAAATCACCACGGGGAGACAAGCATGGGATACTGGGGACCTTTTCTGCCCCAAAATCACCATGGGGAGACAAGCATTGGATACTGGGGACCTTTTCTGCCCCAAAATCACCATGGGGAGACAAGCATTGGATACTGGGGACCTTTTCTGCCCCAAAATCACCACGGGGAGACAAGCATGGGATACTGGGGACCTTTTCTGCCCCAAAATCACCATGGGGAGACAAGCATTGGATACTGGGGACCTTTTCTGCCCCAAAATCACCACGGGGAGACAAGCATGGGATACTGGGGACCTCTTCTGCCCCAAAATCACCACGGGGAGACAAGCATGGGATACTGGGGACCTTTTCTATATTCTCACACAAATAACTGGTTCCAGGATAAGAACATTTCAAACTTACTTAATTATCAACAAGATTGTGTAATGTACACAGGGATGCTGACAGTGGAAACAAGAAATTATAATACTTGTGTCAAATGTGTCAAGCAAGGTTAAGAAAGTGAAATGCACTTCACATACATCTTAATATTTTGAAGTTAAATTTACTTTGTTTGCTTTAGTAGACCTACAGATACAGAATCTCACACGTTAGTACTACAACCAATAATAAGAGACTAGCGCTACTAACGTAGGAGTACTGAATCGAAAAATACTCTGATAGGAAAAAATGAATTAAGCACACATCTAAATATGTAGGGCAGGGTAATGATCACAGCCAAGACAACCTAAGTTAGGCAGTTTTTATTAACATTACTTTGTCTACAGACCCAAAATGAAAATCTTTACAAATGTGGAATAGATATTTTTTAGGCGTCTCATTTTCTTCCTGTCAAGTATGTTAAGTTGAAAATGAAAACCCTTAGAATTTTCACTGGACAAAAATACCACTTCTTCATCTTTTTCTTTAATTTCTTCCACCCAACTTTTGAGCAATTATTTGATGTGATTGAGTATGGTTTTCCCACTTTTAGCAATATTCTAGCTACATCATGGCGGGGGACACCAGAAATGGGCTTCACACATAGTAGTCCTGTCAGGAATCAAACCCGGGTCTTCAGCATGACGAGAAAACACAAGGCTACCTGACCGCCCAATAATTTGAAGAGAAATGTTTTAGTTGTATTTTGCCTATGGTATGAGGAAAATAATCAACAAACCAAGTAACAAAATGCCATGTGCACAAAACAAAACAATATGGAAATAACAAAGGGAAATAGGAAGAGAGTGATTTATCTCTGAATGAAATCAGTTACCAGCACAGTGAGCAGCAGTTGTATTTGATACACTGAGAAATTAGTCACGGGTTTGAAGTAGATCTGGCTGAAGAAAGCGTGGTGTGCCTATGACTGCGTGTGCGTATAATGAGGTGGATCACATAAAATGTACGGCAGACTATGGCCCTTGAAATGACAAAGAACTGGTCTTACCTCCTCTTGTCCCTACAAATAACATGGAACTAAGTGGTCAGACACGGACGACCTTGTTGAACATGTCCAAAACATGGTTACTGTTCCAGAGATCGAGAGAAAGAGTTAGTTTGGCTTAATGCAGTTTCAACATTGTTTCCGTTATACAGAGTGAGTGAGGGATTTTAGTAGGATTTGGTTAATGAGTGAAATGGGCTTTGATCTTGACACTGTGAATAATTCAAATAACAATTAACATTCTGTAACCATCTTTTTATGACTAACATCCCGTTTGCATCCCATAAGGCACCAGCTGCCCCCTGCCCTATTCCACACAATGAATGCCTGTCAGGGATTAACCCCGAGTGGACAACTGAAGACATTTTCAGTGTTGTTCCCAATAAGATATAAGTCAATCTCATTAAAATCAGATCTTAGTTCTCGCTACCGCTAAACAAAGATCTGAGGACATCCTATTTCGGGTCACGTCAGACCGACCTTGCGCAAACTTTAACCGACAAATGGAATGACCAATCAGAAGGCAGCTTTCTCGTGCTTTACGGCACTAATTTCAAATTGGCGACTACGCTTCGAAACATATTCTGACAAATCCTCGTTTACAAATTTGAAACCTGAACAAAAGAACATTCTGGAATGGCTAATAGATGGTCTAGATTGTATGGATTCAGTCGTTAAACCCGTAACTATCGTTCGGAATTAAAAGTTTTTGGGGTTGCATGATTAGAAATCACATTCCAACTGTCACTTTCATAATCTGGTAAGCGACGCTCTAATTGGTCAGATGAAAGGTCGTTCTGACGTGACCCCTAATGGGATGTCCTCAGATCTTTGTTTCTCTAAGGGTGAACGGCAACAGGTTGCAGTTGAGTATTATCAGATAATCATGGCACATCCGGCACCACCAACACTCTTTACCACTGTTGGTGCAAGAACACATTTGCATTTGTCTTCCATTTCCTATGTGTATTTTGAAAATAGCATTGGCCAATCATCTGACGGAGAATAATAGACATACTCTCTGTTGTTAAAGATTATTGCTGAGACCTCTAAGTTTGGTTTTAATATAAAGCTAGGCACATACCCTCATTGGTTTATTCAGACCACTGACCATGATACACTAGATTTTGAGTACATAGCACTTCTTACATAGACTGGTTCCTGGCAGTATTTGCACTGCATCACTTTTATGATGAAAATATTATTTCTTTTTGCAATCATTTCCCTTGAGATTTTACTATTACTTAACTCCCTGTGTCTTCAATCATGGCACAAAATAAATAAATGGTCTTGGTTTGTTTCCCACAATAAACACAGAAATAGAGCTCTGATATGAAACAACTGGAAAAAAGATGCTGCACATATAGCATTGCCATGGTGACACACACAAGACAATATTCGATACCACTTACTTAGCTTTTTGTCGGAGAACATCTATGTATTCATAATTTGGGGCAAGAGATCCATTGGAAGCTATCACTGCCTAGAAAGACACAAGAAAACAGAGAACATTTATTCAAGAAGTGATCATATTATGACAAATTAAACGAATGTTTTAACCGCTATTGAATCAGATGTCATTTTAACATATTGATCATTTTGATTATCTGAACATCATCTTGACTGATTAGAGTAGCCTCCGTTGTTTGACACTTGGCAAGTGCTACCCCAGGTACATCACGGCAGGGTTGGTTGGTTGGTTGGTTGGTTTGTTGATTAGCGCCGCACTCAGCAATATTCCAGCTATATGACGGTAGTCTGTAAATAATCGAGTCTGGACCAGGCAATCCAGTGATTAATATCATGAGCATCGATCCACGCAATTGGGATCGATGACATGCTTCAACCAAGTTAGCCAGTCTGACCACCCGATCCCGTTAGTTGCCTCTTACGACAAGCATAGTCGCCTATTACGGCGAGCATGGGTTGCTGAAGACCTATTCTACCCCGGATCTTCATCACGGCATATTCCAGCTATATGACGGCGGTCTCTAAATAATTGAGTCTGGACCAGACAATCCAGTGACTGACATCATGAGCATCGATCTAGGCAATTGGGATATGATAACATGCATCAACCTGACAACCTGATCCCATTAGTCGCCTCTTAAGACAAGCTGGGTTGCTGAAGACAAATTCTAACCCGGATCTTCAAAGGTCGTGTCAGTGAGTGAGTGAAGGTTGCTTTATGCCAGACTCAGCAATATTCTAGCTCCATCATGGTGGCCTGTAAGTAACCTTGGTTACCATGCATCATCCAAGTCAGCGAGCCTGACCACCCGATCCCGTTAGTCGCCTTTTACGACAAGCATAGTCGCCTTTTACGGCAAGCATAGTCGCCTTTTACGGCAAGCATAGTCGCCTTTTACGGCAAGCATAGTCGCCTTTTACGGCAAGCATAGTCACCTTTTACGGCAAGCATAGTCGCCTTTTACGGCAAGCATAGTCGCCTTTTACGGCAAGCATAGTCATCTTTTACGGCAAGCATAGTCGCCTTTTACGGCAAGCATAGTCGCCTTTTACGGCAAGCATAGTCGCCTTTTACGGCAAGCATAGTCGCCTTTTACGGCAAGCATAGTCACCTTTTACGGCAAGCATAGTCGCCTTTTACGGCAAGCATAGTCGCCTTTTACGGCAAGCATAGTCATCTTTTACGGCAAGCATGGGATGCTGAAGACCTGTTCTACCCCGGAATCTTCACGGGTCATCAGGGCCCTGTAAAGTCATGACATGGTGTAGCCTACTGTATAATTACAGAATTACTTTAGAGCCTGGAATGATTCAATGATCATGGGGACAGTGGTCATGCTTGATGGATGAAATGACAGACACCCATAACTGCTCTTGATGCGCTGTAGGTACAATGACTATTATTGTACGTCCCTCTGGACGCAGCATATTCTTTTTCTGTGCCCAATCTCAACATTTGTGCGTTCTGGACGCGCAATTGTGCGTTCTGGACGCGCAAGTGTGCGTCGCGTAAAACCTTCTAATCAACTGTTTCCACCCAACTTACATTTCTGACCACAGGAGAACAGTCATACTCTTCGAAGGAATGTTTGGCTTCAGATTTCAACTGCAAAATGAGAGGTTAATCGTTAATGTTGAGGTCAAGTCTCAAAAAGTACAGCCACCAATATACAAGTAAACACATCATTGTGAGAGTAGTGTGAACATGAGATTCAGGATTACACAGACAAGACTCATTTAAAGAGTTCAGTTTGCAGGAGGGCCTGGATTACTGATCACTGATTTCTGACTCATAGGCAAGGCGTTAGGGCTGGGACGGGTCGGGTGGGTCCTGAGTAGGACCCGGGTACCCACAGGACTACCCAGACCCATGGTTAGTCACATGATAAAGATTTGTAATGACAAAAAGTATCTAAAACTCTATGGTTACACTATAAGTCACTAATGATCCCATTTCTTTCTGACAATGCACCCACTCCTGACTTTTATATGTTTGATATGATAAAACTTCATGCAGTAAACTTCAGCGTATGCATGACCAGATCAATTTACACGCGTATCTAAATACAATTTGCCAGGGCTACGGTCAAACTTTTCCAAATCGGACAGTTTGTACCGATCTCTTAATGTCTACAGCAGGAACTCGGGTAAGGTCGGGTAATAGGGTGGTCAGTACCTGGGTAGTGACTCGTCCCAGCCCTACAAGGAGTACATGTTTCCTAGCTTATATACCGTATTCGACATAGTAAGCGCCCAGGGCGCTCTCAAAATTAGAAATAGGGGGCTCTTATTAGAATATTATTTTGGTGGAAAACAACAGGGTTAAAAGATCGTAAATTTCGTGGTTTATGCTGACAGCCTGAAATGTTTATATACGACAAATGTTTTTTTCCAGAATCTAATTTCCCACAATTAAGGATGCATATAACACACGTATTATACACGAATAAATAAGTCTTGTGTATATTGATCAATCGGAAGGGGTGCTAATTGGGATTGTTCACTAACCAATATATTAGCAAATATCGGATACGGTAATATACGTAACTAATTACTAATGTTATGGCATTGTAGAGATAACCTGTATTTCACTTGACTTTTGAATGGACTTCAGTTTGGAATGGAGATATGATATACTGGAAAATGAGAGACGAAGGTGACCAGGTCACATGACCCATGCATATTCTAATCAATCCGGACACCGAGATCTGTGTGAAGCTCACCATGTCTTTAACGTAGGGCAACAAGAGGCTCCCAAAGAAGTCGGTGGCCTCGCGTGGGATCTGGGCAGGCATGTTGTCGATTGAGCAGATCAGGACACCATCACCAGCGAAACTAGAAAAGCAGACGACAAGCGTGTACCTCATGTGAATGAACTCACTCATGGGAAAAAATTCAATATATAGAGAATCTCACCCGAGTGACTTTGATATAAAAAACATCAACACAAGCCAAGGCTTGCAGAGGAGTGTTAATTGTTATCGACGAGTGTTGATATATTCGATATAAAAAGACACCAGGGTGAGATTCTAATTATCAAACAAAATCCTTCTTCCAACCTTTTCAGTTTGTACACTGTAATAACCAGTGTCTTTGGATGTAAAAAGAACTGGAACCAGCCTTAGTGGCAGGGATTGGTGTTGACTGTGACGTGATGGTAACTGATGACATCACAATGGCTTGCAATGCAGAATCTCACCCAAGCAGTATCTCCTGCGGAAGCCTGTTTTGGATGATCTAATGAATGGTATAGAAGCATGTGATGTTAGGATGGTACAGCCCTCTTATCATCAAGCTGCACATCCTCCTTAAGTTTCATGCTAGGGCCATCAGCTGATTAATAGAAGAAAGTTATTGAGGTGAGGTGAGGTAAAATGGGGTTTAACGTCGCGTCCAAGATTATTGCACTTATATAGCAACGTGCATGCACGTGTGTGTGTGTGTTTGTGTGTGTGGCTGCTTGTGCTAGTCCGGACTGATGCCGATTTATAGTGCTAGTTCACTGAGATACCATGCCGCAGTTTAACATGAATACCCCACTCAGACACAGTATACTGACTCCGAGCCGACCAGTCCTTGTTTTAGCCCCTTAATGCCGAGCGCCAGACAGGGTAACAACAAGTACCATCTTTTAACGTCTTTTGGTATGATGCAGTCTGGGATTGAACCCCGGACCTTCTGCTCTCCGGGCAGACGCTCTACCACTAGACCACGGAGGCGGTCAGAAAGTTAATGAAGTTACAGTCAGAGGAATGTCTAGATGGACAGGCCATGCCATAAGCCCAAATGGACCCAGTCCTGGTGCGCTACAGATTCAAGGCAGTGTCAACTTGCTGGAGTACGGTCGTTGTTGGCGGGTATGGAAACATTATCTCATAGTTATTGTTTTTGCACAATACCAGTATGATATCCCCATGGCGATACAACAGTACAAAGATATCTACCTCTCTGTCTCCATGTTCTGTTCAGCATCGTACAAACAGAACGGGGAGTCAATGGTTGTGCACTCTTTCATGAACTCGATGGAGCCGCCAGGGTCGGCGGAGATATCACAGAGGGCCACGAGCCGATGGGGGAGTTGAGGGCATCCCGCACTCGACGCGATCCACGGGGATTCCTGCGGTCGTAGAAGCACCTTGGCGTCTGGGATGGACAGGAGACGAGGGGCATTCGGTGCCCAGTATATGCCATTGATGATACAGGAAGCATACGGCGCCACCTGGTGAGGATGGGAGCGAGTGTGTGAGTTAGATTTTATGCCTCTTTAGCAATATACCAATAACTATGATGCCAGTTGACAAATACAATGGGCTTTACAAAATGTGCCTTCGAATAACACATCGTTCCGAAATAAATTATGTAAAAGGTTTAATAAAATTCAATTTAAGAACTCTTGAGTCATAATTTCCTAGAGCTGAAAAGGGGTTGAGAAAATGCTGCGAGAGATAAAAATGGAATGGGGACGATTGTTTGAAAAAATATATGCTGTAGGATCTGTAAGAGGCAAATGGTGCCCATGTTGGGAATCAAACCTAGTGTGACAAGCTAATGCTTGAACCATGTCCACAACACCACCCCCAGAAGAGACAGGAAATAGCTTCAGACATCACTAGCAAAGATTTCCCAGCATTCCTACTTGATTAGCATCTCAACAGTTGATTGTCATTCAGGTACTTTGTCCAAACTTGTGTGAATGAGTGAGTGAGTAATTTATTACAGTGAGTGAGTGAGTTGGGTCTAACGCTGCTTTTAACAGTATTCCAGTTATATACAGCGTGTCAGTTTATTGTGGGAGGAAAGCCCACAGTGATGCAGGTCTCAGACGTTTACCACTTTGGTGACACCAACAAGCAGGGATATGGTGCTGACAAACCTAGAAACATAATCGGGGTGAACCTCGACAAATTATTACACTTCAGTATAATCTTTGTTTGTTTGTTGTTTAACGGCACACTCAGCAATATTCCGGCTATATGACGGCGGTCTGTAAATAATCGAGTCTGCAACATGCACCAGACAATCCAGTGATTGACATCATCATGATCATCGATCCACGCAATTGGGATAAGATGACATGCATCAACCAAGTCAGCGAGCCTGAACACCCGATCCCATTAGTCGCCTCTTACAACAAGCATAGTCACCTTTATCAGCAAGCATGGCTTGCTGAAGACCGACTCTACCCCGGATCTTCACGGGTCAGTGTTATCACTGTGCATGGGGGCACTAGAATAGATGTCACACTTTGATTGAGTCATGTGTGAAAGGAACACGTGGACACTTTGTCCACCTCGATACACGAAACAAACAGGCAAGGTAAACTTTTTGTTTGTGATTTCCACTGTTCAAACCTTATGACTGAAAGCTGAGGCATATCTTTCAGGGTGCTCCTCAAATTCATTTGCATTGAATGGCCCGCCTTCCTTCCGGACATAATGGTCATTTCGGCTCACTTCACAAGCATACACCTTGTTTGTAGCTGGAAAGAGAGAGAGAGAGAGTGGTGAGTGAGTGAGTGAGTGAGTGAGTGAGTGAGTGAGTGAGTGAGTGAGTGAGTGAGTGAGTGAGTGAGTGAGTGAGTGAGTGAGTGAGTGAGTGAGTGAGTGAGTGAGTGAGTGAGTGAGTGAGTGAGTGAGTGAGTGAGTGAGTGAGTGAGTGAGTGAGTGAGTGAGTGAGTGAGTGAGTGAGTGAGTGAGTGAGTGAGTGAGTGAGTGAGTGAGTGAGTGAGTGAGTGAGTGAGTGAGTGAGTGAGTGAGTGAGTGAGTGAGTGAGTGAGTGAGTGAGTGAGTGAGTGAGTGAGTGAGTGAGTGAGTGAGTGAGTGAGTGAGTGAGTGAGTGAGTGAGTGAGTGAGTGAGTGAGTGAGTGAGTGAGTGAGTGAGTGAGTGAGTGAGTGAGTGAGTGAGTGAGTGAGTGAGTGAGTGAGTGAGTGAGTGAGTGAGTGAGTGAGTGCTGCCAAGCACAGGGAACTCATATTGATGTTCCGGCCATACTGTATGAGTGGACATAAGTGGGTGAGTGAGTGAGTTGGGTTATACACCTTGTTTGTAGCTGGAAAGAGCGAGTGAGTGAGTGAGTGAGTGAGTGAGTGAGTGAGTGAGTGAGTGAGTGAGTGAGTATTGTTTGCTGCCAAGCACAGGGAACTCATATTGATGTTCCAGCCATACTGTATGAGTGGACATAAGTGGGTGAGTGAGTGAGTTGGGTTTAACGCCGCTTTTAACAGTATTCCAGTTATATCACGGCGTGTCAGCTTAATGTGGGAGGAAAGGCCGAAGTGATGCAGGTCTCAGACGTTTACCACTTCGGTAAAACCCACGAGCACGGGTATGGTGCAGACAAACCTAGAAACATAATCGAGGCAAACCGGGATTCGAACCCACAATCATAGGTTTCAGGTTTCCAAGGGACGCAACTTTGCACATCGAATCGCGGCGCCTTAGACGACGGGGCCACCCGTACCCCCGAGTGGACAGAAAGAATGGGCTTTACTCATGGAGGACAGAATCAGGGTGTCCAGCAGGATCCCCAGCCCCGGTCAGGTTGTACTGACCTCCATGTCTGGCAACCTTGGGGAGATACTCTGGCTCGATGTACTCGTGCGGCAGCTCCTGAAACACTTCTTGAGCACCCTGAAACATAGCATGGACTTTTTCTTTAACTCAATACTTCATTATTTTATGCCACTTTTAGCAATATTCAACAAGTAATGCAGATCTCATCCTCAATTTCCCAGTGTCTAACGTCTCAATTTTATAATGATAAATATCCTGGACTTTGCCATCATAGCATCGGACTCAATGTGCTTAAATACCTTTCCAATTCAACTGCAGACGTGAGTGAGAGAAATCTTGTGAGTATTGTTCTACAACACTGTTAGCAATATGCATAGTCATAGCAGGGGACACCAGAAATCATCTTCCCAAGGCAAGGGAGTTAACTGACTGTAAAAGTCCAGTTTCCACCCTTGCCGAACTAGGCAGGAATTATGGAGTTATATTTTAGCTGGACTAACCAGTCTGTGCTTAGTCCAATCAAAATCACAAAATGAAATCCACATCCAGGACATAAACAACATGGTAACAGCCATTCAGATTTCGGTCAATTGCAGAGCATGTAAACCATGAAATCGGCATTGACAGACCTTTTCCAAATCTTTTCATGTTTTTAATCAAGGTGCTCAAGTAATTTCATCCACTTTGCGAGGTAAGGCCTGTTTTATTACAATAAAGATCTTCTTGCCTGGGCACCGCACTGGTTTGACTCTAAACAAACTAGTTGGCTTAAACTGTAATTAAAATGATATAGTTTTACACTATGACATGATTGAAGTGTTACCTTGGAGACATTCCCAGAGCCTGTAAACACGAATGTGAGAGTACCAAGTGACTTAGGCAGTCTGTCTAGAGCGATCTCGTAGCCCGCGTCCCGCACAGCCTGTCGGGCCATCTCGGTGTTCCGGTAGTTGTGACTGGGTCCGATGTGCTGCACAGACAAAAAACAGTTCAACAAGAATGTCGTGGGATTAGAAGGGTGTTTGTTTGTTGTTTAACGCCGCACTCAGCAATATTCCAAATATATGACGATTATGCTTGTCGTAAAAAGGCGACTAACGGGATCGGGTGACTCGCTGACTTGGTTGATGCATGTCATCGATCCAATTGCGTGGATCGATGCTCATGATATTAATCACTGGATTGTCTGGTCCAGACTCGATTATTTACAGACCGCCATCATATAGCTGTAATATTGCTGAGTGCGGCGTTAAACAACAAACCAACCAACCAACTTAAAATTAACTTTGGGGGATCCCGTGGTCCCCGACTTTTGTAAATCAAAGGGAACCCCTGTAAGTTTCATTAAACTGATTAACAAACTGCAGAAATGGGGAAGTGACTTTTTTCTCATGTTGTTATCTCCCCTGAATCCATGACTACAAAAGATGGCGACTGACCATGCTGAGTGATATTTACAATCAGCGTCAAACATTTCCCACCTACCATGAACGGAGCAGCACCAAGAGTCCCACCTACCATGAACAGAGCAGCACCAAGAGTCCCAGCTACCATGAACAGAGCAGCACCAAGAGACCCACCTACCATGAACACAGCAGCACCAAGAGACCCACCCTTCCATGAACAGAGCAGCACCAAGAGTCCCACCTACCATGAACAGAGCAGCACCAAGAGTCCCACCTACCATGAACAGAGCAGCACCAAGAATCCCACCTACCATGAACACAGCAGCACCAAGAGACCCACCTACCATGAACAGAGCAGCACCAAGAGTCCCACCTACCATGAACACAGCAGCACCAAGAGTCCTACCTACCATGAACACAGCAGCACCAGGAATCCCACCTACCATGAACGGAGCAGCACCAAGAGTCCCACCTACCATGAACACAGCAGCACCAAGAGTCCCACCTACTATGAACGGAGCAGCACCAGGAATCCCACCTACCATGAACGGAGCAGCACCAGGAATCCCACCTACCATGAACGGAGCAGCCCCAGGAATCCCACCTACCATGAACACAGCAGCACCAAGAGTCCCACCTACTATGAACGGAGCAGCACCAGGAATCCCACCTACCATGAACGGAGCAGCACCAGGAATCCCACCTACCATGAACAGAGCAGCACCAGGAATCCCACCTACCATGAACACAGCAGCACCAAGAGTCCCACCTACCATGAACACAGCAGCACCAAGAATCCCACCTACCATGAACAGAGCAGCACCAAGAATCCCACCTACCATGAACACAGCAGCACCAAGAGTCCCACCTACCATGAACAGAGCAGCACCAAGAGACCCACCTACCATGAACACAGCAGCACCAAGAGTCCCACCTACCATGAACAGGTCAGCACCAGGAATCCCACCTACCATGAACACAGCAGCACCAAGAGTCCCACCTACCATGAACACAGCAGCACCAAGAATCCCACCTACCATGAACAGAGCAGCACCAAGAATCCCACCTACCATGAACACAGCAGCACCAAGAATCCCACCTACCATGAACAGAGCAGCACCAAGAGACCCACCTACCATGAACGGAGCAGCACCAGGAATCCCACCTACCATGAACGGAGCAGCACCAAGAATCCCACCTACCATGAACAGAGCAGCACCAAGAGACCCACCTACCATGAACGGAGCAGCACCAAGAATCCCACCTACCATGAACACAGCAGCACCAAGAATCCCACCTACCATGAACAGAGCAGCACCAAGAGACCCACCTACCATGAACAGAGCAGCACCAGGAATCCCACCTACCATGAACGGAGCAGCACCAAGAGTCCCACCTACCATGAACAGAGCAGCACCAGGAATCCCACCTACCATGAACGGAGCAGCACCAAGAGTCCCACCTACCATGAACACAGCAGCACCAGGAATCCCACCTACCATGAACAGAGCAGCACCAGGAATCCCACCTACCATGAACACAGCAGTACCAAGAGTCCCACCTACCATGAACAGAGCAGCACCAGGAATCCCACCTACCATGAACACAGCAGCACCAAGAGTCCCACCTACCATGAACACAGCAGCACCAAGAGACCCACCTACCATGAACAGAGCAGCACCAGGAATCCCACCTACCATGAACACAGCAGCACCAAGAGACCCACCTACCATGAACAGAGCAGCACCAGGAATCCCACCTACCATGAACGGAGCAGCACCAAGAGTCCCACCTACCATGAACACAGCAGCACCAAGAGTCCCACCTACCATGAACACAGCAGTACCAAGAGTCCCACCTACCATGAACAGAGCAGCACCAGGAATCCCACCTACCATGAACACAGCAGCACCAAGAGTCCCACCTACCATGAACAGAGCAGCACCAAGAGTCCCACCTACCATGAACACAGCAGCACCAAGAGTCCCACCTACCATGAACACAGCAGCACCAGGAATCCCCGCTACCATAAACACAGCAGCACCAAGAGTCCCACCTACCATGAACACAGCAGCACCAGGAATCCCACCTACCATAAACACAGCAGCACCAAGAGTCCCACCTACCATGAACACAGCAGCACCAGGAATCCCACCTACCATAAACACAGCAGTACCAAGAGTCCCACCTACCATGAACGGAGCAGTACCAAGAGTCCCACCTACCATGAACAGAGCAGCACCAAGAGTCCCACCTACCATGAACAGAGCAGCACCAGGAATCCCACCTACCATGAACGGAGCAGCACCAGGAATCCCACCTACCATGAACAGAGCAGCACCAAGAGTCCCACCTACCATGAACAGAGCAACACCAAGAATCCCACCTACCATGAACAGAGCAGCACCAAGAGTCCCACCTACCATGAACACAGCAGCACCAAGAGACCCACCTACCATGAACAGAGCAGCACCAAGAGACCCACCTACCATGAACGGAGCAGCACCAAGAATCCCACCTACCATGAACAGAGCAGCACCAGGAATCCCACCTACCATGAACAGAGCAGCACCAAGAGTCCCACCTACCATGAACACAGCAGCACCAAGAATCCCACCTACCATGAACGGAGCAGCACCAAGAGTCCCACCTACCATGAACACAGCAGCACCAAGAGTCCCACCCTTCCATGAACGGAGCAGCACCAAGAGTCCCACCTACCATGAACGGAGCAGCACCAGGAATCCCACCCTTCCATGAACGGAGCAGCACCAAGAGTCCCACCTACCATGAACACAGCAGCACCAAGAGTCCCACCTACCATGAACAGAGCAGCACCAAGAATCCCACCTACCATGAACACAGCAGCACCAAGAGTCCCACCTACCATGAACAGAGCAGCACCAAGAGTCCCACCTACCATGAACAGAGCAGCACCAAGAGTCCCACCCTTCCATGAACGGAGCAGCACCAAGAGTCCCACCTACCATGAACAGAGCAGCACCAAGAGTCCCCGCTACCATAAACACAGCAGCACCAAGAGTCCCACCTACCATGAACACAGCAGCACCAGGAATCCCACCTACCATGAACGGAGCAGCACCAGGAATCCCACCTACCATGAACAGAGCAGCACCAGGAATCCCACCTACCATGAACAGAGCAGCACCAAGAATCCCACCTACCATGAACACAGCAGCACCAAGAGTCCCACCTACCATGAACACAGCAGCACCAAGAGTCCCACCTACCATGAACACAGCAGCACCAGGAATCCCACCTACCATGAACGGAGCAGCACCAAGAATCCCACCTACCATGAACAGAGCAGCACCAAGAGTCCCACCTACCATGAACACAGCAGCACCAGGAATCCCACCTACCATGAACAGAGCAGCACCAGGAATCCCACCTACCATGAACACAGCAGCACCAAGAGTCCCACCTACCATGAACACAGCAGCACCAGGAATCCCACCTACCATGAACAGAGCAGCACCAAGAGTCCCACCTACCATGAACAGAGCAGCACCAAGAGTCCCACCTACCATGAACGGAGCAGCACCAGGAATCCCACCCTTCCATGAACGGAGCAGCACCAAGAGTCCCACCTACCATGAACGGAGCAGCACCAAGAGTCCCACCTACCATGAACAGAGCAGCACCAAGAGTCCCACCTACCATGAACGGAGTGTGATGCCCAAGAGCCAGCAGGCGGAGCCCCATCCCGTGCAGTACGTTGATCATGCCTGACACGCCCGCATACTTCCCGAAAGCAACCACACGTTGGCCCTCCTCATCCACCATCTTCTCATAGTCGATCAGGCGAATATTCTGCAACCATAAATAACAGAGGTTCATTTCCAATGACACTAATAGCATCATCATATGGGATTCAAACCCATCAATGTCCAGACAGCTAAGGGAAGCAACTCCCAACAGAAGCAACAGAATGGCCACCTCCTCCATCAATGTGTCTTGTTTCATGTGTCATGTGTACCCACCTTCTCCAGAATGGCCACCTGTGCCAAGTTGCTACCTCCTCCATCAATGTCATGTGTCATGTGACAAACCTTCTCCAGAATGGCCACCTGCGTCATGTTGCTACCTCCTCCATCAATGTCATGTGTCATGTGACAAACCTTCTCCAGAATGGCCACCTGCGTCATGTTGCTACCTCCTCCATCAATGTCATGTGTCATGTGACAAACCTTCTCCAGAATGGCCACCTGCGCCAAGTTGCTACCTCCTCCATCAATGTCATGTGTCATGTGACAAACCTTCTCCAGAATGGCCACCTGCGTCATGTTGCTACCTCCTCCATCAATGTCATGTGTCATGTGACAAACCTTCTCCAGAATGGCCACCTGCGCCATGTTGCTACCTCCTCCATCAATATGTCATGTGTCATGTGTACCCACCTTTTCCAGAATTGCATCAAGCAGTGACATGTTGGCCTCCTGCGCCTTGATGGTGTGGGAGAAGAAAGCATATGTCTTCTCTGGCATGAGGAGGTCAATGGGAACCTGCTTCACGCCGATCACCAGGGATGCCTCACTCAGGTCTTCCTGGATGACAGCACCCCTGTTAGCATATTCCTGCAACAGATCAAACACACACACATAATATCAACCACTGGATATTCACTAACACTAAATTGAAGGATGAATTTTTAAGGTTCATAAGAGAAGATATAACAAGGTTCTCAGCAATCTGAAGGGGCCCAGTCATCTGAGGTGCTGTCTAAGGAAGCGCTGTGCAGAAGTGCGTCACTTGGGCACACCAGACACATAGGAACATGGGCTCAAAATTCAGACTTGCCCCGATTATGGTTCTAGGTGTATCAGCATCACACCCATGCTCGTGGGTTTCACCAAAGTGGTAAATGTCTGAGACCTGCATCACTTCAGGCTTTCTCCCACGTTAAGCTGACATACCGTGATATAACTGGAATACTGTTCAAAGCAGTGTTACAACCCACACACTCACTCACTGAAGTTATCTACTGTTTTCAGAATGTACAGGCTGTCTTCACTTTAAAGTTTAGTATTAATTTAATATGTTTTTACATGTGTTGTCACATGCATATTCATTACCACAATGTCAGGACTGTGCACCAGTGGTACTTAATTCCAAAATCTACATAAGCAATCCCCCATTCAGTTGCCATGGACAACATGAGCTCGGAGCACCTTGCATAAGTGTCCAGGAACGACAAGACAAAACCATGAAACCTGGTTTAACTTTATAATTGAAACCATGTAATTTTTTAACCAATGGAATCTCACCAAGATCTGAAAAAGCAGGTGCTTGTCTAGAACTACAAATTGCTTTTCCATGAACTCAAGTACTTCAGTAAATATTGAGCAGGGATTTATCTAGGATTCCAAACTAAGTGCCCTTATAAGCCAATTTTGGAGAATGTTTTTCTTAATTTCTCACATTTGTCAGTGAAATACATGTACCTTCTACAAGGCCACAACACTAGTGATTTCTTTACAACACAAATTTATCTTCCTTTGGTATGACGGAGCCAGGGATCGAACCCAGGACCTTCCACTCTCCAGGCAGACGCTCTACAACTAGACCACAGAGGCGGTAACCTATGGACTAGACTTAATATTGCTGGCAGTCCAATCGGAATGCAGAATCATAAAATGTCATGGTCGAAAATATTCTAGTCACATGATCTCGACCACAGAGGCGGTCCAACATCAGGAGAGTTTCATCCCCAAGTTGTGAGGGAATCTGATATTTGGGTTTGAATCAATGATCGTTCCTAATAATGGCTCATGGGTTTCACCAAAGTGGTAAAAATATGTGACCTCACTTCAGGCTTTCCTCCCTAACCCAACACACCAGATACAAATGAAATACTGTCCAGAAAGCAATGATAATCTCAATTCACTCATCCATCTTGTGATAGCATTACGGCTAGTGGTTTGAGGATTACTATGCCAGACACCTTCACCAGAGACCCGAGAAGATCCGGGGTAGAAAAGGTCTTCAGCAACCCATGCTTGCCGTAAAAGGCGACTATGCTTGTCGTAAGAGGCGACCAACGGGATCAGGTGGTCAGGCTCACTGACTTGGTTGTTGCATGACATTAAAGTATTCCAATTGCGTGGATCGCTGCTCATGATGTCAATCACTGGATTGTCTGGTCAAGGCTCGATTATTTACAGACCGCCGTCATAAAGCTGGAATATTGCTGAGTGCAGCTTTAAACAACAAACAAACAAGCAAATAAAACCTTCACCAGGACGTGACATGGCTTCTTACCTGCATGCTGTAGGCTCTCCTGTTGGACGGCTGGACAATAACCTTTACCCCATCTTTGACAAGTTTCGCCACATGACTAGGGGACAGCGGTGCTCTTCTCTCCCAAACATTAATGGTCTCACGTCGAATGGCAACTACTCTCTGACCATCACTCATATGTCGCCAATTGGAGCACACAGCGCCACCTACACGCTTGAACATGTGGCGACATGCCTCATGGCGACGGCACACATGGTGCAGCATGGTCCAATATCAAGTGACTGATCTCCTAATCTTTGTGTCAAACTGCCTTGGTGAGTCTTATTCCCGTGTCTCCCTTTGGGATGAGTGTGGTACTGTAAGTCCAGTTACTCTGTCCAAAATGTTTCTTTTGTGGCCCTCACTGATCGCAAATCTCCCTATTCAATATCATGGACTCAAAACTGCATGTGGTCTGAAAAAGAGATATTACATATTTTCGGTTTGATGAGATGACTTTGATGGGGAGTTCTGTAGCTCACCTGGTTATGTCTTAAAATGTGCAACATGTAATAGTTCAAATTATACTGACATTAACCGCTAAATGACATCTTACGAGAATAAGTCTTGTTTGATGTTTAACACAGTACTCTGCAAAAGTCCAGCTATATGACAGTGGCCTGTACATATTCAAGTCAGGACAGTTGTTGATACTACATGCAATGATCCACGCTGTAAGGGTTTGTGGACAAGTCACTGAGCTTGATCTCAAACATCTGCCAAGTCGCCTTGTACAACAACCAGAGAAAAGTTGGGATCTACATTGGAAATCACATCAGGTGAGCTTTCTCATCAGCCAATAAGTGTAAAGATTTTAACTGAGCAAGAATTCAGAGCTGCATTAACTGATTACTGTGTCTTGAAAAGGAACAAATGGGCAGTTTCTCGTAGAAAATAATAAAGCTGCACTGTAAAGCTATATACGCATACCTGCAAACATTTAAATCGCCAACCATGCGAGAACAGTTTTCTTCCTATTGATTCATGTTTTCAGTATGGTTGATTGGGTCCAGCTTCCTGACCCGGGCGAGAGAGCACCTACAGGACAGTGACTTCGGTATTCCAGGGGGATGTCTCTGGTTGGCAAGGGGCGGCATGAGGTGGGAGGAGCTGACCGAGCTGATAGATGCCCAGGTCAAAGCAATGCAGACACCACCAAAGGCGGTGGTGATTCACCTTGGTTCGAACGACCTGGGTAAGGTAACCACGTGTCAGCTATATCATGAGATCAAGCTTGCACTCCTGAGGATACACCTCCTCCTACCCGGTGCTGTCATTCTGTGGTCAGACATGCTGCCACGGAGGTACTGGCATGTAGCCAGCCGTGCCCGGGACCTGGACGGGGCCAGGCAGAAGCTGAACAGACGAGTGGGGAACAGGGCCCGTGAGCTTGGGGGGATACGGGTTCCTCACACAGTGTTCAACCGGCAGGAGCAGCAACTGTACCTGCGTGACGGGGTTCATTTGTCACCGGCCGGACTTGATCTTTTCACACAAAACATTGGCAGCTCCCTTTCCGCAGTATGTTTGTAGGAAACATTTTCAGTATAGGATAACACGGTGGGTGTACATGAGCGCGAATGGTCGTGGTTGTGGGGAAGCACCTTGGTGCTTGTGGCGGGGTGCTGGTGGACTGCATTACAAGTTACATTTGGCGTCTTGGGATACATCCCAAATTATAAATTATTTAGGATAGGGTTACCCGCTTTACAGCAGGAACCAATTTATCCATTCTGCTTTACAGCAGATGGCTTAGTGTCCGCTTTACAGCGGATGGTCAGCTTGGCAACAATAGTTGCCCTCGCTCATGGTTTGGCAATGGTACTTGCCTGGCAGCGATAGCTGCATAGCAACATGGGTTGCTTGGCAACGGTAGTTGCAGGGCAGCAGGCGCTGCATTGGTAAGCAACATGGGTTGCTTGGCAACGGTAGTTGCGGGGCAGCAGATGCTGCATCGGTAAGCAACATGGGTTGCTTGGCAGCGGTTGCTGCAGTTGGGGTTGCTTAACAGGGGTTAAGCTCATTGCCGTAGTCCACCAGTACCTCCACATCCGCGACCATTTCATCCAATAATATCTCTTGTCTTAATTTGAAGCTCCGCTATCATGCATGATGGCGGAGCCTGTCATAATGGAGCCATGTCCTTATATAATAGCATTTAGTGATTAGAACTAAATGCCTTTATGTTAGGCTTGGCACAGTTGCTAATATTATTACAGCGAAATACCTTCATTCCGTGCGGCTACGTGCCGTTTTGCATGGTGCCATCGTCTCTGGCCTAGATCCGCTCTTGGCACGTCCGGTAAAGGAGCGTTTGTTTATATTTTCTATGACCTGTTGTAGCGTGGCATCAGCTCACGCAGCACTTGCTCTCCAGCTTTCAGCCGTACAACACATAGTTATATTCGCGCATTCATCTATAGTTCGTTGCACCCACCCACCCACCCTGTTATCCTTAATTCCAAGTTATTCAAGCTTTGCAGTTGTCAATTGGTGGAATTTTACTGGAGCATAATGTTTGTATATAATGATGTTGTCATGAATAAAATGTTGCGGATGGGCGGGGTGCTGGTGGACTGCATTACAAGTTACATTTGGCGTCTTGGGATACATCCCAAATTATAAATTATTTAGGATAGGGTTACCCGCTTTACAGCAGGAACCAATTTATCCATTCTGCTTTACAGCAGATGGCTTAGTGTCCGCTTTACAGCGGATGGTCAGCTTGGCAACAATAGTTGCCCTCGCTCATGGTTTGGCAATGGTACTTGCCTGGCAGCGATAGCTGCATAGCAACATGGGTTGCTTGGCAACGGTAGTTGCAGGGCAGCAGGCGCTGCATTGGTAAGCAACATGGGTTGCTTGGCAGCGGTTGCTGCAGTTGGGGTTGCTTAACAGGGGTTAAGCTCATTGCCGTAGTCCACCAGTACCTCCACATCCGCGACCATTTCATCCAATAATATCTCTTGTCTTAATTTGAAGCTCCGCTATCATGCATGATGGCGGAGCCTGTCATAATGGAGCCATGTCCTTATATAATAAAGCTGCACTGTTAAAGTGTCATGGATATTTTATACACCATCTTTCTCAATGCTATGACATCTACCCCCAAAAGGGTGTACCATTGAGGGAATAGTGGTCCTGTGCACAGCGCACAGGTCACAAACCGGGTGAGTGTCGGATGGGTGATCATGTTCTGCAGCTTGACTCCTGAGTGAGTGAGGGAGTTGGGTTTAACGCTGCTTTTAACAGTATTCCAGTTATATCGCGGTGTGTCAGCTTAATGTGGGAGGAAAGCCGAAGTGATGCAGGTCTCAGACGTTTACCACTTCGGTGAAACCCACGAGCACAGGTATGGTGCTGACAAACCTAGAAACATAATCGGGGCGAACTGGGATTCGAACCCACAATCATAGGTTTCTGGCGTGCCCAAGGGATGCAACTCTGCACAGTGAATCACGGCGCCTTAGACGACTGGGCCACCCGTGCCCCCCTTGGCTCCTGAGAGTTTCTTGGGCTTTGGTCCTGCCCCACACTGAAGCACATGCAACACATGTGGTGTCTCCTTGGGCAAGTGACTGATGATAATGCAGAAAGTCATTGCTTGCTTAGTTGAGTCGTGATGAGTCATGGGCGGATACAGAGGGGGGTTGCGGGGGTGCGCACCCCCCATTTTTATTTCGAAAAAAATCTTTATTTCTGTATAAATTACCACCAAAGACACTTAATAGATCTTAATTGTGCACCCCCCCTTTTCAAAAAAGCTGTATCCGCCCATGTGAGTCATTGAATTTTGCTCACTTAAGGCCTCACTATTGTTTTACATGCTTTACAGATCTGCTGACTAGATTTTGTTAAAAAAGAAAAGTAAATAGCTAAATTTGCAAGTGTTTTTTTATCTCGCTGATAAGTTATTGCACCAAAAAAAATATTTTCTGAACAAGGACCCACTGAAGATGAGTGAGTGAGTATGGTTTTATGCCGCTTTAAGCAATATTCCAGCAATATCACGGCGAGGGACACACCAGAAATGGGCTTCACACATTGTACCCATGTCGGGAATCGAACCCGGGTCTTCGGTGTGACGAGCGAACGCTTTAACCACTAGGCTACCCGACCACCCATCCCCCGAAGGTGACATATATTAAACATGGGAGTCAAAATAATGGGTTAATAGGTTAAATATTGGTGTATAGGTTCATAATTTTGACATTATTATTATAAGAATAATTTCATTACCAAATATATCAGTGCATGTATTCTTAGCAAGTCTAGAGGATTGAATCAGGCAAGTCTACATAAGTTCAATTGGCAAAGAATGTAATAGGATTTTGTTTAATTCTTAAAGAGCAGAGGAATTCACAAAAGAAAAATGAAAGGACTAAATGATAACCTACAATTAAGCAAATGACTCAAGTGACCCAGTACTTTAAATTTAATATCCAGTTTGCCTCTCAAGAAAACAATGATAAGTAATCAATCAAAATACGCAGTACTAAATGTACACATCACTTGTACACCATTCGAAAACTAAGGAGGTTTTTGCATAACGAAAAAGAGCACCTGATTCACGAGTGAGCTTTTCGACAGTAAGTCAGGGCATGACAAGGTGGGGGGAGAGCCTGCCTGTATTTAGATAAATCGTTGTCAGTGGGAAAAGTGTTTTAATCATTTTTGCCGATTCTTTAGAATGACAAGTGGACCCGTTCCCAACACACACGAACACCATGCCCGTTCCAGTAAATTCTCCATTACGCAAAAAAATGCAACAAACATGTTTGCTGGCACCACGTATCTGAGTGTCAAGGTCGTTGGAAATATTCGTCTAAGGTTATATAGTCAATAAATCCCCTGACACGCTTCTCAAGTCAACAAATATGAAACATGTAAGAGAAAATGTATGGTATATGCTATATCTCATACATATCTAGCTGCAACTACAAACCTTTCGTGTGAAATGCCAGAAAACATGAGCCCATGAAAGTCGGTCAAAGTTGCAAACAAACTTCCACGAGGCAACCTGAGTTTGTTGTTTCATGTCACGTGACCATCTCTTTCAGCCAATCAAGTGTCTTGAAACGACACACACCTCTTCCTCTTTTCCCCGCGATAACCATCATATCAATAATATTTTTCATTAGTTTCGCGTGAACAAGTCTCAATGAGTTACAAAAAGCGTAGAGCATGATTCCATAATAGTTAAATATATATTGTAATAACTTTCTGCACATAAAAAAGAAATGGATTTTTTTAGTTTTGCGTAGCGAAATTTGTATCCATAGAGTAGAGTAGAATCGTTAAAAAGTTATTGGACACAGTCCAAAGGAAAGCCCATAAGTACGAAACCCCATTAGGACCATATTGGTATTTTGTTTTTTCTCTTTTAAAAGTCGTAATTACGACTTTTCAAAACTCGTAATTACGAGAATAAAATCGTCATTATGAAAACAAAAGTCGTAATTACGACTTTTCAAAACTCGTAATTACGAGAATAAAATCGTCATTATGAAAACAAAAGTCGTAATTACGACTTTTCAAAACTCGTTGTTTCGAGAATACAGTCGTAGTTACGATCTTTAAAAACTCGTAATTACGAGAATAAAGTCGTCATTATGAAATCAAAAGTCGTTATAACAACTTTTCAAAATTCGTAGTTACGAGAATATAGTCGTAGTTACGCCCTTTAAAAACTCGTAATTACGAGAAAAGAGTCGTCATTACGAGTTTTGAAAGTTTAAAAAGTCGTAATTACGAGTTTTGAAAGTTTAAAAAGTCGTAATTATGCTTATAAAAGGCAGTATAAAAGGATGATTCTTCCACTTCCACATGTAACTTGTTGAGTCACTGCACCCGAAACAGTTCTGTTTTCGTTTGCCAATCGTATGAGTTTACAATTGTCATACCTCTCTTTGTTTGCTACAAACTACGGATGTATATATACTGAACAACAAAAGTTCCTGTGACATTGAATAAGATTTAATGCAAAGTTATGTTTTTTACCAAATCTGAAACAATTTCGGTTTGCAACAGATAAAAGACTACTGTAAGTGTTCAAATGGTTTAATTTGCCATACTGACTTCAGAAAATGCGTGATTTCATAAAAATCATGAACATGCCAAAATGTTCATTTACAAATCAATAGCGTGTATGTCCACCTCTGGTTGCGATGCAAGCAACACATCTTCGTCTCATGGAATGGACCAGGCGTCGCACAAAGTCTTGTGGGATATCTGTCCATATCTGCTGGAGCATGTTTCGAAGTTCCTGGGGTGTCTGTGGAACACGTGGTTGACGTCGAAGGCGCCGATCCATCTCATCCCACATGTGCTCGATTGGTGAGAGATCAGGGGAGCGAGCCGGCCAGGGGATGACATTCACGTTGTTTTGTTGAAGAGAATCCTGAAAAAGGCGAGCAATATGAGGACGGGCCTTGTCATGTTGAAAGGTAACCCATGCTTGCCGTAAAAGGTGACTATGCTTGTCGTAAAAGGCGAATAACGGGATCGGGTGGTCAGGCTCGCTGACTTGGTTGATCCATATCATTGTATCCCAATTGCATGGATCTATGCTCATGCTATCAATCACTGGATTGTCTGGTATTTACAGACCGCCGTCATATAGCTGGAATATTGCTGAGTGCGGCGTTAAACAACAAACCAACCGACCAATGAAAGGTAATGCCTGGGCCATGACGACACAAAAACGGTAGACAACTGGGCCGATGATCTCGTCGCGGTAGCGCTGTCCATTGAGATTTCCCTCTACCACTATCAAACGGGTCCTCTGTCTTGCTGTAATCCCACCCCATACCATAACGTTGCCGCCCCCGAACCGATCTTCTATCATGACACAGTGATTGACGTAACGTTCACCTCGACGTCGGTACACTCGAATCCGTCCATCGCTGTGGCTGAGGTGAAAACGAGACTCGTCAGTGAATAGAACTTGTCCCCACTGCATGGCCGTCCAGCGTAGACGCTGTCTGCACCACTGTAGACGTGCTTGAGGTTGGTTTCCTGTCAAAATGGGACGTCTGGCGGGTCTTCTGGCGACAATCCCTGCACATCTGAGGCGGCGACGTACGGTTTGTGAAGATATTCGTTCGTCGAAGGCCACGGATGCTTCTTGCAGTCATTGTTGCTGGCTGGAATCGATTTCGTAGGTGTGTTGTTCGAATCCAGTTGTCTTGTCGATTATTGGTTACGCGTGGCCTGCCACTCCGAGGTTGGTCTCTGACTGCATTCGTCTGTTGCCAACGTTGCCATAAACACCAAATGGTGTTTCTGTGGACGTTAAATTGTCTTGCAACATCACGTTGACTCGATCCTGCTTCAAGCATATATACCAATGGCTCGCAGACGCTCATTTTCGGACAGGCGTAGCATTTCGTAATGTTGAATAATTGCGTAATTTTGTTGTTTTTCTGAGTGGTTGTTGTCAGCACGATGCTAAACCATGCATATGGAATCCCGTTAACGCACATGTTTTTATACCCATTCTTGGGTAGTTAAATGCATGGGGCTTGCATAAAAGTCAAGTTTTGCATGTTTACTTGTTTGAAAAATACACTAAAATATTGGTGTCACAGGAACTTTTGTTGTTGAGGATATATATGACGGCGGTCTGTAAATAATCGAGTCTGGACCAGACAATCCAGTGACTGACACCATGAGCATCGATCCACGCGATTGGATGAACGAGGCGACTAAGGGGATCGGGTGGTAAGGCTCGCTGATTTGGGTGATGCATGTCATCGTATCCCAATGGGCTTTCGTACAAAGGATTTAGACCTACGTATGCACAATTATATATAATTGTCAAAAGCTACAAATAGTTTAACACGAGTTTGAAAATTGAGATAATTTATTTTGCATTGTAAAACGAATGTGAGTGTGGTCAGCAATCTGATTGAAAACGTGATTTAATGGGATTCGAACTCTGGAATTGAACTGCCTAAAAGACGTACTGAGCCAACTCTATTATCGGCGAACATACCTGCATGTTATTGATGCAACGTATACACGTGACATTAATAAGAAATCACACACCACGAATGTGCCACATAATTAAGTTATTGAGAGCAGATCGCCAGCAAATCAGAATGTCGAGCGTTGTTTTTGTGCCTGGGCATGCATGGTTACGTGTAAACGAGGAACCGTCAAATGAATAGGATTTGAAACGTATCAAATAATTTACATCTGTCCGAAATAGCTGTATCTAACTTTCTAAGATGTTTCGCTAAAAGATCAAAGACTCCGACTGTACTTAATCCTGCGATAAAGTACACTTTTTGAGTTACGTCATAATGAGCTAACGTCATGACGCTGTTCAAATTCGTGATCTAAGTATCCTTGGTAACATTGTTCTTTCATATCTGTCAATCAAGAGGGCACATCCGCATTAGTTATCGCTGAAATATTTTCTTAAAACTTTCGAATATTTGAATATTATTACCTGTTAGAAACAGGCACAGATGATGCCAACCATCTCTCATGGCGATCCGGGATAGAATAGGTCTTCAGCAACCCATGCTTGTTGTAAAAGGCGACTAACGGGATCGGGTGGTCAGGCTCGCTGACTTGGTTGATGCATGTCATCGATCCCAATTGCGTGGATCGATGCTCATGATATTAATCAGTGGATTGTCTGGTCCAGACTCGATTATTTACAGACCGCCGCCATCTAGCTGGAATATTGCTGAGTGCGGCGTTAATCAACAAACCAACCAACCAACCAAATCATGCCGCGGGGTTTGCCAAACATATTCAAACAGCTGTGTCCGTGCCACAGCGGCCATAAAGTTGTCAGAGGCGGGCGTTGGTGCCCAAGGAAAATGCTTAAAGAGTGTCATAACCACATTTACACCAGTTGCTCTGTGTATGTCATAAGGCCCCATTACACAGGGCTGCGACTTTTGTGCAACCTTCGAGCGATCAAAAACTGGCCGGGACCCTCAATGGTCGCCTAAGCCCAGAAAATCATGTTTTTATGTAACTGATCCATGCTGCAGTTGTTCAGCAGTAACTGCTCGAGTTGTTCAGCGTCTGCAACCACAATGAAACACAAGCCCTCTATCTATAGGCAGACTGAGGAGGCACTACAGGTAGCTCAAAGGAGGCAGAAAAGAGGCAGAAGCATTGCCATGGTGTCTCAATGGTTGCCGTGGTCGCCGTTCAATGCACGCTGTTGGTCGCTCAAAGAATGCACAAGGGAGGCAGAAGCATCGCCCAGATGTACGGGACAATATTTCAGCAGAACGCATCTATTACCTGGCGACCATTGGGCGACCACTGGGCCTTCATTCCGCAACAACGGCAATGCTTGTGCCTCCCTTCTGCCTCCTTTGAGCCACCTTTGAGCAACCAACCTCCTCGGCGACCTTTGTGCGACTGTTTTGAACATGTTCAAAAATTCACGGCAACCATGGCCTCCATGGCGATGTCTGAACCTCCTGTGTACCACCCTGGAACGACCTAGGCAACCATTCTGCCTCCTTTGAGCCTCCAATGACGACCTTGCAAATTCTATGGTCGCACACGGGAGGCACAAAGGTCGCCATCCTGTGTAAAGGCCCCATTAGCGACATACTGCAGTCGAACAAAATGGCCACTGTTGCTTTACTTTCCCGGTGTTGTCGCACGGCGGCGCCATATCACGTCACGGGCCGCCGATTCACGTCGGTTACGGTATCCTGTAATGCAACCGTAAACACACCGAAAACACACTATTTCATTAGTGGTGGAAACAAAGCGACACTGAACGTCGGATTTGTTTACATGTGTGAGCTCGGCCCCACAATGCACTGAATGGTTCGAGTCATGTGATCAAACTGAGGCAAATTAAAATTTAAAAAATTAAATGTAAAACATACTTATTGCTGCATGGGATTATGGATAATCAGACACTATAAGGATAATATAATGTGACTTTAACCATATTCTACCCATTTCAGTGGTGTTATATTATGTTTAACCCACAAGACCATGTAACTAATAATAACAAACAATCTCGCATACGAGGCCTAACACGGTCCTGTTATGTGGTTTATCCCTCATGGTTCCTGGGCATCAGCTGGCTTTATA